TTCCCAGCGCCCTGTCCACCTACAACGCAATGCAACCCACCTTGCTCTTTGGGAGAAAGCTGTTCCACTGCGCAATCCGCCAAGCCCGCCATTTCGTCGGTTCTCCGCCTCTTATCAGATCCTTCCGTCATTGCAACCGCTTTGCGCTTCTTGTCCAACAGCGGCAAGCCCCATCCACACTTTTTACACTTTTTGTCAATATGCTGTTCACACATGCGGTGCCATATTATATCATCGTCGGCCACCTTCTTCCACGCTTTGCTGACTTGTGCTGCATGACACAAGGACTTTGCATCAAGGTATTGCAGGATCCTGATTGCGATTTCAGTAGGAGCGGTGGTTACAAAGTCGATCCTGACCAAGGGAGCAAGGGCGCTGGACATATACGAGAGCTGCGGAAGACAGCAGTGGTCAAGGATACCGTCGAGAATCAGCGGTCGAAGAGAGTTTTGGGTGGCGGCAAAGAGCGACCATAACTGCGACACAGTATTTCTGTCCTTTTGTGGTAGAGCTGCAAGACGCTGCAAGTGCCAGCACGGGGAAAGTTAGCGAGTGGCAACGCACAGGCAAGTACGTCTCCGGCATGGTACCCTATTCATCTCCTCACGCTTTCGCACATCGTTTGCCCGTTGAAATCCGGGTCGGTGTCTGTAAGGTTTACCAGTGAGCATGTCATAAAACAAGGTTGCCGAATAGTCAACTAACCTGTAGCAGTAGTGATTGTTTTGTTGTTTGATGGGAAACATGGCGATGATGGCAGGTAAGAGTTGGCGGGTAAGGTAACAAAGGATGAAACGAATGTTTTCCTTCTTATGTTGCTGTCATCGTCCGTGGGTTTCTTGCCCAACGCACAAAATATCCACGCCAGGTTTTGTTTGCGCGGAAGTTCACCACAAACTCGCGACATTTGCAAACTCAACTGTGCCTTTGATGCGCAGCTCATAAAGTAACTACGCCACAAACTTTATGCCATATATAGACAAATGTTGGCACTCGTGATCTACGGCCACAGCTGACTATTGCGCTCTTGTTGTGGATGCACTGCGCACGATAACTGCTCGCCTCATGGCAGCTCAATAACCGCCGCATGGTCATCAACGCTATCGCCTACGGTAGAACACAAACCGGCACACCCGGTACACAAAGGATGGCATACTCGAACATGTTATGGATATGAAAAAATGTGTACATCAGAAGGGACTATACGGTCCTTTATTTTCCCCATTTGACGCCCGAGCCACCATCATACTAAACACCCCAATAGCGAAATCATTCACGCTTATTTGAGCTTCTTCTTAGGGCGGAGCTGGTTGGTGTGTCCGCACTTCTTCTTCCGGCAGTTGGTGGCACGAGGAGGGAGACGGGCGTAGCACTTGCGGCAGACCATCTTCTCACAGTTGTACTTGGAGGCGAGAGCCTTGAGAGATGGTTCGATGATACCACCACGGAGACGAAGGACAAGGTGAAGGGTAGACTCTGTTCACAGGACAAGCGTCAAGGGACCATATCTCCAACAAAAAGAATATGCAACTTTCACCATACCCTTCTGGATGTTGTAGTCAGAGAGAGTGCGGTCGTCCTCTAGCTGCTTTCCGGCAAAGATCAAACGCTGCTGGTCCGGGGGAATACCTACATGTCAACATGTAAGTTCATTAGCTCACATTGCCCTTCCCACCGCGGCGCCAGAAGAGAATGCTCGCAATAAACGCACCCTCCTTGTCCTGGATCTTGGCCTTGACATTTTGGATAGAGTCCGAAGACTCGACCTCGAGAGTGATGGTCTTGCCCGTGAGGGTCTTCACGAAGATCTGCATTGTGGCAGCTATCGGCAAGAACACGTTGGTCAATATCCAGTCCACAAAATGTTGCTTCCCCTCTCCCTCAGCGAGTAAGTCCAATCGCATTCCACTGTGTCTGTCCCTCTATAAATGATCGTTCCCTATTCAATTTGAAATGCTCCACATGTCCAATTTCCCTTCCACCCTCCCCCCACCCCCTCCCTCCTCTCAGCACCAGCCAACATCGTCCACAACAGGTCTTCATTCTCCACATCCAAAGCGACCTGGAAACAGATGGATGGATGGATGGATGCGCTCTCGTACGTTGACACTCACCTAGATCTCACGAATATAGACGGCTGGAAGAAGGCAAGAATTGGAAACGTCCTCGTCTCGTTCACCCGAGTTGTCTGCATAAAGCTTAGTATCTCACGTGATATTGCTCCATCTGCTGATCACGTAATCATGGTTCCCAGCATTTAAACATGCGCTGCCAGGGGAGGGCGTAGAAGATAATGCAATGCCGCTCTTGTCATTGTTCATCGTCCAGTATAAGGTTGAAAGAGGTACTCGTACCGCTTAAAAAAGCAAGCATTACGGCTGCTATCCTTTTACCTTTAGAGTGTGAACAAGTGTTGATGTAGTTAGATCGGTAGATATCTTTAAAGAAGGGTCAGATAAAGCCAGACTGGGCTTCGATGCTGGATAGGTATAATTCTTTACTGTGACATCCAATGCCTCAGACAAGCAAAATCACAACAAGATCTGTAAGAAATATAACTTTACAAAGTCCCCAAATCTAGGACAGAATAGCATGTGATAAGCTAATTTAACCCGTTAAAGCAACTGAATGTGACTGCGCGCTGAGCAGTTCGTGATGAGGTCACCGCCGATTTCAATGACTCGACGATTTCAACTCTGGGCTTTTCGTCCATCTTCCACTTGTTGGTCTTGCACAAATGCATCGATTGTTGCCGATATTACGGTGTAGGCGACGTCCAGCGTATTATCATCCAGGATTGTTCTCTACCCGGCTCGGACGGCTCTCCAACCCTTCCTTTGACCTTCGTCCCTTTCACACCAATCGTTCTGTGTCGAATGAGGTAAGTCAGGCTGAGTTTCGCTTGATAGTGGAACTTGTTGTAATGACAATGTATCTGCTCGCAGTTGCCTGCTGCCACTCCGCCAATAGAACCAACAACCTCGTTTCCCGATGCGTCCCGCCCAGCTCCAATTAAAAGGACCATTTGGTTCGACAACATCTTTCCAATCAGTATGTATGATGTCCCGCGCCCCGCACCGAAAACAACTTCCAGTACTTTACCTTTCGTTAACCATATTAATACAAAACTTTGCTGCAGGATACTGGAAGTACGATCCTCGTTGGATATGGGTTCGGAAATACGCCTATGATGCCGCAAAGGCAGCAAACGCTCGTCTGATTCCAACTACTTTCCCACACGAATTTCGATATCTCGGCGCGACACCAAATTGGAAAGAAGGCGGCTTATTTGTACATTTTAGCTACGAAGGAGGGTCTGTCGATGAGGTAGTGGAGTCAATCAAGGCGCATATCGAAAAGCGTGGCCTGCGGTCATGGATGAACTTGCAAATGGTGCGAGTGTTTCCTGTAAAGGGTAGTCCATGGGTCGATGATATGATTGGAAGGTTGCCATCGGAAGTTGTCAAAGTAGAATTCAATGGGCCTGATGTGTCTATAGAAGGTCTTTATAAGGAGTTTCGGCCGTACGGAAAAATCGTTGACATCACCCTGCAGCCTCCAAACGTAAAGGATTTACCACGTTACGCACTCGTAGAGTACATGAGAGTTCGCTCGGCTACAAGTGCAAGGAATTGCCTCAATGGCGAGAAAATCGAGAATGCCACCATTCGAATCAGTTATGAAAGGCGCCGCCGGACTTGGGAGAGTACATGGAATTGGATTGCATCCCATCCACGGATTACGGTACCAGTGCTTCTTGGTCTCCTCGCGGGTCTTACCTATGTTGTCTTCGACCCGGTTCGTGTGTTTTTCATCACAAATCAGTTGACCGGGCGCTTCAGCCTAGAAAAATACACTGGGGCCGCTGAGCAGTTATGGACAACAACCGCATCGACGCTTGGCTCCATTTGGGGTCATAAACAGCGTGAGGTCGTACCGCCGGCGGAAGCTTGGACAGAGCGACAAGCCGACTTGGCAAGACTGCAGCACCATTTACGGCAAACGCCAGACACAGTCGTCCTCGTGACAGGACCAAAAGGATCCGGAAAGAGCCAGCTTGTCCGCAAAGCACTCGAGCACTCAAAGTACAAGCTCGTGATTCATGTCGAGGATTTAGCGGGTCAGCCTCCACATATCATGCTCAACCGACTTGCAGCTCAAATAAATTTCAAGCCAATGTTTAACTGGTAGGTCACCGTGGATGCGAATGTTCTCGATCGATTAATTTCAACATTCTGCGTTAGGTTGGTGCAAATGTCCAGTATGATCGACACTATGATCACCGCCACAACCGGTGCAAAAGCTGGACTATCGACTACTAACGAGGGTCAAGTTCGGAAAATGCTAGAGTTGCTGTCAGCTTCCGTAACACGCATTACAATGAAGCAAAAGCAAGCGCGGGATAAAATTCTTGCCGAACAGCGCCTGCATCAACGTATGGAAGAGCATGGAGGTGGCATCATGCCAGCCAAGGCTGCGGCGGAACAGAAGGAAGTTATCGCGGCTCCCGTTCCAGATGTTGAGTACCCAGTCATTGTGATTGACGGCTTTTTGGGCAATGAAACGGCCAAGAATAGCATGATATATGACCTTCTTGTTGAGGTAAGCTGTTCGGGAACACCTTTAACAGGCCGATATCGGCGTCTAACATATTCGGAGATAGTGGGCAGCAGTTGCAGCAGAATATCATCTGGTAGGTGGTTCTATTACCTGTCCGCGTATGTATTGCAATGTGCTAAAGCAACTTGATAGGCGCACGTCATTTTAATTTCCGACAACCCGACCGCAGTCAAGACGATCAGCAAAGGTAGTTTCTCCATGACCATGTCTTTTCAACTATTTGTCTCCCCGCGGTCTCATGGAGTTTGTACACAGCTATGCCGAACAAGACGATTGAAATGGTGTCTCTCTCCGATGCTAGCCCGGACAGTGCGCTGTCGGTCGTCCGGCGTAGGCTAGGTGAAGCTGTAAATGATGAGGAGCTTAAGCAATGCGTGGAAGGTCTCGGTGGGCGATTAACTGATCTGGAGTTATTGATCCAAAAGATTCGTGCTGGCATGTCGCCAAATGGTGAGTGTGGCTACTCACTTTCTAATCACGCCTACATACATCTCACACCATGTAATTAGATGCGTATCTGGAGATTGTCCTTCGAGCTGTCAGCGAGATCCGAAAACTTGGGCTCGGCGAAGACGTTGGAGATCAAAAAAGCCTCCAATGGACGCCAGTGCAATTCTGGAAGATCGTGCAACTCCTCAGTAAACATGATGAAGTCCTTTACGACCAACTGCGTTTCCACCCTTTGTTCAAAGGAGACGAAAGTCCTCTTCAAGCGATGGAGCGGGCCGGTCTCATCATGTTGAGCTACGACAATGGAAGGCCATATTCACTTCGTGCAAGTCGCCCTGTTTATCGGAGAGCGTTTTCCCAAATGCTAACTGATGAGGGACTTTCGGCCATCATGGGAATCATGACCACGAAGCAATTGATCGCCGACGAAGAGGAGAACATTCGCAAATGTACGGCAGAGATGAATAATCTGAACCCGCTGGCCGGTAATGGGACAGTGAAGAGGGAGGTGAATGACAGGTTGGATTATCTTACAAAGGCGCTGGGGGGCAGCGTTCAAAAGGTTAAGGCGCTCTCTGACGAACAAGCCAAATACAAAAACGTTGTTAAACTAGTAGAGTAGTGTAATTGTTGTATGGTAGTGACCAATGTTAATAATTATACATTTTGGATAAAACCTATCGCCTATGCTGTTGGATTTGAACTGCGCTTGTGGTGGTTATATGAGCTATGGTACAAACTATCTACTCATCCTCGTCCATCTCCTCCTAACCCTCTTCCTCGCTCTCATCCTCTTCCTCCATCTCATACTCCTCCGCCTCTTCATCATCTCCATCACTTAATACAAAGTCCTCCACCATATCATCCTCTGGGTCTTCCTCACCAGCGTGACGTCCGTTTGGCTTGCCTTTCGCGTTGCGCTTCTGTGCCGCTTTCACTTTGCCATCCTCCTTAGCCGCTGCTGCAGCCGCCTCCGCGTGCAACCTGGCCACCTCTTTTTCCTTTAACGCTTGCCGAGCCGCATTATGTTTGTACAGTGGAGACAAGTTGGGATCAATATCCGAGAGGAATGCGGCCTGCGAGAGGAGAAAGGAGCATAAAATGTTATCGCTCGAGACACCGCCTGGTTGCGACCCTCCGAAACACATACTGCTTTAGCTTCGTCCTTTGGACTGAACTCCACTTGTGATCTTCGATCTTGAATGAATTTACTGTTTTGCTCGAGCTACGTGAACAATATCAAACGGTTATTTCATTCGTTAGCGGGAATCTTAGCGACCCAAGATGTATTGGGGAGAATGCATACCTTTTCAACCAGTTGCTGAAGCTGCTTATTGATTTGTAGGTTCTTGGATTTCTTGACGTACCGCTTCAACTGCAGAGCAAAGTCATAGTCTTGTCAGATACCACGTGACTACTCTCTCCAGACATTGCATGAACCGGTTCATACCTGAAGAATAGCAGGCACAGCCAACTCTGGGAATGATACCGATAGTGCAAACGCCCCATAGAAATCGAACAAGAGGTTCACAATCTCCTCGACAAGCCCGGTTTGATATGGTCGTGTTCCCAAGTAGGAATTTGGTGCTTTGATAGCAAGCGTAAAGTCCAATGGCTTTTGAGTCGAGGGTTTTGCCCTACTTTTCAGCTCCGTGCTCTCAAATATCTCAAACAGATGGGAAGCGACAGGAATGAAAGTGCCCGTTGTGCGCATGATTTCAATCAATGCCCGCACGCAATGGAAACGCAAAGGGAAGAATTTAGAGGATGGCTTCAATCTGATGACACCGATCGAAACTTGAACGAGAGGATAAATCAACGGTCGGAGGGCGTTGCCGCCTACGGATTCCAAGGGATTCGTTTTGTCGCAATAGGTGCAGAGCAACCTCGACCATAGTCGCAGACTGTGGACGTATTGCCAGTTGTATACGGCTTTGAAGGATTCTTTGGTTTTGGTTGTGATAGCTGTTCGAAGATGCATTGCCAACTGTCTAATGCTTACGAAAGCATGTTGGTATGTGGTAGCAATGTGCACACCGCATAGTTCCACAATACAGTTGATCATGAAGTTGATGCTTGCCCATGTGTGGATGCTCGTGTTACGGGACTGGTCGGTATACGCGCGATACGTGCCTTTAAGGCACATGTCGAGATATGGGGTAGGTGCTGCGATGGCGATGCGACGAATGCAAAGGAATGAAACAATGCGAATCTCCTCGTCTGAGGAAGTCCAAAACTTCAAAAGTTGCCTAACATAATCTTTTCCAAGCTTTGGAAAGCATGCAAAGTACGGCGCTGAACCATCAGATTCCCGGAGAACAAACTTTATGACGGTGGTGTCCGTCATGGATTTCAAAATTCGAAGGAGATTCGTTAGAAAGGATTTAACCAAGGGTTGTATCTTCTTCCACTTGGAGCTGTTTGATGGTAGTCCCTTCCTGAAAGACAAAATATGTGTAAGATTGAGATACATGAATGTGTCATTATCGGGTGTGAAACCAACCGTTGCTTCTCGCCATCGGCGCTGCCGAATGCATGATGGTTGAACACGGATGGTGCATGCTTTATGCATAGTAGGAGGATGTTGTTGAACACTGCACCATTTTCCACTTTGTAGGAAAAGGTCTGCTCTTCGTCAGGATCGCCAGTGGCAGCTGCAGCACGAAAAGCTAGCAGAGCTTTTCGTACAGCCCGCAAGCTATATTTGTTGACCATAGACGCTCTCCATGAGGCGATCATTTCCTTTGTGACCACGGTAACCCCGTCATCATCTTCTACGTCGAGTTCATCACCGACATCCATTCCCTCCGTATCTGCGACGTCTCCCTCACCCTCTTCATCACTGCCCACTTCCTCTTCCTCATTCACAAAATCTAACAGTTCTTGGTCATTCTCTTGTAAGAATTTGAAGAATTCTGGATCCTTCTCCTTCAGCTCTTCTAGCTCTCGCTTGTGGGACGTGATTTCCTCCCTCAACTTCTTCTTCAGACCGCTCTTTTTTGAGCTCTTCCCATCTCCTCTTGATTCCTCATCGTCATCATCATCATCGTCATCAACATCCATCCCCTCACTTTCGACACCAGCGTCTGACTCTTCTTCCTCGTCGTCTAGCTCCTCCAAATCATCTAGATCATCAACCATGTCCGAGTCCGACTCAGCACCGCTCTCTGCCTCAGAGTCTGAACTCAACAATCCCCCATCCATGAAACCACCAGTGTCCGAGTCACTCGACAACTCCTCTGGGGAAACCTCTGCTTCTTCTGGCACATCTTGGGTTGGTGCGTCGTCCTTTTTCTTTCGGTACTTGTTCGCCTGCTGTGCCTTCTTTCTCCTGGCCAAGGTATCCTTTAGATGGTTCTTTACAAACTTTTTGGTACTCTTCTTGGCCTTGCCCATTGTTAAATGCTCGAATATAGGAAATTATAAAGTCAGCGAGCTGGTTTCGTCAAAAAAAGTGAGAGGTTTGCTAAGCAATCGAGATTAGCCACGTGACCTGCTTAGTACAATGCTTAGTCGACTCCAATGTCGTTTCGGACGCCAAGTTTGAAGCGTCGGACGTTCGTGGGGGGTGTTCAACGCACGAGGTGAGGAAACGTTTTGGGCGACGAGACGGCAGGACGGCTTGGGTTTGGGCTTACATCCGTACAGGCCTACTCCATTAAAGATCTGTGCAATGGTGTACTTGTCGGTTTGTGTGTCGAGACGCAACAGCATTGATTATCGTTGCACTCTCCTCAGGTGAAGGCGGTCGACCCCCACACCCGGCTTTCCCGGGGCCTCGAGTCGTTCTGCCACATCTGCAGGGAACCAACCAGAAATGCCTCCCAAATTTCGCCTTTCATTATAAAAAGAACACGAAAAAGCGACGACGATGAACAAAACGTTCGCCGTGAGTTTGAAATCTCTCGCTGCTTTGACGCGTCTTTGTAACGCTAAAAGGGCTGAAGTGTTCAATGGGGAATCCGTCCAGCAAAAACAGAAAAAGTGCCCGACTTGGCCAAAGTAAGGTTTCAGCTGCTCGCCATGAAATCTTGTCGCTCGATCGCTAGCTATTATGAAGGGCGGGTAATCCAATTCCGAGGCAATAAACAAACGTTCGAAATTTGCGCTGGAGCACAAACTCTTGTTGTTTTTCCTGGGTGGCATATTTCAGCCCAAAAGGTTTTTGTCGCTGAGTTTCGGACGTCCACTTTTCTGACAAGAAAGTCATTTTGGCTTCGCCATAGCGTACATAAATACAATGGCCGGACACTTGGTCCCCCCTGTTAAGGTAGTTTTGTGTGGTCACATCAGGTTGACCACAATTATAAGGGCTTTCGCACCATGTTGCTTCAACGACTACTTTTGAGTTTGTGCGGATTTGTCGTCCTATCCGTCCAAGCTCTGCCTGCTCCACAAGAACCAACTGTAAGAATGGTTTTCCAATCCCCTCCTCCTTTACACCCTGTCTATACATGATCTAATGGCGCATCGTCCACTCCATGTCCCATTGTACACTTTTTTTTGTGAATCCAGGTTACAGATAATGCCGGACCACCTGTTCATACTGGCGGTCTCAATCAGGTCCAAACGGGTCAACCGAATATTCCTTCCGAGAAACTAGTCAACAATCCTCTTTCCCCCGCTCGTGTTGGCCCCAACAGGGGGGCGAACAAGGACCAGATCAGGGAAGCTGCCAAGAAAGCTGCCTCGGGTATTGGCATAGCAATCCCACCGGGTCAGGGTTTTGGAGGTTCGACCAACAGACCTCACAATCGCCGGCAAAGCGTCCCCCTAGCGTACATCGACCAAGCATGTGGACCCGACGTGAACCATCGTGCTGCTCCGGGTCTTTGTTGCAGTCAATGGGGCTGGGCAGGAGTGACATCCGAGCACTGTGGCCAAGGTTGCCAATCCGCGTGGGGTCGTTGCGATGACGGAAAGCTTCCCAAAGTGTATACTCAGTGTGCAAAGAGTGGCGTTATCGCATTGACATTTGATGATGGACCATCTGTGCTCACCTCGGGGTTACTTGACTACTTGAACTCCAAGAATGTCAAAGTCACTTTCTTCCTCAATGGTCTCAATTGGAAGAATATAGACACAAAGAACCCTCTGCCGGGCATATTTGCTCTGAAGGATGTTGTCAAAAAGGCATTTGATACTGGACATCAGGTTTGCCCTTCCCAACTTTGACATTGTCTGATCGCTTGCCCTAAACGAGATACGATTTTCTAGATTTGCAGTCACACCTTTTCGCACATTGACCTTCTCTCGAGCATCTCTGACCAGTACAACATTACTTACGAAATGACAAAAATGAATCATGCATTTAGGGAAACTCTCGGAACTATCCCAACGTACGTCTTGGTCTAGCATGGAGATAAAGGCACTATTTGAAAATGGCGACTAAATATTCAAATTTCCAGGTGCATGCGGCCACCGTATGGCGATTATGATGAGACGTCACTAAAGATTCTGCGGGGACTTGGTTATTCTACCGATACCACGCTGAAAACCACCGGAGCCATCGTATCCTGGAATCTTGATCCAGTCGACTGGAACCCTTTTGTTCACGGTGCTACAATAGCAGCTCAGGTCGCCGATATGCAAAAGGAATTCCAAACGCAGACGGCTGGTTCGACCGCGGCTACTTCTCGTTTTATCACCTTGAATCATGACGTATGGAACACTACAGCCGACTTCCGTCCCAAGGGCCAGGGCCAGCTTGCTAGTCAGGTTCCCCCTGTCAAACCTCTCGCCCAGCAAGCCATCGAGTACTTTTTATCAAAGAACTATAAATTCGCCCGCGTTGATGAGTGTCTCGGTTTTGCAAAGAATAGCATGTACAGACAGCCGACTCCAAACGACGAGGTTTGCGGACCATGGAATAGCGATGGCAGTGCATGTTACTCTTAATCGGACAATTTCTTTGCGCTAGGATATAGACATGTCTAAAACCATAGAATTGGATTTAGCATCAATGTGCTTTTGTTAACATGCTGGCGTAAACGTACCTGTTTGCATGGCCAACAAGACCAACGTCTTTTGATTGTGCAACAAGTTAACCTGTCATTGTCATTCCAATCCAATTCAGTCCTCATGAGTTCCCGGAAATGCTACGACAGGTGCATTAACTGTAACAAAAAGACTGAACCAGTCAGGCAAAACTGGGTTATTGCTGAGAGCCTAGCAATCGCACTTCTCGTCCGAGCTATGTTTGCTTCGATCCTTGCTTGATATTTGTTTTCATGTCTAAACCACAAGGATACTTTGAATGTACTCTAGAAAATATCAGTCTCTCATTTTCATCCTTTTCACCCTTTATCACAGGCCCTTCCTCCGAAGAGGATGCCATCATCTCCCGAAGGCTCCGGCGAGTCGTTGCTCCTACCATTTCTGGCGCGCGCACACGATCAGTCCCAGGCGCCCACCTCAAAAAGGTATCACGTTGCATTACTACAACGGCCTTTAAAGTTATCCGGTTAAGACTTTTCGACTGAGTTGAGTTTAACGCCAACGTCCCAAGGTGAGAGTACTGAAGAGCGAGTGGGGGGGATGCGAGAGAGGGTGCCTTTTTATAACCCAGGGGGACTGCGCTTTTTTTTGCATTTCGAAATTCTCAGCGGAAGATTCCGTATCCTGCGTACGTCATTCTTCTGAGCACGCCATGAACGCCCAATCATCGTCGTCGTTTCCACCTCCTGGCAGACCTCCTGGCGTGCGTTCGTTCCCCTTGCACACGGCGCGCGAGTCAAGATCATGTAAACGCGTGAAGCGAGTCATTTGTTTATCTTGATTTTCCCACGGTCCTCCCCAAACGAGATGAAGACGAATATCGTACGCACAGACAGCACAAGATGTCAAGTACTTGCTCTGCCCAAGAATACGATAGTCTACTGCAAGGTCAGGTATGCAAATCACTCATAGACAAAGACTCCTATGCGTTTCATCGGCAAGCTGTACCTAGATGCTTACCCCATGACGTTTGTGGGCAATCGCAGAATAGCCAGCAGTGCATGTTACTCCTTATCTCGGTGATGTCCTGCGTGCTACTAGGTATCTACTCTGTATCCATTCAAATTGTAGGACTATGCGGTGCTCGACACCGTCTCCACCAATGGCTCACTAAAAAGGCTCAATACTGCCATAGAAAATGCTTTGACTAGCATGCGGAAAAAGGCATACATTCGTTGAAAAAGTTTGAAGGGCGCCAACTACTGGCTCCGCTGTTGCTTCTTGCACATTAAACCTTTTGTTTCGCGATATGTAAATACAATTGTGGGCAAGCAAATGAACTACAGATTATCTGTACTACAATCCGTCAATGCGTCTTCTCCATACAAGCTTGTCATGATCATTCTCGTCGTACCATCCTTGCGCTTGACAAACGCCCCAGTGGAACTTGCAGGGTGAAAATTGCCATCATCCTCAAAAACTGTCTGGACATCCCAGTTGTTCTGATCATCCTTAGCCACCTTTCCATCGTTGATACTGCGCTCCTTGATTCGTTTCACAATGCTACCACTTGGACCAGCTCCCCATTTTGCAAACGCTACGAGTGCTAGCGGCTTTGGATGCCCAGCAATGGTCACATCACCCGTTGCCGGATCCAAGTCCAAATTGTCGGTCACGAAGCCAACATCCACACTACTGTCGTGCTCCAGACTACCGCTCCGATCAACACGGTAGACGCTTACTCGACCGGCCAATGACTCTGACACATACATGCGCTTCTTTTCATGATCCAGTGTAATTCCGTTTGCGTGAACCAGTCCGGTAGCAACGACGCTAGCTTGCCCATCCGAATAGTAGACAACATTGGAGAGCGGGAGCCCCAAATACGTTTCGAGAGCATGAAGAAAGCCGCTTGGGAATCCATGATCGTTGGTCACGTAAAAGGTGCTATCATTGACGACGGTGATACTGTTCGGAGTTGTGATGAGTGGATGTGAGATCGTTCGTTCATGCTTGAGTGTCGCGTTATGTAGATGAACCGAGAAGATCTCAATGGAAAACCCGACATTTGCCAAGTTAATGGCGTAGAGAAGTGTCGTTTTATCGGGAAGGGTATACAGGGAAAGTCCGAGTGGGTGGAACTCTCTGACAAAGTCCGGAGTAGAGAGTCGTTGCGGTTTGTGACTTGGTTCCTGAGATTATTGTTGTAGTTACTTCTTGTAAGAAAGGCCGTGCACATTTAAAAACTAACGTTTACGTCGTATGCGTATAGTTCTCCACTTTTTTGAATTCCCCCTTTTGGCACGATACCCATGACCGGATTCCATTGGCGACCTACAACTGCCGTTTGGTCTTCTCATTTGCGCAAACTACAAGGATATGTACTCACGGTTCGAGTCGCAGGACAGGATTGCTATTCCGCTTGATCGATCTATGACAACATCCTCACAATTTACCAGCCCTGAACCAAAAGGAGACGACTCAGTTCCGTGTGTGCCAGGAGTCCATCACCAACGAGCACTGATGGCCTATATGATCTGCTATACCTTTCACTTTGTGACACTCCCCTGGACGGACGTTTTTGATAGTGTACCGCAACCCTGATATGACTATCTTTGGCCACAAAACCTTGCGTCCCGAGGATACGAGGTCTGCAAGTTAGTGATATGTACAGGGCGAGAAAACATCAAAGCTCTCAACAGTGGCCTTCTCTACGAGAAGTGCGTACATTATTCACAAAATAAGCCAGTATGACTGCCCAGAAAACTGTGCGCCACTTAATGTTGGAGAGAGGCCTCAACTTTTCGTATTCCGGCATATTTCCTCTGGTACACGATGGTTTTATTATTTAAAAGCCTGGTGTCGTTTGACTGGCACGCAACAAAAAGTAAACGAGAAAGCTGGAGTCGGGAGAGCGCACCAAAAAATTTAAAGATCGCTCGTTTAAACGGGAAGCTTCGTCGTGCTGCACAAACTTAAACACCCACGGCGGTTAAGATGGAAAGCCACGACGGTCATATTGGAAAGCATTGATATGCCCGAGCAATTGTTGTTTTTCCTCTTGACAATGGTATATCATGCAACATCCGTTATAAAAGTCTGTAGTGACAATCTTGCAAGATAATAAGAGGTCCGAACTCGGTGCGACATGCCCATGTCCGAACGTGTCGCATTTGTTGAGCATAATGCTCTTTCCAACATTTACACTGTAACGAGGCACAAGTGCAGAAGGATCGCTACCGTATCGCAATTGTTGCTCACAGACCATCATTGGCTAGGAAAAGGTCTAAAAAACGCCAATCTCACCACATTCACATGCAAAATGGTCCAGATCGTAATTCCTGCGACGCAATTGCATCCGCAATCCACAAACGGCGCATCACCAAACGACTGGATAATGATCGAACTACAGGGCACCCTAGCTGCTGACGGCTCTGACGACATGGCGGGTCTGGAACTCGGCAAAATAGAGTTGAAAGCCAATGTGCGAGTTCATAAGTCCAATTCTTACCCTGATACTGCCCAGGGCAACTGACAATTTCCGCTTGTTCCAGGGAATACCATATCTTTACATTGCCAACCACAAGCTTGAAGGTCAACGTGTAGAACTCAAAAAGCCGCTCGCTTTGATTCGTAAACGTCGAACGATGGGAGGAATGCAACCGCCGGACGGTGTCCTAGATACCATGGATGGAATAGAACCCAGTGCGGACCCGTCGATAACCTCCCAATCAGATTCTTTCCCCTCCCTCCCTCCACCTGTCCATCTAAACCTCTCCCTATCCTCCATTGCCTCCGACCCATCGCTCTCGGTAGAGAATGTCTCACTTGCAGATCAACCAAATAACTATAGTGAAGCCACCGCCGATCTGCGACCAGGAGGACTTGTAGGCGAGACTGATTCCCATCAAGCCACTGAAGCGTTGGGGCAAGCAGAGTATGATGTTGTTACAATAGTGCGCTATAAGTACTTGTTCAAATCCCGACCAGACTATGTACTAGAAGAGAAATACCGTGGATTGACGGATTTTGCAAAGGGGTGAACGCAAAAAGTAGACAAGGCTCAATCTGGACGTGAAGCTGTAACTCCATTGTATCTAACTTGCATATAGTAAATAGACTAGGTAATACGAGACGAGCTCAGGGATTAGAATTTGGATAGGAGGACTATTGCAGCAAACATCATGCTCTGGCAAAACCTCTGCGGAAAGCCGACTTCGTTGTCGAGCGAGATCTTTCTAGTGTTTCTACTTTTTACAACTCACTTTCTGGGTATACATACAAACAAAAATCGCCGTCAGATATCAAAGTCCTGGCTACTTAAGTCAATCCATCCACATCCATTGTGTCTTCGGGAGCACTGTCTGAGTTGGTGTGATCAAAGGCATCTACATATGCATCTTGTACTGGCAGTTCATCGGGCCAATAGTAATTGTCCTCCTGCGCTCCAGGCTGCTTGCGATTACGTTCTCCATCTTCCTCCTCCCAGCTGCCGATGCCACTGTCGGAGCTTGCCTCGGAACCTTCCGTACTTCCGTTGACTCCGGTATGCCATTTCCAGCCATTCGCCATTTCGCCATCTTCAAAGTTCTCGGGAGATAAAAGACCGTCCGCATGATCATCCCACATACTTACACCTGTGCCAATTCCCAACACTCCATCATCTTCGTCCCATGTCCATTCCGTATCATCATAATAATCGCTGAGCATTTCCTTGCTGAACCGCTGTGTTGCAGAAAACAGCGAGCGGGGTCTGATAGAAGGCAGATCCGCGGGGCTGACATCACCATTCGCACCATTTGGAGGTGATGACCGAAACACGTCGATACCGGTATTCCACAGAGCATTTGAACCAGTCGAATCTGGCTCATACACCTCGTGCCGCAGCCATTCCTCATAGTTTTCCATGAAATTCACGTCCAAATCCAAATGATCATGGTAAGCAGGATTTCGGACACCGGAGGTTATAAAGCGCACATGAGAAGTATCCCCATCATCGTAGCTGACACGGCGCGAGAGGGATAGAATCAGATCGAGTTCGTCCACATGCGAATCGCTGTCCTCCCCGTCCCCAGGCGTCGGAGCGCTACTTGAGAACAGACCTCCGTAGCGATTTTCATGGTAGGATGAGATCAAAAGACGCAGGCCCTGCTCTTGTGCCTAGAAATAGGGATTAGCCGGATAGAGGAAAAGAATCTGTAGATCGGATGATTTTACCAATGCCTCGTCGACATCCACGTCCACATCACCAGAGAGAAAATCATCCTTTAAATAGGGACGCAAATGCATGTAGATAGCTGTAATGACCTTCATGTTACCTAGTGACAGCATCCAACCATATATGAGGACTGGAGCCGATCGCCACTTTACAGAAATAAGAACTCACTTGATCGCCACTTCTTTCCCAAAAATGGAATTTGACTTTTCAAGAGTTTCAAGGCATAAAGCTGTAATCCAACGTGATGGACTTTCATGACTCGCTTTAAAACAGCGGAGGCCTTCCATTGCACCAAGGCTAATACACGATGCGTCTTAGATTTTGTGAGCTTTTGCAGGATGCGAAGTAGACTGATTGCGGTGAAGAAATTGCGGAAGCAAGAAGGGGTTCTTCTGTCCGTAGAAACTGATGCTCTACGAGAGTTTGACGTTGATAAGTTGTGGGTGCTGTCCGAAGAATCTATGCCATTCTGTGCAGTGGAGGCGGCGCTCAATTGACCATCGCTCGACACATCCATGGCATCTACGTCCGCGGAAGTGGCCCTGTCGATCTCCTTGTTTGCTTGGCAGAAATGGAAAAAACTGACGCACCGAATGTGTAAGTTCAACCGCTATCAGCTATATAAATTTGAAGGTCGTGCTTACTTCAATTCCGCCGGTTCATCTCTAGCTGACAGCCAGCCTGAAGCCATTCCATATGGGGGTTGCTGGGCCCTCGATCCAGAACTTGGCGCATCAGGCCATCCACTTGCATCATGGTCTGAGTGCGTTGGTGAGGGCGCGGGAGGATTCTGCAACCATGTACTGAGCATCTTGAGGATCAAAATGGCACAGTTATTATCGACCAAAAGCTGTGCGATGTATTCAAATTTGAGGGCGTCTGTAGATAGACTGTGGTCAAAACAACACTTGGGTACGTCGGGTTCACTCATTGGCACACTTACGGTGACACTTGGCAGCTTTCAGCAACAATAACAAAATTGCAGACACGGCCTTTGTAACCACTTCCTTATGCCGGTTAAGATCCACACGGTCAAAATACTCCTGTTTCTGCTCTATCGTCATTTGCGAGAGCGGGATGTCCGTAGTCCAAGAGCTTTTACCCGCATCGGGCGAAGGTAGCGAGGGATTCGTGTCTTTACCAGTTCCGTTGATATTGGTTCCTTCGCCCTCTTGCTTCCCAGGTGCTCCGGAAGAGTTTACTATATTACCGAGATTAACGTAATAGAGGAGGCGAATAAGCATTCCAATGTACGTCCCCATATTTGGTAAGATATGACGCTGATATCAAGAAACCATGAGATGAGCCACGGCTTTGAACTGTATCCAAAAAATAGGCATACTCACGTATAGCAATTCAACCCGTTTGAGTCCTGCAGAATCTTCTTTCCTAGCTCTCTTTCCCCCGCCCCTAACCCCAGGTCGCATTGCTTGTACGTCCCGTTTACGCTCGCTGCCAAGATGACTTATCGAGTCGTCTTCCATTCCATCCATTATATCCGGATTTCCTGTGTCATCATCATCCCTCTGCTTTCTGAGATCTTCCCTTTCCATACGAGCTTTCTCTTTGGCAATTTGTACAGAAGATAGGCTGATGTAGTTATGCTTGCGATATAGCTCAACGCTTTCCTGAAAAGCACGTGGAAGAAGTTCATTTGCATCGGTAAAGGGCTGAATTAGGGGTGGCTGCTGCAATTGTCGTCGAATACTAGTGGGTAGAGGCTCCGCCAATCGCACTCCCGCTGGAGATATTGACTCTACGCTGGGTGTGACATATGTGGGGTATCTGGTTGCGGTGATAAGATGGTAATTGTGGTAATCCTGGGGCGTTGACTTTAGAAAAACATCTGTTTATGGTGAGCATATTCATGAAGTACAAAAGAAAGCCTCTCACACGATACCTACTGTCTGATGGTGAGCGGGGTAGGCCTTCTATTGCCCGTGAAGCGTTCTTCAAGTCCTTCAAACGTTTCGTGTCCCCAACCGAACAAAGCAGCACTTTCCACAACAATAACAAGAGCTGGAGCAAGAAATGTTCAGTAATGATCGACCCTGGTCGTTCCACAACCCAACATATCATACCTTTTTGACGGGATAATGCTTGCGGTTACCCTCCGCCAATTGGGCAACCAAGCTAAAAAGATACCCAGCCATTGTTGGATTCACATCCACTACACGATACGTGATCATGTCGATAAGTTTGGGTCCGATGTTATACATTACTACCGCCATACGTACTGAGTTCATTAGCCAATCTCGGATCTTTTGCATTCACCTCAACCATGAGGCACAGAAGACTAAGGTACACAGAGGTCTCTCCGTTTGCTAGGTCCATGGCGACTTGTCTTTCAGCTGCTGTCACTTGTGGGTCGGTTACTCGCGAGATTACATCAAGCGTATTCGAGACCACTTTCACAGCTCCAAAGTAATATTCTAAGGCACCCAGTTCAAAAAGCAGCTTATTGTACTCTCTGATATTGCGCAGCTGTTCTTCTTGCCCTGATGTTTCAGCAAAAACACCTACGTGTGGTGGTTAATGCGAAGCCAGATCATTTTCTCACACATCCACTCCCGTACCTTGGGCAATGTAAAGAAGCTTCTTCGCGGCCGTATAGCGCTCTTCCGGGTCTCTGAGCTCGAGTCTTTCGAGCAGTAATGATATGTAGTCGCGTCGGACTTTGGCGCTTGCGGATGCCCACTCTGATAGAACGCGAACGTAATAAGCGGCTGCTACAGACAGTTCTTGAGAAGCAGGCACACCATTTTCCCATACCACTAGCAAAATCCGAATGAAAAAGGACTTTCCCTTCCAGGATGTGTGCTTTGTCTTGATAATTGTAGAATTCATTGATTTCATTTTCGATAGAATCATGATCGGCATATATAAAATCGTACTGCGGCGGCTAAAACCGTCATCAAACGCTATTTAACACAAGGATTCTCGTTTGAAGTAGATTCGAAGCCTTATGTCTGAAAACCAAGGACCGCAGCAGAGCATAAACAAATTCACCACATTACCTTCCTTGGTGGTTCGCCACCATGCATCTTTCTCAACGAATTCTCTCTGGCCCGTAAAAGTCGTGATTTCAAATCAGATGTATCAGTTAACGTTGAAGTCGACGTTCCATTTAACAGCTGCGTATCCTCGGTCAACCCTTCTGTGGCATCGGCGGGCGACGCGGCATGCTCGCCCTGCTTTATATCATTTAAGGAAGGGAGCGGAGCTGAGGGATCAAATGGAGGCGGCGGAGGAGTGGGTGGAAGTGGTGGGGGAACTACACTGTGAGCATTCTGTAGTGTCGTGTGAATTGGCCTAGGAGCAAAGACGACCGGTGGAGGAAGACTAAGGGGCTTGCGCTCCACGATCATAGAAGGGCGTACGAGAGCCAGCGTAAATGAACCTTTCCTTCACAAATAATGGAGATTGTGATGTGTGTGCGGCTGGAAGGGCCTGTAAATAAGCGATCTCGTTCAAGATGGTGTCGGCGGTAAGAGAAAGTGACAAGGTCATGTAAGCTTCAAGCTGATCGGTGTTGTTTGGATTGAATGCATTATAAGGTAAATGTTATCCGGTTCCAATCTCCTCATCTGACGTGATCGCCATTGGTTTGCTAGAGTTGCCAAACACCGCCAAGATGGATCGGGTATCACAACTACAGGAGCTCCTAGACAAGGTACTATGTCTGTGACAGTTCAGAGAGAGCTTGTGCGTTCTTACTGACGGCGAAACTTGTATATTGTAGACAGTTCAAGACTTTGCTAAGGCGCTGGGGAGGTTGCAATTCGAGACACCGCCAGTTGCTGTAGATCTCAACACTCCAGTAACCTTCCTTTCAGGTACATGCAATGCAATCTTGTTGTTTTTGATATTGATTGCGGTGTCTTAACCGAGTATCGCACGCAGAGGAACAACTCCGCAGCAGCCAACAAAATAAGACAGGTTGAAACGTTATGAGCTGGCGCTGTTAACCTTTTCTGACTCTTAGCGTCAATTAGCCTTTATCCAGGAAACTGCAAAAGATATGATTCTCTCAGTTAAGGCTATGGACTACCTCATCGATAATCTACCCGCGATTAATATGACCCAAGACGACCAGGTTAGCGTTTGTAGATCGCGTCACAGTGTCCTTGTAAACTGACTTTCATTGGCGTCCCTTTTAGAACGCGCGATTGCGGGATTTAAACGAAGAGAGTAAAGCGGCAACGATAGAACTTCAGGAAGCGGTGGACGAAGCTGGTAGGATAGCGATCGATCGAATCTTTAGTAGACATCAGCTGACAGCATCTTCCATGTGTCTGGCGAAAAAAAGCGGAAATACTAAGGGAAATCAGAGATACAAGAGATTTCCTGGCTCGACAGAAATCGCTTGTAACAGATGATGATGGGGCTGGTAGCTAATACCGACGGCGTCACAAGTCCTCTTACTTTGTAAATATCGGTCGGTCATGTAAATAATGGCACAACGCCCGCGAAAAGTAAACGGAGATCGAAGGCGATTGAACAACGGCGGACCAGTAGTACGCGTACTCTTTCTTTTCTATGTAAACAATCAAAACTATCTTCAAATATCATCACAATGTATCGAATTCCATCGCTGCATTGGTCTAGATGATCTGGTTTAGCGACTTGCTTTCCTCTAGTGCTAGGAGCTTAGGAATCACTTCATCCAAAGGCACCACCTGCCCTTTCCCTCCGAGCTCACGATCGTCCCGATTACGGCAGTTTACAGTCCGCGCAGCCTGTTCTTCCTCACCGACAACAAAGATGAAGTTATACCGGGCCATTAGATCCGCCCGAACAATCTTCTTCTTAAGAGTGAATTCACTTAGATCTGCCTCCGCATTTAATCCCTTCACATGCAGCAGCTGTGCTACTTCGGCCGCGTAATCATTATACTTTGGAGCGACAGGAATGACCATCACCTGCTTTGGTGACAGCCAGAACGGCCACTTGCCAGCGAAATTCTCGGTCAAAATGGCAATGAATCTCTCAACGGAACCCAGGATAGCACGGTGGATCATCACAGGCCGCTCATATGTCATGTCTTTAGAGCGGTACTGCAGTTCAAAACGTTGAGGAAGTTGGAAGTCGAGCTGCAACGTAGCGCATTGATGCTTTCGACGAAGCGCGTCCGTCATGACGATATCAATCTTGGGACCGTAGAACGCACCATCTCCCGGATTTAACTCCCACTTTTTACCAAACTTAACGAGAGCCTCCTCCAAGATTTTCTCCGCCTTGTCCCAGGTTTCAACATCTCCCAGATACTTCTCCGGGCGGGTGGAAAGCTTCAAGTAGAACTCAAAGTTAAAAATACCATAAATGTGTTGCAGAAACTCTAGGCAACCGTCGATTTCGTCTCCAAGCTGATAGAGGAAGCATGAGCACCAAAACATTATCCACTTCCGAATTGACCTAGCAGTTCTACCTGGCTTATTGTACAGAAAATGTGAGCATCATCCTGCTGGAATCGTCGGACACGAGTTAATCCCGACAGAGCTCCCGATGCTTCGTTTCTGTGCAGCACACCAAAGTCGGCCAAACGCAATGGTAGCTCACGGTAAGATCGCTCTCGGTGCTTGAACATCACGCAGTGCCCTGGGCAGTTCATTGGCTTCAAAGCCCATTTCTCCTTCTCGACATCAAGAACGAACATGTCCTCCTACAAAGCATATGAGATGAGAACGGAGTCAATATATGTGAAGTAGTGGAGCTATTTTACCGAGTAGTTCGCCCAGTGACCACTAGTTTCCCATAGTTTCGTATTGTACATATTCGGGGTGATGACTTCTTGGAATCCACGTCTTCGGTATTCGCCCTTTCCAAAGGTCAATATTAGCGACAGAGCTGATCTAATCTCTTTGTAAGTTCCTCACCTTTTGAAGTTCCATGAGTTTGTTGTAGATTTTGGCACCAGCTGGGAGAAAGAAGCAACTTCCTGGGCTAAGGTCGTCAAAGAAGAAAAGTTCTTGCTCCTAAAACCGTGAGAAAAAAGTGCGTAAGTGAGACGCCAAACCCTTTATGTTCAAATATCGTATATCATCTACCTGGCCAATCTTACGGTGATCCCGCTTCGCCGCTTCTTCCATGAATTCCTTGTACTCTTTCATTTGCTTGTTGTCCGGGAATGAGATACCGTAAACACGCTGGAGAGAATCATTCTTCGCATCGGCCAGGAAATAAGACGCCGAGTTCTGAATACTTGGGAGGTGAGTTCACTGCTGTCGAGGATGGTAAATTACGCGTTTATTCTCTACCTTAGTGACGGCAAAAGCCTTGATACGCCCCGTGTGCGGGATATGCGGTCCGACGCAAAGATCGATCAATGGGCCGCATCTATAGACGGTGGTCGAAGTGCCATCTGGGACTTTGTCTTTGATAAAGTGCTGCTTGTACTTGTTGTGCTTAAACATTTCGAGTAAAGTTTCCTTCTCTACCACCAGCCGCTCGAAAGGCTGCTTTTCATTAATTGCCTTTTTGGCTAAGGTTTCCAACGCGGGGTAATCAGCAGCATTCACAGCTCTGGAAACCCGTTGAATGTTCGTCAATAGAGGCAAGTATAAAACTCCAACCGAGCCAAACATACCCGTCCATGCCCATCTCATAGTAGAAGCCTTGCTCAATAGGAGGACCCAGGCAGAGATGGCATCCGTAGTGAAGTTCGCAAGCTTCCCCCAGCACGTGAGCAGATGAGTGCCAGTAGACTTTCTGTCCTGTTCACCGCAGCACGTGTAAACATCAGGCGTTACTGAAAGCAAAACCAAAACTCATACCCTACCTTCATCATCGTCAAAGGTCAGAAGTTGCAATTGACATGATTGCTCCAACGGTCTGGGTAAATCCCACAATTGCCCGTCAACCTTTGCAATCACAACCTTTTCTGATAAAGATTTGCTGATTGACTTGGCAATATCCAATGGCGACGTTTCCCACGACGTTCCTGAGATCTCTTTCCCGTCGGGCAAGGTGATTTTGATGTTTTCACGCGGCATTTCTGGGCGTACAGAAATGGATATAAGTATTCAGCTATTTGTTGGACGACAACCATGCATTTCTCCAATTACTTGAGACTTTTTCATCGTATTCCTTCTTCAACCTTTCAAACATGTCGATACGCCACTGGATGTACTCCGGTGGTGGGGTGATCTTGCGGGTTGGAAGGTACGGTGATCAGCCTAACGTTCAGCGCTCGTCGCTGCCGACAGGCAGTGTCCATGGCGGCGTACTCACCTCAAGCGAGGCAGCATCGCCCCCTTTTTGTTTCTTTGGATTCGCAGCCTTTACAGCAAGGTCCTTCATTTTCTGCGAAACTTCCCCAACGCCGTTGCTCGCCATTTTGTACAAAAGGCAAATTGCAAGTGGGAAACAGCTACCAGCAGGCGTGGGGAAGATTGCTGACCGCGTTTTGTCGTGCTGTGCCATTCTTGTTACCATGGCTTCCAACCTCATCTCACAGCAGGCAATTCTCTCATCATGCAATTTGGGCATTTCTCATTTCCACTGGCAAACCTGTTTATTGATTTCATTGTCGTTTGAACCATGGCACCGCAACCGAAAATCGCCCCCTCAATGCTGTCCAGCGACTTTGCGCAATTAGCCGCCGAAGCGAAGCGCATGATTGACTATGGTGCGGACTATTTGCATATGGACGTCATGGACGGGTGAGGGAGTGGCATTAAGAGCAGCCTGGTTGCCTTATCTGGTATGCGTCTGCTCTACTAACAGCTTGCAAAATATAGTCATTTTGTACCAAACTTGACTATGGGACCCCCAATTATCAAGAGTCTTCGGAAGCACACGGATGCTTTCCTAGGTAATGTCGGCAAAAGACAGCTACTCCATGTGGAACTGCAGACAAAACGTTGCTAAATGACCGTAAACTTTCTGACGACAGACTGTCATCTGATGGTATCAAACCCAGAAAAGGTTGTATCTCCGTAAGAGACTATGAATTCAGTTTGGCTCTGCTCACTCTGCCTTTCCAAGTGGGTCCATGACTTTGCGAAAGCTGGCGCCTCACTCTATTGTTTCCACATTGAGGCAACCGGTCAGTATGGGTCAGAACTGTTGTAGATTAAACAGTCTGATTCTTTACCATGGTCTGCCCGTAGATGACGCTTCTGGTTTGATCGATAAGATCCACGCAGCGGGAATGAAGGCCGGTCTAGCTGTGAAGCCAAAAACGAAAGTGGATGTAGTATTCCCTCTAGTAGAAAAGCTGGACCAAGTGTTAATTATGACTGTCGGTACGTTTCGTCGCTACAAATTATCATCTAGCAGCAACTTGTGCGGGGCCCTAATGTAATGGATGGTCAGAGCCTGGCTTTGGAGGTCAAAAGTTTATGGAAGACTGCGTGGAGAAGGTCAGGATTCTCCGTAGCAAATATCCAGAACTGGACATAGAAGTCGATGGTGGACTGGGCCCTGATACCATCGACAAGGCCACTTCCGCTGGTGCGAACGTTATTGTTGCTGGTACCGCCATTTTTGGTGCCCCATCACCCAAGGACGTGATATCCATCCTCAGGGATAGTGTGTTGAGGAACGTTACCAACAAAGCGTAGAAGAGAACGATGACGACCTTCCTGTACATGGCTATGATACATTAGGTACTTGAGGGTGGGTTCGACTGGATTGCCTAGCCAAGCGGCCCCATCCATTGTGGTAGGCAGGGGATTGAATAACAATGGGGATGTAGAACGGTTGGAAAAGGCATGTCGCTGTATATACTGTCAAGTTATTTAGCCCTGTCTAACAGGAATATACAGATGCAAACAGCATCATATTTCATAGCACAACCAGAAATTCGTGTACTACAATGATGCTAGAGGTCAAACTAACGTACTGCGCGACCCTTGTGCAGTTGTCTTACCTCGAACTGAATATCACCAGCCACGCTTTCCAAGCTTCTCTTTTCAAATCTTCTCTCCTTTTCCTTCCGCCTCATGCGTCGTGTCACTGTTTCAGGCATGTTTGCAGTGTCTTCCTGAGTCCCCGGCGCTTTCCTGAAATCCCATGCGAGTAAATACACATCCCCTCCTTCATTCTCTACTGTACACATCAAAAAAGATCCCCGGGCATCAAGTGTGAAATCTGTAATCACTTCGTTAGGCCGTATTGGATAGCCAACCGTAGATTGGAAGCTCAGAGACTCCGATAGACGGTATAGCAGTACCCCTGCATGAAGGTCCCACACACATATCTAGGAAACAAACAGCTGCTAGTTTAGTGGCATGCAAATACTGGACTGGCTAGCACTATGCCTACCTCATGACACCGCACGCCTCGCGAAACTAGGATATTGTCATACATTGCCAATACGGTCGGATAGTGTGTGGAATCATATTCTTCCCGATGATGTTGTGTGGGTTCGGACAATGTGTGTCGCAGGGTACCGTCGATTCGCGATATAACTAAGAATACGGTGTTCTGAAATCTTAGTGTTAGAGCCTTCCTCCACTACCACATCTCCTGACCCGCCATTTTATACCTCAAATCCGCACACAACAGTGTCTCCCCACACGGCAATCTTCACCTCCCGGGTAAGGACAGTCGGATCTACATGTTCAAACTTCCTCACATCGATCCTCGTCAGTCGAATCTTGGCCTTTACATCCCACACGTCAATAATATTATCATTATTGTAGCTAACGAGAATGTTTTCATGTATTGCGCAGTCAAGTACATCCACACCGCCAATGACATGGATGCAATCAAAGGTTGCTAGATCCCAAACGCGCATAGTGTTATCTTCTGCTCCGGTGACAACAAGATTGCGCTGGTTGGTTGTTAACGTGACAAGCGGAAGGTTATGTCCCTCGAGAAAGGTTGGGGTATGCCCGTCGACTTTGCAGACAGCCAGATTATGACCCGAGATCCAACACATGTAGGGGCCGCAAAGTCGGAGATTGACCGCATAACCACTGGAGTAGGGGCCGCAAAGTCGGAGATTGAACGCATAATTACGGTTAGCTTGCATTATTTGGATAATGACAGTTTAACCATGCTCACCTTCCAGCTGTGGTCGGTTGACCGCAATGCAATATATATCTCCTATTCTTCCGAGCATAGATATCTTTCTTCTCTTCCACAAGCTTCTGCCGCCTAGGGCGCGAGTCTAATTCTGTCAAATCGGCAACCATACGAAATCTGTACTGTCCTGTATACAAATTATGTCTCTCTTCATATATTGTTTTCCAGTCAGGATTGTCCGGTAGAAAGTAGCCGCATAGGCGTGCGTCGGATGGAGACATTGGTATGCCCCAAGATTGTGCTGTAAGGTGTCGCCATAGCGATTGGGAGTAGTGCTTAATGAGGGCGTGGATCTTTCGAGAACATGCTTCAAAGGAGCAAAGGGAAGGGGCATCCAGGTTTCGACTGATCGTGAGAAGAATATCATCCGGTAGGTTCTACGAAATAGCAACGGTTACACGTACGAAACTCCACTTTTCCAGTACAGAAAGTAAAACTCGATTAACTTACTGATAAACATATTCTCTTTCCTGGCATTTTCAACGTCCTCCGCCCGCCCATGCTCATGCCAATACAAGGTCCATTTGTGAGCGGACTATTGACCGCAGTCAGTACTGCCGCATCCCGCTGATTATGGTAAGCTTCCGAAGCCGTTATCCAGGCAGCTCTGGCATCTAATATATTCAGCAATCGTGATATCCTTTCTGACTCTGGGCTAGAAAAATCTGTCGTTATTGAACGGAGATCGCGAATGAACCGGGATTCGGAAATTTCGGAAAATGGCGTTGTTGGGGACGTTGAGGAGGTCACAGGTATTATTGGGGACGGGGGTTGAATGGAGAACGAGTTCGAACGAGAGTATGGCGTCTGGGGAAGGTGATTCATTGTCATTTTAGCAGCGAAAACGGCCGTACCGGGTCGTCCGGACGCCGTTGGCAGAGAGCACCTCGACTATGACCGCGGCCCACCATCCCAGTCCATGGATCATGTGACCGTAGAGCAAGCTTTCATGGCATCTACAATCTACATACAAACTAGAACTGACAGTGAAAAGAGAAAAAAAAATCGTATTTGCAACATATCCATCCCCAATACTGCAGCATCGTCAAATATCAAATATCAAACCACCTGTATCAAAAATTCGGGCACTATCTAAGCCGCAGGATAACAGCAAAAACATTATTTGTACAAAAGAATATTATATATATATCGCTCTCAGAGCAGCCGCCCTATGGATGATATGCCGGCGGTGGGCTGCTGACTCGCCGCGCTGGAGACGGTGCTGCAGGGACGTCAAGAGGCGCCAATGGATGACTGGACCGGCGGTCAGGTTCGTATTTCGGTAAATTCTCGTGCTCGACGTCGCTCTCTTCCCCTTCCTCCTCTGTCTCATCGCTCTGCGCATGGACTCCAGCTTCTTGAGACTCTAGATCCCAATCATTCTCCAGCATGGGCGGGCCCGTCACTGAATTCTGCCGCCTTCGTCCATTATATCCAATCGTACCAGCGACTGTAAATCCTCCAGGCCTCAGCGCAGATCGATCCGCTTGTACCATCGTCCCGCCCAGACGTTCATCCATACGATCGCTCATAGACTGTATGAAGCTCATTGCATGCGCCCGTCTTTTGCGGACGGCATATCTCGTGAAGAAAAAGCATAGAAGAAGTGTGAAAAATACCGCGGGAACGGTAATCCCCAGTATCACAATAATGTGCTGACTCGTTTCTGTACCCGGACCCCAGCCTTGGCCGGAAGGGCCGTCCGAAGGAGGATGATTATCTGACATGCCGGCCTTTCACAATGACCAAGGCACGCCAGCCTTAACAGTTATCCGACGGAGCAGAGAAGCGAAGCGTTCTGTAGAAAGAAGAAACGGAAAGTCGCTCGTCGTTGTCGTCCTTAGTTACTGTTCATGATGGCAAAACCCAGTGTAAATGTGAGTTTTAGGAAAAAGAACATATCTCGCCAAGGGAAAAACAAAAGGGGTGGTCAACGGCGACGCCCTATCGCCGCGCGCTCCACATCCTCAAACAGGTTAGATTACAACGCATGACTGTGCCGCAATACGATGGCACCGATGAAAGGCAGTGCTGTTGGAGGCTCTGGGACCTTCCCACCTTTGAGGATTTGCACAAGATGAAGGTGACTGGAGCGCTGGTTTGGCTGCTGGGGGTGGTGCTTCCAGCCGCCAATGCCTTGTACTCGTCAAAGGACGCTGTTATTCAGTTGAATCTGAAAAACTTCAAAAAGGAGGTGCTCGACACGGAGGTTGGAATTCGTAGATCAGCAGATTCGTCCCCACTCGATGCACATGGTCTAAGGTAATTCAATTGTTCCAGCATGTGGTGATAGCAGAGTTTTTTGCTCCGTGGTGTGGACACTGCCAAAGATTGGTAAGTACAAGTTATGGGACGCCTCCGAGAACACTTCAAGAGGAAACCTCACACAGTGTGCAAGGTGCCCGAGTATAAAAAGGCAGCAGAGAAGCTCAAAGGACTCGCCAAAGTGGTTGCAGTCGACTGTGACGATAAGCAGAATCAGCCTCTGTGTAGCCAATATGGTGTTCAAGGTTCGAACATTGACCTTATTCTATGCCGGCGGTCGGACGTATGACTGATGTGCTCGACCAAGGCTTTCCCACTATTAAGATATTCCCTGGTGGTGTAAAAGGGTTACCACAAGGTAAGAAAGAAATTTAGGTGCCTCGCTGCGAGTCTCCTCATCATATTGTTTTCGGCTATGTAGATTACCAAGGTCCGCGAACCGCCAAGGCGCTCGTTGATGCTGCTATTGCAAAGATCCCAAACAACGTCCTTCAGATTGGAGGTAGTGGAAAACGAGGAATTGAATATGACGCATTCCTAGCGCAGCAGGTTCGTTATTCCATCCAACATCGCAGTGTGGGTAGTTGGTGACTCAAATGGGATCCGCAAATAGGCCGGAGAACTGGATAAAGTGATTCTTGTGTCCCAAAAACCATCAACGCCACCACTATACAAAGCTCTGTCTACCGAATATAAGAACCGCCTCATCTTGGGAGAGGTCAAATCTTCAGCAAAAGACATCATCGAAAAATTGAACGTGACGAACATTCCCTCTGTCATTTTGATCCCCAAAGATTCCGGTCAGCCTATCCTCTATGAAGGTGAATCAACGTAAATGCGCTATACTCCTACTGTTTGAGTGCTCACAACTTTGTTTTTCAAGGGCCTTTGAAGCATGCTGGTTTGGTGAAGTTCTTGGACAAGTATGCGCTAGCAAAGAAGGGCGCACCATCTGAAAAGAAAGCAGGGGAAAAGTCTTCAAAAAGCGAAGCAGAAGGTAAAACGATTGTTATCATACAGGACACTACTATTTCGTTTGTGAATTGACAATACATGGATGGCAGTACCGAAGCCGATCGAGGTAACATCTCAGTCAACATTTGATGCAGAGTGCGTCGAAAAGTCTGGCTTTTGTGTCCTCGCCTTCTTTGCCGTCGAACCAGAATACGAGGAAAGCGTCAAGGAGCACACTAACAACCTGTCACTACTTGAAGACATTGCCAAACTCCACCCAGGATTCCGTTACTTGTGGTTTAACGCGCTTGATAAGGGAAAGAACTTTATGCGCACGGTCCAAATGAGCGACTCATTGCCGGGACTAATGGCCTTCAACGGAAAGAAGAAAGCATACAGATTACTCACCGGCCCTTTTGACAAGGACGCGATCAACGAGTTTCTGACCGAGGTATCAAATGCAAAGGGGCGATTCTTCAAATTGGATGTGCTGCCTAATTCGATAAGGACCCTTATTTCGAAGAGACGATACGTTGACCTCCACTATGTCGCGACATAACAGGAAGATTCAGAAATGAAAAACTCCAATACGATATATTGGTATATTGAAGTTTCATGTAAGGGAGAAATGTCCCGAAATGTTCAGTAAAAACAATCTATGTACAGATGATTCCCTTGTCGTCTATTGCTCCTTCACATTTCCAGGAGGGTAAAACGGAACAGGTAAGGAGTCTGGTGGATATGGGTCGGGTAGGTGAGTTTTCTTATGAGCGTGTTCACGGTGTTGCACCATTGAAAGATACGTTCCCCAACCTGTTACAAAACAGAAAGTTTAGATTGACTTTGACATTTGCCTATTGATTCTGGCAGCCACTTACCCAATCCCAAAATGTTGACGACCAAAACTCTACATTTTAATGGCACAAATCTAAAGTTAATCGCAAGAGCAGCAGGCCACACTGCCCAGTTGGCTTTGAGTGTTGGCCACAAGTTGGATTGCAGTCTCTCCTGTATCTGTGGTCTGGTGCATCCCTCCATGTACGAGTTGCACACAAAAAACAAGGCGGTGAACGGTGCCGCGGCCAACAGCTGATCCATGGCCACCTTTTTCAAACTTGTGGCCATATCCATGCCCCCTCCGATCCTCCGATCCAAAATTTTGTACCATCCATGCGTCAATGGCGCACCGATAAGCATTCCATAAACACCTAACCGGAGTGTTCTTTTAGGATCCCATTTTTTGTGTTCGGACGGTGAATCGATGCGTTGTGCAATAATGTCTCCTGCAACGCCGATGGCACCTGCCGAGAGGGATTTTGTGATGAGGGGTTTCTCCTCGAGTAGCTGCAGGTAACGCTTCCAGGCACGAGTAATGGGCTGAAAACCCGGACGGGATGTCGTACGGTTCAGAAAGGCCGATGCTGCCGTCATTGTGGTTGGTGGCATGACTGCTATTCCCAAGCGCGCAACAATAAACAAGGCGACAGACACAAGAAAAAATAAAAAAAGAAAACCAGACGCGGAAATTCAAATCTATTCTTAAAAGCCCAAGGGAAATAAAACCAGGACCTGTTCGCCTTTATATAAGTCTTGTCGATATACACGAACGATAACCCAACTAGCCACTCTTGACAAAGTCGACCCTCAAAATCATGACGGAAATATTCACAGCCTCGTTCGACAGATTCGGCCCCACTTTTCCATTGATTATCGGAGGGAGGGGACGTCACTGCTTACGCTATGAGATGATGCTTGGAATGCATTATAATCTGGATGCATCAAATAACCACCCTTCACGTGCTCTTGTTACCAAGGATTGCTGACGTGATGCGCGACGCTTTCCGTGGGACACGCGATCTGGTCAAGTGCTGGTGCTTCGTCTCCCACCGAATTCCATACGGCCAACAACAATTATAAGCTGACCACTTTTGCGCAGATGCCAGATATAAAGGAAAAAGAAGGAAAAATGCTATTTTGTACAGGAAACCCTCCAACAGAGTCCACAACCAGTGTGTGATACCTGAATGTCCTGCCCCATCCATAAACACAAAAAAAGGACTATACATGGAATTAAAAAAGAAAAGAGAGAGTCATAAAACTCCCTTCAAATATAAAGATGCCACAAATTTATGACGAAAGAAATTGCGTGTGCTTCTGTCGCGTTCACCTCAACTCTACGCAGATACTATGGCTTTGTGTATCCTCCAACCGAGGTCCATTCCTCAGACAGCGGTCGAACAGCTGATATGGGGGTTCCAGGGGCTGGACATCCTGGTGTGGTCGTTGCAGCACGCTCAAAACCCTCACGATAATCTGGTTGGGCACCGCCCACTGCCGGGCTAGCAAGAGGTGCACGACCGCCGCCGCCGCCCCGTCCGACTGAACCAGTTCGCTGTTTGGCGATGCTACGTGAGTAGCGAAGGCCGCAGGCGTTGCACAGACTGAAAGCCCAGATGAAAGGTAAGACGAAGAATGTCAAATGGGATGCCTAAACAATATACGTACGTCTTTTGCCCACTTGGACCTCGGCGCCACTCGGGGCTTTCGGTAGTAAGACAGCTCTCGCAAACCCTAGCCTTAATTTCCTTCTTTGGGGCGGCATACGGTCGTCCCCCAAGATCATCCGAATATCTACGTTCTCCCCGTTCTGGGAATATGCCGGCATGTGAAAATAGCTGAGCACGATGTCCTTCAGGAACCTGACCAGCTGGTACATCCCATCCATATGCCCGCATCCGTCCGAACTCAGAAGGAGGGTAGTACGCTTTTGGGATGTGCGCATGTGCTGGTCCGGTTCCTGAAGATCCCAATTTTTCCCATTGCGCGTACGCTTGTGCTAGAGTTGATGAGACATCGCTTCCAGAAGGCTGGGAATCAGTCTTGCGATTTGGGTCGTCGGGTGTCGCGGAACCTTGCTGAGTAGGAGACGTTGGACGGTGCCCGGATTTGCCAGAGGTTAAGCCATACCAATACTCATAGTAGCCGGGGGGCATTACCCCTGATCCATACGAATCATGCGGAGGCCAGCCTTTCCCTCGACCTATTGCCTCAAGCGGACCCCGGCCATGGCGGCCAGACAAGTAATCGTATGGTCCAGGATTCAGCACCCGACGAGCCTCTGCATCTTCAATCCACCTTCTTGTCACCTGTTCTAAAGGCACGAATACATCTTCCCCGGGTGCTGCATTCTGGCGACCCGACAGAGAGCCGGGGAAATTGTGGCCAGATTTTGCTGCGGATTGAAGAGGGCCCTGTGACGACTGCTTCGCTTTTTCCTTGGCGCCATCCAGCAGTTCTATCTTATGCTTGTGTTCGTCTGCCCACTCCTGTGTCTTCGCTGGCGAATCAAGGAGAAACTCCAAAGTGTCTTGTCCTGGTTCACATTTTATGATTGGCCCCAAAGTTTGCGTGCAAATAAACAGAACACTCCCGTAAGGAACAACGACGCTTTCAACTTCTATATAAGTGTCATGTTCAGATTTGGCTGTTTCCTGATCCAGTACGCGCATGCGATGCTGCATATAGAATAGGCTACTTGTGCAGTGCAGTTTCTCAACTTCTGCTGGCTGAAAATCCACATTCTCCTTCTTGATGCTCGGTTTCGCTGTCCGCTTTTTCTTTAGCATGCCGCGAAATCTTCGAGCATCGTCTGGATGCATAGTTTGACTCGGCAAGTCAGGCTCCCGAACGAACTTCTCTATATCCGTCTTCAATATTGACGAAAGCCTGCCTTTTGGATATGCGAAGAGGAGGCTTAGATCTTCCGAGTCCAACACTTGGATGCAGCGTGATTTGGAGGCAGCCGGATCAGATTCCGCATCTAATGTTCGGGAACTTTCAGCAGTTCGATCCAATTCCTCAATCTTCTTCAACATGTCTTTCAGGCCCAACCCCAATTCCGCAATCTCGTTCGCTGACCACCGGGCTTCACCTTTCCAGGATTCCGCGCAACGGGCTCCTCCGTGATCTATAGTGGTATGGTCAATCAGTCAATCACAAAAGCAGTTGGCAATCAATTGACAGCAGATTGTACCTCGTCCAACATGGAAGAAAGCGAGTACGCATTCCTCATTAATTGCATTTACACCAATGTCTGCAAGAATATAGTCATCTTCTCTATGGAGGAAGTTTAGAGTGGGCTCAAGTTTGGGAAATTCCAGTGCTTCTTGAAGGGAAAAAGGCTGCAATCGTAGAGCGTAATCAACCTGCCGGGCGCGATCGGCGAACGGATGTCTTATACGGCATCTGATTGAAGAAAGATATGGCTTGATATACTATGATCAGATGATATATCACAAAGCTTACGAGCCTAACCTTATGATGCTCCCCTGTAAAGTTCGCAAATCCATAAAGCAGCGGAAATCTCTTTGAATTAGGTGTGCATCAGCGGGATGAAGGAAATCGAATAGGCTTTGTCCTAACAAAGAGTCGGCCGACATTCCCGTCTGAGATACCCGCTCCTTCAGCGACGTGGGTAAATATAGAAAGCGCAGCGACTGGTAGGAGAGTAGCGTCCAAAAGCAAGGAAAAGAATCTGGCGCACGGCCCAATGGCGTTGGGCCGTCTGCCGATTCTGCTGGCTGTGGAACCATATTATCTAGGTGCGTAGATTCCAAGCCTTCCATGGGTGAGTTGAGGGGTGAGTCGAGAGGTGAGTCGGGTGGGGATGATGTTGGGGACAATAATGGTGACTCCATGGCGCCTGTGATTTTCAGCAGTTAAAATCCTCTCCACACCAGCAGTGCATGTATTGCCACAGCGCGAGCGCCCGAGCTATAGAGTAATAAAGATATTCTGTACTGGCTGCTTACTTGTGTGTATTATGGATATCAACGGTTGTTCACAGCGGAATCGAGGAAATGAACGACGGGAGGGCGGCAGGGCGCTACTGGAACTCTCCACGTGGGAACTGACTCTGGACTTTACCAAGCGCAGGACGGGGGCGGACAGTTTTTATCCTCTCTCAGTGCTGCCAGTTAATGGTCTCCGTAATTGGGCAGCAATGGGTTTGCGGGGGTCGCAAGGCAGACTCCCCTACTGTCCTTCCTTGGCAGAGTGTCAAGGCGATTGCACCAGTTGCATAAAGACAAAGGCGCCGCGCGAAGCCTGCGCTCAGACCGGCTGGGAGCAAATGCCAAAAGTTCGCTGCGGATGCAAAACTCTAATGTTAAAGGTAACCCACAGACTGGAAGCGGGGTGGTGGTAAAAGGCAGGGGTGCCAAAGGATACGCGTTGGTAATGAAAGGGACAAAGTCGATCAGCAAACGACTACCTCCGGACGGGGGGGTTCCAAGGCCTAATTTGGCCACTCTTTCACACTCAATGGCCGGTGAGGAGCTGGAGGTCTCGAGAAGGCGGAAAGATAAAGCAGACTGCACCCAAATGTATCGCCCGCCGATCTTGGATGGAATTTACATCAACCAGCTCGCTGTACCAAGGCTTCACTTCATCATGCTGACCCTGAAATATTGCAAATCAACAAAAGGGGATCTGTGCTTCTCTTCTCAGAATCATCAAAAACCAACCCGACACCTTCTTCTGCGACTCATCATCTTCGATTGTTTTAGTCACATGTGGGTGTTTGCTAGCGCCGCTGCTGCAGGTCAATATGCTTGCTTTCAACTGCTGCCTTCAGTTTCCAACGCCATGTTCCCTGTGGCTGCTTTACTCCAGCCCTTCGTCATGGATCATCAGTCACATTCCTTGGGATATCAGATGGGAGCTGCAGTACTCCGTTAGCAGGTTCATATTAGGTACAACTGCTCTGAATTAGCAGTATTAAACCAGGACTCTGCACAGTGATGATACGAATTCTTCGAACTGCGCCAAGAGCCATTCCATTTGTGTGATGAGCTCATTCCGCATCTTGTTTATCGGTCACCTCCGCGGTGGACCGTGTGCGACATACCTATAAGCAGAACAACAATCACCGAAAAGTGGATAGACACTGTCGTTGGATTGTTCTTGTCAGACCTCCATCAGAACCGGATCTTTGGAGTGAAACAGGCCATTTGACCCATATTTACTCAATACCGCTACAAAGGCACTGTTTGTCGTACCCGACCTCCAACGCAGAAATTTGGGCGTGCGTAGGTTACAGAAGTGCTCTACCTGTTTGTGCTGTATCAAATCTGGAATGGTACGTACAGTTAGGCTTTCCTGCAATCGCCAAGATATTCTGGGACGCATCACCCTTTAGCACTTCGATTCATCTCCTACTGGCGCTCTCTCCCGATAACAACACTGGCACAGGCAAAGGAGGTCGTGAGTAAGTACCCTGCACTCAAAATTGCTTATGTATTTGTGCGATTCTCTGAATGCTAACAAGTCGTTTAATGAACAAATAACTGGAACTTCACCGCGTTAATATACAAGCGCCCGATATCCCTCAACGACAATACCAAACCAACAAGACCGTTGTTTTTGCGTCCTTGGACCTCATTTTGCATCCTTTCCCATTGCAAATGTTCAGTCTTTATGGCTTCAGCGATTTCTGTCCTGGTTCACGCGGTTCACGACATGATGTAACGTGTTGATGCCAGTTCACCCAAATAAACAGTCTTATTTGGATCGTTGCTACAGTACCCATTAATACAATCTAGGTGCAACAATTGCCAATATTGAGTTGGAGGTCTTGTATCGAAATGCTTTTTAGTAACAAGGTGAGGTGAGCCATGATGAGTTTCTTCTAGTTGTTGTTCAATCATCTTTAACTGTGTGTAACAGTCCAGGATAGCCACGTGACACACTTTTGCTAAAAACAATAGCAGCACTTGGTTCATAACATGGTTCACTACCATAACTACAAACAATTCAAAAACTAACTAGCTACACTACTTGTATCTTTCTTGTTGGTTAAGATTTTGATTTTGACACTCGCCACTTGAGGAGCAGATAACTGGCCACCCGGTACAGTACAATATGCAGACCCAACCAAACCAAACTCCACCCTTTCTTGGCCGAATGGATCCTCCAGTTGTCCTCAAGCTTCGGTAACACCCAGTCTCTATCACCAAACTCGTTCAGAATTAGAGCGTTTGCTCCAAAATAGAAATAGGATGTGTAGAATAGCCACGGTACCCCAATGTCGCTTTTCGGAAGTGAGGTTCCCGCGAGCAGAAACTGGTACACCGATAACCCGGCCAATAGAACCAACGCGTGCATCGCAGAGTTCACAGCCGACGCGCACATCTGAGCTGCCGAAAACCCTGCAAAGATCGACATTGTAACGACCACGATAAAAAAGAGAAAGTGCCATACATCCTTGTAAAAGTCGATCATCCAATAAGTGATGGACGAAAATATCATTGCGTTGATGAGCAGTACTGGTAATTCAATGGCCGCGTAGGAAAGAAGATACGGCATGAGAGACACACAGCCCCGCGAGTGTTCGCGGATGAACAGGACACGGTCTTCTATTGCCTTTGTGACGGTCGGAACGCAGGAAAAACAGTAAGCACAGATAACGTAGTTGATTGCATATACGCGCGCTTCGGCGGATTCGGCTCCATGCTTGCGCGGAAAGAACATGAATCCGCCGAGGAGGCCTAAAAGGACGGACGTAAAGAATCGGATGGCAACCAAGACTTTGTCACGTCTGGTCTGCGTGGCAAGTCGGCGTGTGAGAACTAGCGTTTGGCGGAGAAGGGAAGCTTTCTGTGCGCGTCGGGCATCGGTATTTGCAAAAACCGTACGTAGGTTGCTTAGTTCCGTTTTGAGACCGGTTTGGTAGCCTGACGTTTCAAACGCACCGACCAAGGTGGTGAACGATACCGAGCTGTCAGAGTCACTACAATCGTTTGTACAACTCCTCATTTTCACAAACTTATCGTCAGGGCTACGTCCCCCAATGTGAATCACCTGCATCTCGTCTCCAACCTGATTGCGACTGAGTTCCACAACGTCTAGCGCCCAATCCGCTGGGTTACTATGTATGGGGCATTTCAACCCCATAGTCTCAAAGTACGTCATCATATCCTCCGATGATCCAGCATAAACGCATCGGCCGCTCGCTAACAGTAGAATGTCGTCAAACATTGCAAAGATGGACGAACGCGGCTGATGAATTGCGCATACGACCGTGTGCTTTCCGGTATCGCACAGAGTCCGAAGAGTCCGCATTGTATTTAGGGCATTGAATGCGTCTAAGCCGCTGGTGATTTCATCACAAAGGAGTAAGGCAGGATATGCCACCAGCTCGACGCCAATTGAAAGCCTTCTGCGTTCACCGCCGGAAATGCCGCGTTTGAGAGGATCGCCCACGCGGGTCTCGGCAACGTAAGTGAGATTGAGCGTATCTAAAACCTCGTTCACTCGCTCCTGTTGCTGGGAGCGGCTCAGATTCGGAACCCGCAGTTGCACAGAATATAGGAGGGTCTCGCGGACAGTCAGGTTCGGCATAAACACATCGTCTTGCGGTATATATCCAATCAGAGGATGAAAGGCAACTTCATTGGTTTTTGTCCGGAGGATACCATTGTACAAGACATGTCCGGATACTTTGCCCATCTTCGAAACACCTGCAAGAATATCAATCAACGTACTCTTGCCACTTCCGCTTTCACCGAGAATGCCCACTAGATGCCCGCATTTGAAGCGCGCGGTGAGGTTATCCAGGATGGACATCTCAATTGATTCGGAGCATGGGAGCCGGCCTTTGCGAGTAATCGAATAAGAGATGTCTTGGAAAGCGACGTCCATTACGGAGCAGGAGTATACTGAAGAGGGGTACAATTAGTTGGATTACACTGAGTGTAAATGGGCAGATTGCAGCTGTGGGAGGGGATGGGGCATGGGGAGCTGGTATTTCAGCGTTCATTTTTGACATACAGACCAGGCTCATCAAACCATAGATTGTTTGTTACAATCAGTTAGTTGGTCGTTAACTTCCACCTGACAAAGAAGAGCACAGCATGGCACACTGATTTGATCGCTGCGTGCATAATTATATTACTATTCCTGCTTGCACCCCTTTGGTTTTCCTCATCGTGGCGCATAGCAGCAAAATGAAGTATCTGGAGGGACACAGAACCGTTCTTATGTCAAAGAGATGATATAACGTGCCAAGCTTCCTGTCTACGAAAGTAAATGCGGCCAGGTCATCCCCGATTGCGTTCAGGGATTTAATATTACACTTTCATTGACAAGTTGGTTACTGTCAGTCTCACAGAGTCCCATATGAGTGTTGATAGCCCATTTGCAAAGATCTCTGAATGTTTGACACTCGCCTCCTTACATGCATTTCCCCCTTCGAAATGGCACGTTTAAATGCGTCGGTTACCTACGATCAGCAGCGTACTAACGACTATTCGACTGCCCAGTAGAAAAATGCATGCGAGAGGGAACAGGGCTGAAGATGGTTTGCGAAGAGATTGAGGGGAGGATTATGCGCCGTCAATGCTATTTCAATGAAAGACAGTGTGAATGACTACGGCATCGCCGATAATCACCATCGTTAGGTAGGGTGACGTGCATCTAAGTCGTGCGGGAATGGACATCCGGTGGAATCTGTATTATTACATTGAACCTCATACCGCCAATGAATTGCTCACATGTCCGGCAAATGAGGGGCCAAAGATGAGTTACAAATTATACGTAAACCTCTGAAAGCGCCCTGTCGCCTCTTTAAGACAGTGAAAAGTACCTCAATTTGAATTAAATACGCTCTATTGAAAAAGTGCCATGTTAAAATTAGTTCCGATAGATGGCTAATAGATATTATGTCACAGGATAGAATGTGTAGGAGTCTAATTAAGACTGAAGACGACTCGGACGAATAATAACGCGTCCGGAAGAAATCCAATGACGGGGTGAATGACATGTTGGCCGCGGTTTTGTATGAAGGATTGTTAAACGCATGGCAATACCATGCTATGCGGTGACGGGCGGAGTGAAGGGTTACGGCCCCTTTCTCGTTTGTTTTGGCTCTCTATGGTCGCTGGGCCTGCGCTTTACAGATTGCCCTCTCCTGAACGCCCCTCCCGGAAACATCGATTATCTTCCCCACCGCGACCTGCGCGGGCGGTCTGATTTTTGATATGTGACGGGACTGAGTTAAGAGCATTTGGCGTTCCCATTGGCGTTCCCATTGGCGTACCCCACATGACCCCGCACCGCCGGCGACTAAAACTACAAGTAAATTTTCTTCGCAACGTTTGTGCGCTCCGTGAAGGTCGATCCCAACCATTTTTTGCAGACGGGACAGCGATCGAGCCTTTTGCTGCAAGCTTCGCATATCACGTGCCCACAAACGGTGAGAGCAACCATTTGAACATTGGAGACCATACACACTCGGCATTCGTACATGTCTCCACTTTTTCCGCCAATATAGTTAGCGTCGAACATGCTGGACAGCTGAAGAATGCAATTTTGAACTGCCAGCTCTTTCTCTACCACGTTGAAATCGATCCAATCGCACAAAGGTCCGGTGGTTCCTACCAAATAGCGAAATATATGTTTGTGTTTACCACCTTGAAACTCTACATCATGTAGAGGCAAGCTGACTTCTGTCAGAGAGGACAGCAAATGCCGAGTTCTCTAGAATTCGTGAAATCCTTTGGGCGGCGGAATCAGCGACAGGTCTTTTTGAAAGCGCTGATCTCGTTGTAACGCTCAATCAGATTACTCAAATCTCGACTGACATGAAGATGGGACAGCAGAGTTTTGTCATGTATTCTCTCAGAAAACAAGATTCCCAAGTCTTTTCGTAGCTCGGTTTCTCGCAATCGAAGTTCGACGAGTTTCCTTTTGGGCACTGGTGATCTGCTTTGCGACGCTCTCCAACTCTGTGATTCGCGATCTGATTTTGTCGTTCATTTCCGGCTGCAAATGATATACAACGGTTCGCTTTTGTAGAAATTGATCAGGATTAGCTGGCGCACAATTGGCATGCTATCTTTAGACCAAGGCGCAAAGGTGCATCGTGCATCTGCGCAAATCCATGTTGTAGCAAGTGTTTCCCTTGATAGGATCTCCATAGCAACGAACTGCCTCAACAGACATGGTTATTGCAATATAAGGAACTTAGAGAATTTAAACTGTTCCTAACGAGAAGAAACAAGTCTCAAGTTGATGTCCGGTTGCGATCTACAAACTAAAGAGCCGCATCATTGTAAATGATTGCCTTGGAGAAGGTCTGGGCCAAACTGTCAAAAAAAGGTTGAACAATCCTTTCCCAGATCCCGGGCACCATTGGGATATATCTGTTCGATGACAAGCACACATGTGGTTCCGACTTCCGTCAATGCTTCTCTGCAACAGTACCTTTCGCCCTAAACTTTACCATATGGCAATGCTCAAAGTCACTTAGCGCTGACTTCTCTTGCAGAATCCACTCCCTAATCCAATGAAGTCAAAGCTACCAACCCGGCATTCCATAAGGAACTACAGAAATCATAGTGCGCACTGCTTGTAAGGAGTAACGAATATATTTAACAATGCCGAGCTTAGTCGAATAGACCGAAGCCCATCTCGTCGTCAGACTCCTCCTTAGCCTCTTCCTTCTTCTCTTCCTTGGGAGCTTCCGCAGCAGCACCACCGGCAGCGGCAGCACCACCCGCAGCAGGGGCGGCACCACCAGCAGGGAGAGAGGAAAGTTTCTTGGAACCTTCAGCGATCAACTAGTGAAATGACCAAAATAGACGTATGTTGAGTTTCCCATGGTCCCCTTGTTCCTCAACACAGCGCATATCCCACCTCGTTGATGTCCTTTCCATTGAGTTCAGCAATGAGCTTGGAGATCCGCTCCTCCTCGGCCTCAATACCGACAGCGCTGAGGATTTTCTTGATGTCCGCAGCGGAAGGGGATTCGTTACCGCCAAGGGTGGCGAGCAGGTAGGCTGCAAGGTGCTTCATCTTTCTACCAGGTCCAAGATATGATCAGGCCAAGTTTCAGTTTTCATGTTCTTCAACCTGGAGCGAGTCGTGTTGCATGCATGTTCAATGGGGCAGCAAACAAATTCGTGCCCAGCAACTATGATCCATCCATCCATCCATCCAACTGGCCAACCACCTCACTATATATTTCCTCCATCCTCTTTTCTCCAGCAATCATTGTTTAGATACTTACAGCGGTTATGAAGGTTGAGGACTTGAATTAAATCCGTTTCAACGACAGTGGTGGTAGAGGAATGCCAGGCAGCGCGTATCTTGTTGAGGACGACACTTATCACGTGATCCGTGCCCATCAAAAGGTCCTATCTTGAAGCTGGCGGTGTCCTAGAATACTCTGAGCACACTGGCAGGGGGATCGCTACTCGACCGCAATTATATATGTATGCATGAGTTGAGTTTTTCAGTATGACGTAGACTGCTTTGCTCTGCGTGTCATATATGCATCAACGTACTCCATCGAGTCAGCGGTCAATTTCGTCTGATCAAGCCCCCATACGACTTTTAGACCAAAGTATAAGTTTGGTGACTTTGGGGAAGCCGGTGTTGCATCTGTGTAGGTCCAGGACTTTTGCATCATCAAATAATGCGTAGCCGATAGATTCTGGCCAAGATAACACTTTAAACATGGCACAGCCAGGCTTCGTGTTCTTAACCATCCATATTGGTGAGCCGATGGGTATTGGCACTAGTACATAGATTCCAACCAATTTAATCATCATTTTACTCGATTTAGACTCATGAACTATGATTTGATCCAAAAGATCCTATATAAGTCATCGTGCCCATTTTCCCAGGCTGTCATCTTTTCCCCCCACAGATACAGATATCATCATCAGAGCTTGGAGATCTCAACGATCGCAATTGTGATTGAGCGTAGAATTCCCGCCAGATCTGTTTCCGTGCGTGCTAGCCTTTGGAGACCGCACAAAGTGGCCTCTTTTTTGTTGACTTGCAGTCTGGCCCACTGGCAGACCGCATGGGGGCAACATGAATTTGGAGCTGCTTGGTAGGATGAGAACATGGACTATCCAATAATATTTTCCTAAATATGTCCACGTAGATCCCTTCGGTCAGCATATTCCAGAGGTCATTGCATACAAGCTCACTAGCGAGGACAGTGCAGTATGCTGCTCTTTCAACTACCAGGGTAACCTCCTGGCTGCGGGGTCCGTCAGGGGAGTGTGCACTATATGGGACATGGATACACGAGGCATAGCGAGAACGCTAACAGGACACGTACATTCCATAAATTCGGTCAGGTTCGTGCTGAGCCCGGAACTATTTACGATCATGTTGCTGTCATCCCAACTATTATATCTCTAGTTGGTCACGATCTGGACGATATATTTTGACCGCGTCGTCGGATTGGAATGGTATATATTGGGATTTGATGGATGGGTCAAGAGCAAGAACGATTCGATTCGACTGCCCTGTCATTTCAGCTCAAATGCATCCCTTGAACACGTCAGTACCATTTGTGGATCTTTTGACCAGGTGCTTCTGTTTTGGCTCATCAAACGTTTCCTGTAGCAATCTCTTTGTTGCGCTGTTGCATGGTGGTTCAGCAGTCTGCGTTCGGCTTTCTGAGAATCTCGGGGGGAAGATAGAGCGATTCGATTTTCCCGCTGCATTTGAGGCCTCTGGTGAACTCCTCAAGGTATCTTCTCCAGCTATTGAGTTTGGGTCAGTGGCAACTATTGACTCATTTGCAGAAAGGCTTGGGATGAACGGTGCACGGCTGTGTGTTTTGCTCCATATGGGAATAATGTCTTCATCGGGAGCCATAAAGGCAGCATCGTTGTGCTGAACACAGAAACTCTCAAGGTTCGACATTTCTCCTGCCGTCTGTGAGTGTGTTTCGCTGTGCGCACTTGATAATCATGCGCTATTAGGTTTGCAATGTCATTCGGGCCACTAGTACTGGAATTCGAGGGATGCATTTTGACGCAAAGGGCCGGTATGAACAGTTGAAGGGTCGATTCCTCTAGGCGTTACAGACTAAACCCTCTTTCACAACAAAGGGACCTTGTCGTGAATTCGAATGACAAAACAATAAGGGTTTTCATTGTGGAACAAGATGCGGATACTATAGTATTGGACAATGAACAGAAATTTTTGGACTCAGTGAACCGAAGCCAATGGGCAAAATGCTGCTTCAGCGCTGACGGGGAATATGTCATCGGAGGTACGTTCAACTTGTATTGCTAGTTTGTCGCCTGGACTCATCAATGGCTTTAGGATCAACCGCTAAGCATACGCATCATATCTACCTGTGGAACAGGCACATTGGAAATTTAATCAGAATGCTCGAGGGGGAGAAAGACGGATTAGTGGACGTTGCGGTTGGTACCCTATTCAATCCGTCTCCTTGTCGCGGCTCACAAATTTGTGCATAGGCGCATCCATTTAAACCGATGTTGGCCTCCATAGGATTGTCTGGAATCATTTACATTTGGTCCGCCAGTTATGTACAAAAATACTCGGCATTGGCGCCAGGTAATCCATCCTATTGCTCATTGTGCTGGTGCCTAAGCATTGAGATCTACCACATTTAGACTTTGAAGAAATGGAGGATAATGAAGAATATGATGAACGGGAGAGTGAGTTTGATGAAGTAAGTGTATCGCTGCATCTATGGGGTAGTCCTTGTGGAAAACCGACATGGTTATTATCGCACAGAATGAAGAACCAGAGAAGCGTGCGGTACAGGAAGAAGACACCGGTGAAGAAATAGACGTGGTCACCATCACGCCAGTCAATGTGTTTGACGACGGGAATGACCCAAACGCATTCGTTCTACCGGTGGATACGAGTGTAAAGCAGGAAAGCCCAACAGATGAAAATAGCGATGACATATGGCGATGGTATATCCCGGTGTAATTGTATAAAGTAGGCCAACAAATCCCTTGACTCTACTCTGATGAATACGGCATAGTGCTCTTGTCCAGATTGTCGCATTTTACTCCTTCCAGTTTTAAACAGCAGAAATGTATCCAGGTGAACCACAATATAAGCGGCACAAGAAGTATTTATTGAAGTCGGGAAACGGGCTATCTAAACATTTAAATGTTCTTAACCTCCAAACCTGTTAACAAGACATGATACTAGGTTAGCGCAGACAATAAACATTCACTGGTATGTAAGAGCACCAACCCGGGGGCAAGGACTGCTTCAACTTCTCGGCCTTCTCCGCATCAGCGACGACGAGCGTGTACAGGTACTTTGAGCAGCGCACCTTGAACTTGACCTGGTTGGCGTTCTTCTTAATCTTAACGGCTAGAGAACAGGCATGTTGTCAGTCCAGCAGTTCCTTTCCAGCAACGTGCTCTCGAAGCCACACTCACACTTGGCATCCTTACGCCTGGCGGTCATAAGGAAGTCCTTGATCTCCTTTATCTGCTTGGGCTGATAAAAGCCGAAAATGCGCAATCAGTCAACTCGTCGTCGATTTGAGCAACCCATGGACACTCTGCAAAGGTCCAACTCCTCCGCCCAAATAAAATAACTCGTGTCCAAACCATACCATCTTTGCTGCGACCTTCTCGGTGGATGGGAAGATATTGCAGTTGTAGAGTGTGGGAAGCAAGAAGAAGCGAGCCCAGTTACCTTGTCGCCTGTTCACTGGCGGGCTGGTTCGAAAACAAAATTCAGTCGAAACGCGTTGCCATGGCGCAGGAATGACCTGCGCCACTTGCGGGGGGTATAAATACTGCCTACTTTTTCTTTGTTGCTCGCCTTTTTTCTTTACATTTGGAACGCCTTTTTCATCATTTCTTCGTACGAGCATGAGTTGACGTTTTGTCTCTTGAAATGCTTTGTCGATGAGGAGGAGGCCAGAGCAAGCACTACGGTGCGCCATTTTAATCGCGGGCGAAAGGACCCAACCCTTCCGTACCGTTTCATGCTGTGGATACATTCAGTCAACTAGTCGAGGAGTGAAGTTTCTGTTAGTTTTAGGTGATCTTGCAAGGCAGCGCAGGATTGCGCATCAACTTGTCCAATGAATTTTACAGAGGCATGGTGATAAGGTGTTCCAGCACACTGAAACTTCCTGTTCAAATGGGTGCTACGTATTGATCAAGGCATGTTGTCACCATTTTAACGATGGAAGCTCACATATGCCGAAAGCTCTTGGTGGTAAAATAGTTTATTGTGGCTCCTTTTTCATGTCATGTATGCTATCCCACCCTGGTATCCAAAAGCTATCCCCGGAACGTACGCGATCATACTTGACCGATCGACCATAAAGATATGCATACGTGTCTTCCAGCATGCCAACCGCAAAAGATGAGCACAGCCCAAATAGCACGGCGTACTTGGCGTATTGATATGTTAGCCGACCTGCAGGAGAGTGTACTGCAAATTAGCAAGGTGCTCCTTCAGAAACGTATCGTACATCTTACACGTACTTGCAGCCGAGAATGCTATGGAGGCCGCAAGACCCGCTCCAACGGTGTTGACCCAGCTTTCCCTCCCCGTCAGCGCCTCCAAAAGGGCTTCTGATGCTCCAAATCCAGCGGATATCGCCCCAAACCGACCAGCATATTTGAACCCAGATTTGAAGCCAAAATGGGCAATCTCATAATTCTTGTACTTGTGATAGTAATACCATCCTGCCACGGTTTTGGGCATTCGGTGAGCATTCTCCGCCAGGAATTGATATGATCTCTGTCGTCCACCAAGATAAAAGCCGGTCATAAATCCTCCAAGTGCTCCTGCAAAACCAAGATGGAGCGTCCAGATAACTTCGGGTGATAGTTGCGAGCGGGCTTCAGCACGGGCTTTGGAATTTCGGGCGGTTATGTAGGCTAAGACATTGGACGGTAGCGAGGTATAATAGGAAGTGGTTGGAGGCAGAGAAAAGGATGTTGTAAGCGCATTCTGGGCTGTCGGCACAGGCAGAGTACCAACACCGTTCGGCGATACAGGTCCAAGCTCCTTGTTATTGTCCATACTTTTGAATTCTGGTTGGGGCAGAAGGTGAAGGTTTGCCTGGGCAGATCTGGGCTTCGTTGCCACGACAACAGCGTATCTGACCATGACTTGAACCGCACTGGTCCAGCAAAGTTGTCGGTCAGAGATCGATAACTTATTGACCCTCATCGCATTCGGCCGAATCTCTGAACGTCATGGCTTCCTTGCGACGCTTCCTGTTATGGCTTGGCTTGGCCATGCTGGTGATATCTCCACTGTGTAGGTAGTCCCAAGACGCGACGTCAAAGTTGGGGTTAAAGGAAGATGACCACGGGATGAGGGCGAAAGACATTGAACGGCTCCTAGTTTTTCTGGGCTGCTGGCTGACTGTTTGATATGAGACTCTGCGTGACCAAGACATATTTGGACGAGATCGTATTTTGAAGATGCAACCGTGTCCAAAGGCGCGAAACTTGCACCGCAGAAACTGGTACTGTGCATCGCTCAATTGACCTTGTAATTCCCATTTAGGTGTCGGTGTATCAGGCTCGTTTGTCGATGAGGAAGACAATGAAGCGTTGGCTGGCGTCTCCTTCGCTCACGAATTTCCAAAACATCGCTTCGGCAGTGAGTATCGGAACGTTCAACTCCTCGCGAACACGCCAATGGGGTCAGCTAAGCATTTCTCGTATCATAGCTATTCCCACTGGCGAAGAAGTTGAGATCCTCATTACTGTGTCAAACAAAGGAGAGTTGAACCAGACCATAGCCGCGATATCTGGTGTCTTGACTTATCCTCACAACTCGTCGTTGATTGTGCGCAACGTGAGTATCTAGATCTGACTATCGCTGCATAGATTCTGTCATGTTCCGAATGTTGTTTGACACTCCTCTCTCTAGCTTACTGCCTACCGTTACAGGACGGGTAAGGACACTGATATGTCTGATCCCGACCCGAACAAATGTTCATCATAACGTCGTTGTCCATTGAACAGATGTCGACATCAACGACGAGGTTACCGTTCCGTTCAGATTTATTGTCGAAGTGGAACCAATGGAACTCAACTTGATTGTGTTTGTGGATATGATCAACTCTGTACGTTATCCAATGGCTTTGAGACGACCATTCCGGGGCATTCTCTGACAAGTTCACTATACAGGCGGGTAACATCCACCGTGCGATCGGCTACAAAGGAATCGTTACCGTAGTCGAAAATGATTCGTTGTTCGATCTTCAGAGGTATATTGATCGATGTCGAGTTTCCGCTTGCACGACCTGTCCTTAGATTTTAACCGATTTTTTTTAGCATATCTATTTACCTTCTTGGTGCCGGCTTCTTTGCGGGCGTTGGTTACTTTGTGTATGAATCGTTCTTTGGTGGAAAGAAGGTATATTTATGCTTCAGATTGTCAGTGTAACACACCGAACCTAACGCCAACCTTCTGTAGACGTCTCGTGCAAAGCGGGTCAAGCCTGTCGCTGTCGTCAAAGAGACCGATGTCAAACCTGGTGAGCCCGATATGGAATGGATTCCGGAGCACTTGGTGCAGCAAGCAACCGCCGCAAAGCGCCAGAGCTTGAGAATCAAAAAGCGTCAAACTAAATAGATTGCTGCGAAGCATCGATGATCAATGGGCGTTCAGAACTGATGGGAATAATGTTCTTGGCCTTGAAATCTTCACTTGTAGTATCAGACTCAGGGGGCGGATGATTTGTTCGCAAATCCGCAGAGCCGTCCATTATGGTTTAATACATAAGGGAGAAGTATATTTTACAGCAAGAAAGATAATCACAAAACTGATATTACAACTAGCGGCTCCGACTCTATGCTGTGGTCCGCAAGAGTTTCATTCGTCTGTCAATATATTGCAGCACATCCCTTCGCACAAGGATATCAATGGCCTTGTCGATAGCTATCGGATTAAAATCCTGGTTGGGAAGGGAATAAGCACATAGGAATGGTAATGGTTTCGATGACGATGACGGCAATCAAATCTCACCTGGCTTGCCAGTTCATCTTTTACAGCTCTAACAGACACCTTATTTCCTGGCATCAGTCGTCGTCGAATCTGCTCCTCAATTCTCAATACTTCTTCTGAGAATTTGCTGCGGCTATCGAAGCCCTCCACTGAAAGTCGAAAGCTCGTTGAGAACTCATGATTTTCTATTTTGATAAATTATCCTACGCACCAAGTCCAGATTGAACAGCATCCATTGTGGAGTGATTGAACAAACGAATGGCTTCATCGACGTGGTGTTCTGTGGCAACTGGTGAGAGAGTCATCTTGGCCAAAGATTCCGATATACGGATGATAGCTTCCAATTGTCTGAAAAAGGAATAGATGAATTAGATTCGACCCTTGACTCTACTGACTCCCGGTTGCTAGCTTACCGAACGGTAATGGGTACAGCGCTTTTGGCAGCAGTTCCGTCTGCAGATGCTAGGGATCGAGCTCTGCTTCGCAGTTCAACGAAATGGCTGCTTAGCTTTTTCGCTGCATCTGCAGTAAGTCGTGGAGCACATTTTCTAAAAGATTTCAGAGCATTTGTTAACACCGACGATTAAGCAGTACGGATTTGCAATAACCAGGACGCACGTTTTACAGTAGCTAATGTAGCTCCGCATTTTCTGGATATCGATGTCAGCAGCGGTTTCTCGTTCTCTAGTCACAGTGTTCATGTGGACTTGGAGAACATGTCGAGCGATAGTCTGGCGCAGTACATTCAAGTGTCAGGTCTGGGTTTCCGTGGCCATGTGTCTGCTGCACGCACCTGATCCCGGGCCTCATTGTGCTCATCCTTAACAATGAAGATCAAATCGAAACGAGACAAGATAGTCGATTGAAAGTCAATGTTCTGTTGGAGATCCGCTTAGCATCGTGATCTTGCGGGAAGAATCGGTTCTATGCAACGTTCGTTATACCTCTCCAGGAGACTTCATGTCGTCATACCGACCAAACACAGGATTCGCTGCTGCCAGCACGGATGTCCTTGAATTAAGAATGGTGGTGATTCCGGCTTTTGCAATAGAGATTGTCTGCTGTTCCATCGCCTCGTGGATTGCTACTCGATCTTCTTCTCGCATTTTGTCAAACTCATCAATGCATACTACTCCTCCATCTGCTAGAACCATTGCTCCCCCTTCCAGATAGAATTCTCGCTGTGCCAAACAGACAAGTCAGAACCGCTATACATGATATGTGTTGCAAGCCACAACAACAACTTACCGAGCCAGGATCTCTGATGACGGATGCCGTTAAACCGGCAGCACTACTTCCCTTTCCGGATGTGTACACTCCTATAGGAGCCACCTACAGGACAAGGTCAGATTTCCAGCAAAAGGCCTTTGTGAGCTCTCATTTGGACATACCTTTTCCACAAACTTCAGCAGCTGTGACTTGGCAGTACCTGGATCACCGAGCAGCAACACGTTGATGTCCCCTCTCAGCCTCATACCGTCGGGCAGCAGCTTTTTCGACCCACCAAACAAGAGACAGGCAATGGCTTTCTTGATATCTACCAAGTGTATGATTAACGCGTGTTTAAGACGTGTCGCAAGTATAGCCGTCAACCAACCAAGGCTTCCGTAAATTGATGGTGCAATACTGGCTGCAAACTCTTCATACATATTCTCTCTGCGTGCCATATGCAAAAATTCCTCTTCTTCTTCCTCAGTAAATGTTCTGGTTCCTCGTCCATTGCCATCTACATCAACTTGCATCCCGACTACACGCAAGTATGGGGACCGAACAGCGACGGCGCCGCCTGCTTTCTGAGTGTGTACATGATTGTTAATGTAAATCCACTAAAGTCGCCAGTGCGAAGAGGACAGTATACATTGTTTCGGTTGTGATTGAAAATGGAAAAGATGCCCGTCACGGTAACTCTTGTCCCCGGCACGACCTTGTTGGACAACGACCTGCGAAAGGCCCGTTAGTCTGCAAAACATGTCATATTAAGAGAAGATTAGGCACAAGTTCTTACCGATCGGCGCTCAATAGTAAATGCCGGGGAAGTTCTCCTACCGGCACCATTCCAGGTGTTTCTTGGAGCTTTAGAGTCTGTTGGTCGACGAACTTGCTTTTGTCGTGAATAATGACATATGGATCCAGGGGACACTCCTTTGCACCAGTATCATCCGGCTCGCTTATAGAGTGGGAGTGTTAGCCACTATGTTGCACAAAAATGCGACTCTCGCCATTGCCAACCTGTCGCATTTCCGTGGCAATTGAACACCGGCAAAGCCACTGTTCACAGGTAACACTTTATTGTGCCGACAAGATCTGCACATTATGTGAATATATGTGGCTTTTGCGGCCAACGTGGACGCAGAAATGATGATTCCCGACACCCGAACGAGTTTTGATATGGACAGGGCCTGTAGGATGCGATTTTTATAGGTTATTGATTAAGCCTAGTGCTCAATAACACACAATTCCATTTCGCTTACATCCAAAGATCGGATTGGCTGAGGATGTGCATTGGAAAGCAGCATGACTTGACAGTCAGGGATATCCCCGGAACCTGTATGGTAATTGCTCTGCTTTGCAACGGTTTTGACAGCGTCTTCAAACTAGAATATCCATATTTATATTAAGCAAGATTCGAAGTCATCTGCTCAAACAAAGTTTTATACAGAGGATATAGACATACCAAGGGTAGATATTCAGCTGGCTTTTCCTTGATTTGGTTCGTCAAGTCCTCGTCGAAACTCATGAGATGGGCCATGTCCACCTCCAAAAAGTATTGCTTAATGATGAGGTTCTGCCGCAGTTGGTCTCTGTGATAGTACGTGCCGAGTCATTCGCCAGTGAGCATACTGTTTCTTCTCAGTTATTCTACGTCTTTGATAGCGTACCTGTAGAGAAACACATTGTCGATTCGAAAGCTCCGAAGGAACTCTACAAATTTCTTTTCGATGGCCGCGCGAGTTTCTTCTCCAGACTCTGTCGGATAGACCTGAGTATCAAATACTCGTCCCGTGTCCCATCCAAAGGCAGCCATGTTTTTCAAGACAAGCTTTGCGTTATGGCCAGGGAAAACCAAAAGACGGGTAGGGTCAATCTCAGCTGTCCGAATGTCCGAATGGCGCATTCGAATGTCATTATTGGATGGATTCTAGAAGCTTTTGCACTGCCACCGACCCCTCCGCGTGAGGCAAAAACAACCCGCATGGATTTTGTCACTAAGAAATCATCGGACTCACCAACGCGTGCTAGTAAGGCTTGCTTATCGGTGCTTTCGGGCGCTGCTGGTTGACGGTCGCATGTTGGTTTGGGCGTAACCATTTTATCCTACTTGCAGGTCCATTGTACCTCAGGAACGTCAATGACCGTCCCTTCCTGCTGAGCTTCACAGCCCTTGTTGCTTTAACGGTGTCCTTGTGGTCTTTGGTCGTCATTGGTTCCCGCCTTTTTCTTTTGTGCCGCTATCTCGGGGAATCTGTTGTCGTAGAAAAAAGTCTCACCGACCCTTACGGCCCCGAGTGGATAAAAAGTAAATCACCGTCATCCTCCCTCTCACCTCTATCAAATAGCGGATTGTTTAGCACTACGAGCTATTGTGTGAGAGCGAGCGGCTAAAGCCTTGGTGGGCTGAGAACAGGCGTACACGCTGGTTTCTCCCACGAGTGGCGTGGTCGTCCTGTCCAAGTAATCGCTTCTTCCAATGACCTTTGATGCAATGACGACGGAAGCTTCACAGCCGGTGCTTTACAGAGCGCCTGCGGCAGTTGATGTGTACGCAGCAAAGTCGACTGAAAACATTCTCCAGAAACAAGCTTCCTTTGAGAAAGTACTCAGCAGTAGCACCACACATTCTCCGCCCCTTTCGCAGCTGTCTCTATGTCTGAGCAAAGTTGATGAAGGTTCCAAATCTACGCTCCCTGTTCAGGGGGACCTACCGCCTCCTGAACGCTCTCCTCAACCCGGCCTTACCTTTGATGCTACTGACCTAACCCTCTGCAGTGGAGTATCCCCACCGCCATTGCTCCCGGTGAAACCAGAGCATGTCGAGCACGTTCTGACGAGCGGAATACGAATGATCAAATATCCATCAAAAGCGTCATCTCGTCCAGCAGAGAGACATATTCGAGTTGATCTCCAGTCGCTTCAAATCTTTTGGGAATCAAAAAAGAAGAAGTCACATCAATCTTCAGGTAACATTGTGCTATCTTTCCCCTCCTGTCGTTGCAGTGTCCTCACCAAAGCATGGCAATCTCCTACTTCAATATGTTCATATATCCACATATCCATTTGCGCTTAACTAACATGTTACTACCTTCCTCTACTAGTGGATCTACATGCCGTTCGTGAGATACGTCTGGGTCAAAACACAAAAGGCTTCGAGCTGCATGGGAAACGACCAGAATATGAGGATCGAGCATTCACAGTCATTTATGTTGCTTCTGGCGAGTACAAGATGCTAAATCTCGGTACGTTCCGAGGACGACCTCCTTTTCCCAAGATGTTCTGGTACTCGACCTGACTTGTCATTGTTCAGTTGCGCCATCGAAAGAAGACGCCGCATTGTGGATATCGGGACTGCATATGCTCATTGCCCAATCGGATCTCACGGATGGAGATCCGGCAAGAGTATCGCAAAATATGAGTACTTGGCTACGAAAAAGATGGCACGAGGCAGACACGTCGGGAGATGGCAAGCTTGATCTTGACGAGGTTACTGCGTTAATGAAGAAACTGAACATTCGTCTGTCAAAGAGTGAAGTGAAGAGCACCTTCAAAGTAACATTGCTGCCCATTATCGCCTTTGATCGAATGAGTATTTAATGGACTCTCATCTACTTAACAGAGTGCGAATGTTGGTAAAGAGGGTTGTTTGAACTTTCCAGCTTTTGAGCGATTGTATCGGATGCTCCGATTCCGCCCAGAAGTGAGCGAATTGTTTTCGTCATTGTCCAGAACAAAAACATCGGTCATAACATACGAGGAGTTCCAAGACTTTGTCAAGAATATTCAAAAGGTGATCAGCTCTTATTTTATATTATCATACAGCTGTGGTCTGGATGCCAACCCATAGTTTGTTTAGAACGAATGGACGGAAGAGCGATGCTTGGATATCTACCAGAAGTACGCAGCTCCTGACGGCGGTCAAATGAGTGTTGATCACTTCTCAGCCTTTTTACTTTCGGCCAACAATGCAATTTTCCGAAAGTCGCATACTGTTGTGTTCCAAGATATGACGCAGCCTTTGACCGACTACTACATCAATACTTCACATAACACGTACGGTGGCTTTGCATATTTTCCCACCCAACGTTACGATTGACATTCAGGGTCAGGTACCTTTTAAAGGATCAACTTACTGGCGAAAGTTCTGTTGAAGGCTACATCCGTGCACTCCAGAGGGGTTGTCGATGTGTGGAATGTAAGGCTATTTCTTGCGCGTACGCACCGCAGTCCAAGGTATATCAAATCTCATCCATTGCTGCATTTCAGTGGACTGTTACGACGGTCCAAACGGGTCCCCTGTTATCTATCATGGACGTACACTGTAGGTTATCTGGATTTGGTTGATGTTCTGTTGGTGAAGACTGTTGATCCGCTGCGTCAATTTAGTGTTTCCAAGTTGCTGTTCAAAGATGTGATTGATGCAATCGCCAAATACGCGTTTGTAGCCAGTCCATATCCTCTCACGCTGTCATTAGAGTCCCATTGTGGACTTGAACAGCAGGCTGTCATGGCCAAAATTCTGAAGGATGCACTTGGTGATGCTTTGTTACAGAGGCCACTCGCAGAAAATGAGACAGCGCTACCATCACCGGAGGCCTTGAAAAACAAGATCATCATCAAGGTAAGTTCGATTACCGATGAAGAAGAACATTCTGTCCCGTGAAGTCTAAAGAGTCTGATCTGGTAGGGTAAACTTTTTCCGTCGAATGCCTCGGAAGATGACACCGATTACGAGACGGAAGATGAGGACGGGGAACAACAAGAAGGTTAGGATACTTGTGTTGTTCAGACCTCGTCCAGGCACTCATGTAGCTCATTCGTAAAGGCCCAATTCAGCAAATGGCAAATATAACCGACTTGCCGTTGAGCACTGCACCCATGATTTCCCGCCAAGTGAATCGCAAAATAGTCATAGCTACTAGCCCTGTAGATGACGTGGAAATCGGAGTGCGGCGACGGACATCCGATGAGGATGTAGGGTTGACACGCAAAAAATCCTCTCCGCGTATGGCACGGAAATACGTTGCGGCAAAGACGTTATCCGACTTGTTGATCTACTGTAAAGGCGTGCATTTTGCCAGCTTTGCAACGGCATTAGGTAAGAGAACTTCCGCGATTGTCAGCGTTGTGACTACTCATAACACGGAGCATGTTTTAGAGAAGTTTGACTTTGATCATATGTGCTCACTTTCCGAGAAGAAGTCCCTAGCTCTACTCCAGCGGCAAAAGAAAGAGTATATCGATCACACCAAGCGTTATCTGACTCGAATATATCCTGCCGGTATAAGGGTAAATTCGTCAAACTACGACCCATTGCCTCATTGGCAAGTGGGGGCACAGATGGTTGCGATGAACTATCAAACATTTGGTATGAAGTGAAAGCAGGTGCTCTTTGTGAAAATGATGACTGAAAATTGGCCGTTGCGCTTGTGTCTCGTAGATAAGGGCATGCAGCTGAATCATGCCATGTTCAACCTTAACGGTCGATGCGGCTATGTCCTCAAGCCGTCCTTCCTACGTCGCGGACAACCTGCTGTGAGTCCAGTACCTGTCATGCTGAATGTGAAGGTATGCCAAATCAATAAACGAAGATTTAAATGTTCATCTGAAGACCCACTGCGTCCTATTGCTATGAATTGCAGATCATATCGGGACAACAGCTACCAAAACCAAAAGATAGTACTGGGAGTACGGTTATTGACCCATACGTAGAGGTTGAGATCGTCGGCAGCGAGGTTGACACAGCCCGGTTCCGTACACGAGCAATTAATAACAATGGTGAGTTTGCTGCGGACGTACATATTGTGAGATTTGTCGAAACTCCGATGAGAGGGGTCCATATGCTTATCGTAATCTCTTATAGGGTTCAATCCCATGTGGAAGGAAGAATTCCGCTTCATCATAACCGATCGTGAATTGGCATTTCTGAGGTGACATCTGAAATTATATAGTGACCACTTGCAACGACACATTGAATGTACATACTGCATTTTAGGTTCTCAATTTTCGATATGGATGTCAAGCTCACCAATGATTTCATTGGTTCTTATACAATACCTGTTCAGAGTCTTAAACAAGGTGGGTCCTAACAGGATACAGTTGGCGGCTTAGATGATCACAACCAGACTCATGAATGGACGTTCATGGACAAACAGGCTACCGACACGTTCCACTGTACAATTGGAAGGGCGATTTAGTTCGATTCTCTTCTCTCTTTGTTTGTCTCAGTATCCAACCCATCGCCACTCAAACCGCTTCTCCACCCGCTAGTCCCTCCCTGGGACGATCGTATCCAAAATCGAATGGGGAGGGCGGGGCGAATGCCAACGGACACGTTGAAACGAAACGAACGTCAGGATCGGATGCAAAATCACCGAGTAGAACAGCATCCGGCTCGGACGCGTCCGCACCCCGGCAGCGGAATTTGTCATTGGGATCCCTTGCCAGTGGTGCACTTGGATTGCGATGATCTGTCATTAATTTTGGTTGCTCGAACGCAGGCTGATGCAGTGCATTTTTTAGTTTTCTCTGTTGCGTTGGGGAGGTTGTAATAGCAAAATAGCTTAGCTGGCGGTTTTGCACTGAGGATACCCTGTAGTTTTCTTGTTTGTTGAGCAAGATTTAAATAGCACTAGACTTTTTGCGTTGAGCTTTCGATATCCAGAACTAAAGCTTTGAAATGTGGTTAATTGTGGGATAGCGTGTGGTCATGTGAATGTCGTAATCCTGACAGAAGGTCTCCGCTGCGCGTGGTGTCCCCCAGCTAGTGCATTTTCTTTTAAACAAGGTCTAGAGAGTTGCTAGTGATTGTTTTGTTTGTTTTTTGTTTTTTGATCAAGGAGTAGGACATTGGGTTGAATTCTCAGAAAATCATAATCATGAAAGAAATTCCAGCTACCATCGACCGCAGTCTTCCTAAAGCGGCCACTGGACGAACAACCATTCCAGCAGGAGAAAATCAAGATTTTTCGTATGAAGCAGGTCAATCAAACCTTCCTACAAAGCTACCGCCTTCGGCAAATGGACTGCCTAGACCGCTGCCAGCGGGAACAGCGTACGGAACTCAGCATCAGGAATCAACAAGTATAACGGCGGCTGTTAAGCACAAGGCATGGCAGGCTTACGAACGAGTTGCAAGTGTGGCGAGTCATATTGTGGGAGGCGGGCATCATAACGAATAGTAAATTCGGCTGGCAGAGCTGATTGTGGCGCGTAGATGCAACATTTTGTGTGGACACCATCATCAACCTTGTACAGTGAATTGCATCTAATAACATTTGAAAAGTACAGTGATAAGGAAAACAAAATTCAAACCTCCCGTTGACACCACACCCAAAGGTGCTCCATCTAATGGTGGAACAAGCGCCATTTAGTAAAGACGTATCCAATTCCTTTCTCATCAGCCTCTTTCACGACGGCGTCGTCCATAACACTTCCACTAGCTCCAGCAATGAACTGCACTCCACTTTGGGCTGCTCGTTGTACATTGTCAGGGAAGGGGAAGAAAGCATCAGAACTGAGTACGAAGCCCTTCATTTCTGCCTTCCATGCTTTCCTCTCTTCGGCAGTTAATGGTTCAGGAACGACTTCAAAAAGGGATTCCCAGGTCGCCCGGTCGTCAATTTGATCTGTCACATACAGGTCAATGGCGTTGGCCTTGTCGGGACGTTTGGTTTCCTTCTTGAATTGAAATCCAAGGACTTTGGGGTGGTGGCGGAACCACCAATTGTCGGCCTTATCACCGGCCAAGCGGGTGCTAATGATAGGCAACCAAACTTCAGCCATCTTCCTCTTGTAGACGATTAATGACCCACAACTTACCAGTGAATTCGGGACTGCTGACCAGCACCCAGGCCCACAACTTGACCATTCTTCGCGTAGCAAACAGAATTGGATTGTGTGTACTTGAGAGCAATGGTTGCGACAATCAAATCACGCACGGCATCTTCAGGTAGTGAGGTAACCTTCTTAGTGACCACATTGTTGAAGACCTGACGAGTGATGAGCAGATCATTGCGTTTCTGTTGGAGGTGCAATCCATAGACTTGGCGTGTTTCCTGCTCTTCGGGCTCGTAGGCCGGGTCGATCTGGAGAACGGTGTACTTTCCGCCCTTCTTCTTCTTCAAAACCTCCAGGGCCGCTGGTGAGTACCCAGGCGCGATGATTCCGTCCGACACCTCCCGAGATATGATCTTGGCAGTAGCTTCATCGCATGGTTCGGAGAGGGCAATCCAATCTCCAAAGGAGGACATGCGGTCTGCTCCTCGCGCACGTGCGTAAGCCGCGGCAAGAGGTGTCAATTGAATGTCTTCGACAGCGTAAACCTTCTTCTCGACGTCGGTCAAAGGGAGGCCTACAGCAGCACCTGCAGGAGATACGTGTTTGAATGATGCAGCCGCTGGCAGGTTTAATGCTTGTTTAAGTTCTTTGACTAATGGCCAAGCATTAAGGGCATCCAGAAGGTTGATGTATCCAGGCGAACCTGCAAGCACTACAAAAACGATTTCGCAAAAGTCAGCTATATCAAACAACTCATCATGTTAGGCAAAAGCTCCAGATCACCAACCTTTGAATGGCAGTTCTCCATGCTTCACGAACACCTGAGCAGGTTTCTGATGAGGGTTGGCCCCGTATCGGAGAGTCAATTGCTGTCGGCCGTTTCCAGCGTACTGCTGGCGAAAGAAGCCAGATATGGCGGCATCATAATCAGCAGTCTGTGTGAACGCTTTCAAGGCAAACGTCTTGCGCATTTCCTCGGAAACAGTCGCAACCCCAGTCTCTGCATGAGATTTTTGCAGTGCAGCGATGAGGGTTGGGTAGTCGGATGGATCTGATACGATCGTAACGCGTGCGTGATTCTTCGCAGCAGCTCGTAGTAAAGTAACGCCACCTTTGAGACCAGATTCCCCTGAGATGAGCTTCATGTACTTCCGGGCATGCTATGAGATCATACCAATGTCGACTTCCTCAACAGCTTCCGGAATGGTGACCCCTTCCTTTGCGACAGTCTTTTCAAAAGGGTACAAATTGCACACGACAAAGTCAATCTTGTCGTATCCCCGAGCCTTCATGTCCGCATTATCCTGATCAATATCGCGGGCGAGGATTCCTGAAAAGTGCCCATCATTAGCGATCCCTTCTGTCGCTAACGAAGGTCAAGATATTCATGGGTTCCTTCCAACCCTACATATTCTACACACCTCCGTGGACAGCCGGATGCAGAGTCTTCACTCGACCACCCAACATTTCTGGCGCTTGGGTTATGTCGGCCACATCGCTTCAGTTCCGAAACAGTCAGACCCGTGCAGAAATGGGGAGTATATATCTTCCCTTTCGCCTACCTGACAGGAAGCCCAGCATCCCGAATAGCCTTAGCAGTACCTCCGGAGGCGACCAACCGCACGTTGACGCCGTGCAGTGCCTTGGCCAGGTCCAAGAGACCAGTTTTGTCGGAGACAGACAAGAGAGCTGTAACGCAAAAAGATAAACGTGTGAATGAGGACGGTTCCATGTCCAGCACTTTCCTCACTATTTTGGTCCGTCACATACCAACTTTTGCCGACATTTCGCCTGTGATAGAGGACGATAGCAAGGTTGAATTACCACCTAGTTGTCGTCGATTCCAACCCTCTCGATCTCCTCCATAGCCATGGCAACAAGAAGTGATCGAAGGAGATCGGGTGCTTACGTCATGATGAATAAGCGGTAACTGCGGCACAGTCATAATGACTAGATGGCCGACTTGTGCGGGTCTTGAGCTAAAAAACCAGCAAGGTGGACAGTAGCGATAGCGGACTGCTTCCGTGTGTATAGCTAGGGGTGGTGTGAGGGGACGGACCTGTGGGCGTCTGTGGAGTTTACCTGGTGCCTTCCCTGCAGAGTTCCTTAGGCCAGGTACACGGAGCGGCAGTGGGGGGATTCCCAGTTTTGCAGAACTTGGTCATGTCCGTCGGGAGTGACTTTGGAACGAAATGCAAGCGACAGCCTTCGATTGAAATTGCTGAAGAGAGCTTGTTTACCCGCCAGACGACTGTACAGGAGGCAGATGACCTTAACGATGTTGAATATGAACGTCTTCTGACCTCCCCATTCAACCTAAGCGCGTTTCGGTCAGTGCACCACCAATATGGAGTCGATGGATACTATCATTTACTCAATCCTTTCTAGGCAGCACCATGAAGTTTTGCCAATCTCTGACAAAAATGAATTCATATCCGATGAGGCCTTTGAACGCTTTTCTATTTCGCGTGCGCCAGAGAGATTTGAGATTATGGCTCGCCTAGCAAAGGATGACCGTCGATCAGAGACAGGCGAGTCACGAATATTGGGAACTTGGACAGGTACTTTACTGGTCTTGAGACAGCGAATTGTTTGGAAATGGAAAAATGGAAAATGTCTCTTTTAGAACCTGTATCTACGGACACAATTTCTCACTCTGCGCGTGCAGCTGATACGACGTGTAACTTGAGAGTAGAAAGCTCATCCTGTCTGGAAGCACCGTCATCTTTAAGACAGCCTGAGGAGGCTTCATCCAAATCAGCTGTCCGTCAGAGTGATGTTGACCAAGCGGTCAATCTCACATTGGATCGTGCGGATGATGAAAGACTGTACCACAAAAATAATTCAAGTGATAGGCCCAGAGCCGATACCGAACGGCCAGCAGAGATCCCGGTCGCTACCCCTATATCCAGCCTGTGTTTAGAGGAGCATGCGCACTTCCTCCGCCTGCAGCATATGCAAAAGACAAATGTGAGTGAAGTACATCAGGAACTGAATCTGCCAATGTGGGCGTTAATGTGATGTACTCCAGCCGGACTCCATGAGCCAGGGAGACAGGGAAGCCTATGCGAGTTTATCGGCACGCGTCAAGGAAGAGCAAGAGCTATATTATTTGGTTGACAAGAACTTGACCATCGGCATCAAAGAAAGGCTAGGGTACATAAACCACAAGATAGAGCGCGGGATCCAGGTACTGCGGATTGATATACATAAGATGAGAGACACAATCTGATGCCGAGAGATTGATTAGGAACTACAAAGACGTAGGCACGCAGCAGCTTTGAAGTATCCTCGGTATTACCTTGACCACCGTACACTATCGATCGCACCGAGTACGTCCCCGCACAAAAGTGTGGCATTCCGGTTTTTGAAAATAGTGCATCAGAAAGGCAAATGCCATGCGCTTGCGCTTCCTTCAATGAAAGCCCCAGTCACAATGTCAAACTCGCAGGCTTGTGTTGATCCACAGAATTCCAGCCAAGCTTGCAAATGGTGTCATCGGGTGAGGTCCTGTTTTGCCCGCAAATATGTGGGCCACTACTAAGTGCCATCTGTTTAGTGCAAGCCTCCCGTGAGCACGGACCCCGTCGCTCAAAGGTTAGCGGCGGAACATGACATCGATATGGTCATTTCATCGAGTACTTTGTCAGCACTTGCATCTATGGGCGCGTCTCAAGTGCGAGAAGTTGAACTTCCTGTTGTCGTCAAGGAGGTGATGAGCAATCTGAATGACGCTGAAAAAGGACGCTCGGTTGTATATTTCGACAAACCCTGTGCGTGCAATGACATAGGGCGACGTGAACAAAATGATAAATTCTTTAAGAACCAGATGAAGGCGCAGTTTTTGAACATTCAAGGGGCCGACGCGACAGTTTTCTCGGATGTCTTGATGACCGATCAGTCACAAAAAAATGGGCAAAACGAGGAGGGCGAAGTGGACGCCTCAAACGAGATTGATGTTACCGGTACTGACCAAAACGACAACTTACAGTATGCTGTGTGGGAACTTGGTGCGCTACGGCTCCTTGTCAGGTATACAATTCATGGTTGGATCCCTGAAAAACGGTCTGGACAGGTGCGACAGCTTAGATCTAACATGAGATAGGTGCAGTTCAGCGCGATAACGTACAGATATCTTTACGTAGAAGCGATATGCGTATGTGCAATCAAAGATGGAATATCAGCTAGAACGAGGGTTGGAGCAGCTTACGAACGAGGAATCGATTCGATTATGGATCAAGTTGCTAATCCGCCCCGAAAGTCAGTTGGTACTGGGTGAGCAATAGAAGGGCACCCGATGTCCACATATAGGGGCTCATCAATGCTCTCCATCAACTCTAGTGCGATTTAACCCTATGAACTCACAATTGGTGCACATAGAGCGGGGATCACTGGAAGATATGGCTGTCGAGACCAGCTGGTAAGGTCGAAAAAAGATAGTTTAGTGAGGGCCTTTCTTCAACCCGCTTTTTTCTAGGCCTTTGGCCTTCAGCCAATATTTGCATGATATTTTGACTTCGACAAAGAGGTATTGCTTAGTTTTCTCTACTATGGAGATAACCTGACTCAAGGTTCGCCTATCAGCTTGAGCCTCGGGACATACCTGATCTGGCACGGCAAAGGAGCAGATCACCTCACTATCAAGAAAAGCGTCTCATTTGACCGCGCGTCGGACATACCGTACGAAGCACGACTAAAACTTTACGACTTGCACGGCAAACATCAAGATATCACTCTTCGAGCGGACGAAGCATCATACATACCGCTGGAATGGAAAGGGAGTCTGGATTTACCATTGCAAATCCCCTATACCTTCACGCCAATACCCAAAGCGAGCATACCTTCCCGAAAACCTGTACTACCAATAAAATGGTGTCGAGCTTATAGGTTCAATAAACAATGTCAGGATACGAGTGTAAGTTGCATTCATAATTGTCGAGCGTAGCAACCGTTTTTTCTAAGTGGATGTCTTGTTTTGTCTAGTGCCAGTTTGCTCATCTGTCAGACAGCGAGGTGCGGCGACTCCAATGTACCCCGACCTCCCCATTTGTCAGTCGGTGGATGGACCAAATGTTGGGAAAGCAAGCAGTCGCAATACCGCAGAATAGACAAGGTCGATAAATTGTACATAAACAAAGCACGCTGTTGTATGATTTGATTTTGGTTATGGCACATGAAGGACCCTGCATTCCAGCAAGAAACGTTTAAAATTTCATGGGAAATGTAATCCAAACAGAGATGGAAGCTCGTTTGGAAAAAGCATCCATCTATTCCTCTACGAAGGGTATTCAGATCGACGACCAGAGCACGTGACCGGTCACAGCAAGCGATCAAGAGCAGTGTGGTTACGTGTGTGTCGATTCCAGCTCTAAACCTTCCCTTCAGCTTCCGCGCTACCAGCTTTAAACCAGCGGTGGATTCAGGGCACTTTCACGGTCATAATGTCGAAGCACCGACAGCAGGAGACAAAGAAGTTAGATAGCGTGATGTTTCATTTCGATCCTCTTCATAGTCCTAAACCCAATGTATTTTTCCTGTCAGATACGGCAACGATTGGGCGTTTCGTTACGTGTATCGGAACGACCTCCCAGATCTTCCTTTCCAGCCCAAACTTCTCGAATACCCGTTTCCGCCAGACCGGCTTTACCGCTACGAGCCAAACTCTTTATCCGACAAGTTCTTCTTTGAAGTGTGCGGACCAGATAATGAAAACGGGGTTCCATGCGCGCCACTAGGAATGGGATTTTTGGAGGACTCATTTCGTAATCCGGATGGTGGGTCCATGGTTCCTCTCGTTTTGGAGAAAGCCCCCGTATAGCTAATAACAAGCTGTTCATCGATATGCAGCAAAGCTGGTTCCACAACAACTTGACCCGGAGGATGAGGAGCTGCTTGCAAAGCCCCATCAACTAAATACAGCAAAGGCAAAGTCCAAAGAGATCTCCTTTGCGAATTCACCCCTGTTTTTGAGAAGAACGAATGTCAATATGGCCGGAGAAGCCAAAACGTACGGACGAGTGCAAATGGGTATTGAGAGACAGTGAGTAGCGGGTAGACTGAACTGGTGCCTCAGTAAGGACGACCATTTATTTACTCCTTCGTAACATAGAATGGGCGTGTCTATCATGCGGGACGAAAAGCTCGCAAAACACATACATCACACGGAAGAAGATAAGCTCAAGACGATTGAGAATACTTTTGAAGCGGTTAAGAAATTTTCGATCGATAATCTCAAACATCCTGATGGGAAGGATGTGAAAGCGGTTGAGATCTTTCCTATTTTCCCTGACTTCAGCGGGGCGTGGCCCGATCGTGTGACTTTATCTGTATTTGATTGTGATCCACTGGAAAAATCAGCGACAACGAGAAAGAAGGTCAGCACGTATGTTCACTATATTTATTCCAGGTTTCTGACTCAATGCCTTTCCATTGGTAGATTGAGCCAGGTTCTGATAAAGCATTAGCCTTGGAAGAAGCGGTCCTGAAGCCTCTTCAGAACCCGGAGACCCAAGAAACAGTATTGGGATACTACACACCTACAGAAGAGTCTATAATAAAGATCCGGGCGAAACGGAACAGAGAAGAAGAGTTTGGGTCGGACGAGGAGGGCGAGGAGGTACTTCCGTTCATTTCGTAAGATTTAGAACAATTTCCTTACTAATTCGCGTGCTGGTTTTCAGGAATTCGACTTCCGTCATGTTCGAGATTACCATTATGATGCAAGAACCGAGCACCTTCGACAGTTGGTATTAAGGTTCGATAACGATAATCGAGGCGTCTTTTATAAGCGAATGGAGGGACGCGTAAATCTGAAGCGAAAGCGAGCAAGGGTAAGAATCACTATGAACCAGTATGATGGGCTCATATATACCCCCGTCTGGTACTCAATTTATTCGGTTTCCGTCAGGGTATCAACGAGGAGGAGGAAGAATGGGAGCGACCGACACGCTTGACCTTGACAAGACGACCACTAACCGATGACGATCGACATAAGAGAAAAGCAGTGGTTAAAGAAGATTTGGGTATTGATGAAAGCGTGTCGATACAAGCGAGTCAATCTCCAGAAATAAGACGAGCCGACGCGCCAACGCGGGGGGACAATGGGACTAGTGATATAGATAGTCTTGCTGGTGATGGAGAACAACGGTGATTGTTGTCTAAAACTGTTACATGAGCTTTACCGCGTCAGCAACCAAATTCACAGATCTGGATCTTGATCATGACCTCGATGAAGTGATTGCGAGCGCAGCAAAAATGTATTGATGCAAATATCTACAGGGATGGCGATATATCTACTTTAAGTTTGAGTAGTGATGATAATTCACGAGACAGCATATCCTCAAGGACTTCATTTGTCCGCAAACACTGCCACTGTTCTGTCGAGGCGGACCAATCGAACCGTTTTGGGCCACTGGCAAGTGGTCAAGTGATGTTATTGGATTGTGACCATTACAGTTTGCCCTACCATAACACCTACCTCACTGGAGACGACAGCCAGATTTGTTTATTTGGAGGTTGTTTGTTGATGACATAGGTCCCCGAGGATCCAAGGGACAAGGTCAAAACACCGCTCTGAGGTTGAAGCAATGCTAAGAACAAAGGTGATGTTCGTCCATCAGAGGTATATGCTTCTCACCGCAAACACGACATCATATCCGTCAATGTCCACCTCCTCTCCTAGCTCCTCCAAAACCTCTACGAGGTTATCCATAGTGTCGTCCGCAATTCTATGGTACAACCGCTCGTCCAGAAGTCTATTGTAAAGGCATATGCAAGAGTTAAGGAAACCCCATGGATATACAGAGAAGCGAGAACGCAATAACATCATACGTTTCCGACACATGTTCAACCCCGCTGTTGCCGTTTCTGCCCGAAATAGGCGTTGGTCTTGAATGAGTTGGTAAAGGTGAAGCATTTGCAATGCGAGCGTTAGTTGACGCACATGCGTGCCGAATGGGGAAGCAGAGGGCAAGTGGAGCAGGTTTTGAAGTTGTTGGGCGTATCCAAAGACGTCCCCCGAAGGTCCGTGATATGTGCTTTGAAGCGGACATTGTGCTTGACATGAGGGAAGAATGGAGAGTTTGCAACGGAATCGTTGCGACCTTTTTGATCGTAAGGAGTGTGAGTCATGCAAAGTCATGCAACATCATCGCCAAATTGCGATTTCTGCAAGGTTGACCGATTTTAACATTTTTGGTGCAACAATTTTCGAACGAAATGATTCGTTCTATCGCTGGAACCACTTGTCGTGCCTCAGCGCACATTAGCATTGCCAGGGCGGTGCAGCCAGTCGTCGTGAGAAGTGGATCTTTACGATTCTTTGCTGCTTCTGCTGCCTCTCCTAATGATGAAGGTAATGAGATACTGTTCTCACTGTACTGTTGCTGTGGGTATCTGATCGTATGCTCTCATTTTCAGCCATTCGCCTCCGTCTGAAAACGGATCTAAAGACCGCCATGCGCGCCAAGGACACCAACCTCTCCGGAGTGATCAAAACCCTTCTCTCGGACATCACCTACGCCGAAAAATCCGCATCTGCCATGCCATCCATCCCAACCATTATCCAACGATCCATAAAAAAGCGGCGCGATTCTGCGGAATCGTACCGTAGCGGGGGTAGAACGGATCTGGCTGAACAGGAAGAAGCAGAGTGCAAGCTTTTGGAACAATATCTTCCCGCGCAGATGAGTGAAGCGGAGATTGAGAGCGTTGTGAAGCAGATCGTCGCTGATGTTGGGGCAAAGAGTGTCAAGGATCTTGGAAGGGTCATGAAGGAGGTAAATGCAAAGGTGGATGATGCCTTGGCACCGAGGAAGGCTGTGGCAGGCGTGGTGAAGAAAGTACTTCAGGAGATGGAATCGTAGTGGAGGCGATTTTTCCGTATTCACCAACCACTCGTTATATCAGGGCACTTGTTCATTATTTAACATGATTATAGAGTAGGATAGATGCATTGTTTGATTTAGTCAATCGCTATAAACTGCAACTGTAAACCAAGACATGATTGGGCTCTCATGGTTCATGGTCCCGAAGTACCTAGAGAAGTGTTGTGCATTTCTGATCAAGAGTTGCAGATAGGAGGAAGCGCATATTACATATTATATATCTAGTAGAAAAACAGAAGATTGCTGTGTCAGTATTCGGGCCGCCAAAACAGTCTCGCGTTATTATACTGTTGCAGCACTATCTCCCCGCACCACCTCCTTATGCTGAAACTCCAGTCCGTTATTTTTGCCATGAGGACCCGTTTGGGGGTCCCAGTTGGCACTCCGCCATGCCGGCACTCCAGCCGCGTACAACTCATCAACTTCCTCCAAACTCCGTCCCTTGGTCTCAGGCACCAAGAAAAAGACAAAGAATGCAGCGAATAGACAGCAGGCCGCAAAAACGTATCCATATCTATATCCAATCGCGGATGTGATGAACGGCGTAAAGAAGGAGATCAAAAAGTTCATCATCCAGTTTCCGCTGGTTGCAATTCCCATCGCTTTTGATCGGACGCGGATGGGATAGGTTTCAGCGACAATGACCCATGCCAATGGTGCCCAGGTCGTGGCAAAGCCCAAGATGAACATACAAGCCGCAGCAATCATGACTCGGCCGACATTTGCGTCGCTGGAGTCATGGAAGGTTCCCATCGATGCGAAGACCATGAACCATATGAACATCCAGACCGCCCCGACGATGAGGAGAATGCGGCGACCGAAATATTGTACAAGGAATAATGCGGGTATTGTCGAGACAAAGTTGACTGCGCCGAGGATAATGGCGGTGATGTACGAGTCATCTATTCCGACCGACTGGAAGATGGAGTTTCCATAGTAAAAGAAAAAGTTGGCGCCGGTCAGTTGTTGGAGGATCATTACTCCCAGTCCGATAAGTAATCGACGGAACATTTTCGGTTTTCCTGTGAAGCACTCGCCCCATGATGCAGTGCCTTCAGCCTCTTCTCGTTCGATGCCTTCAGCAATTTCTTTCACCTCTTCTTGGATCAACGGATCATCTGGGCTTGTGGCGTAGATCTTGGCCAGAGAATTGGTAGATGCAGACTGATCACCTTGCTTCAACAGGTATCGAGGGGACTCGGGCATGAACACCATGCCTATACCAAGTACGCCGGCCCAGATGAAGCAAATTCCAAGAGGGATTCGCCATGCACTCGTAGACGCTTGGCCTGGCGATCAAATGTATATGAGGGGAGGTGATCTCTGGTACCAGTTCTTGAGCGACACGTACCTTCTGTCGCCTTTACGACGCAGTAGCCAATCAAGATGCCCAGTGTAATGAACAGTTGGAAGGAACTGACGAGGATGCCTCTCAATTGCTTTGGACACGTTTCGGACTGATACATTGGAACAAGCGTCGATAAAGCACCGATACCTCCGCCCGCAATGATCCTTCCAATCATGATCTGATACCAAGCCCAAGAAGCAGATATTTGAATCACGATACCAATGGCGTATACGACGGTCCAAACAATGATGGATCCACGTCGACCGATCCGATCCGCCATATTTCCCGAAACAAGACATCCGATGCAACAACCAATTGAGACGACAGCAACAATGAGACCTGTTCGAACGTTGCTAAAGTAATAACCGGATGCGGGACTATAGCTCCCAAAGTGTTCCTTGAAGTTTTGCATATTCAAGAGGCCGCCAATCGTACCTGATCATACATGATTGAGCATAAGCTTCTTAGACAGGTTAGGTATAACCACAGTCTACGCACCAGTGTCATATCCAAAAAGAAACCCGCCCATTGAGGCAAACAGACATAATGCGACGACCAACGTGTAGTTGGCCTTTTTGACTTGTTCGACCATGTCATATACTTTTTAGTGTCGGTTGGGTATAAATGTCGCGTATGGTCCAGTAAATGATAATAATAAATCGATGGAGGGCAGATCGCAAGATTTAAGCAGTAGGGAAACACTGGTAAATGTCTCGCCAGATACCGACCAATGACCAACAAGAAGATCAAAGGTTTTGATGCAAAATATTGGGAAAAGATGCTAAACACTGGGCCTTTTTATTTATGGCTTGTCCTTATGAAACCCCCCAACATCCAACCGGAACTCAAAAATGAAGCAAGATGCAAGGGAAGCAGGGTCAACGCGTGACTAACCGTGCTTTACGTCATGAAAAAAAAAGGTTTTTTTTGGATATTGACGGCCATGGCCAAACAGCGAGTTTTGAATCAAGAGTACAAGTGCATTTTCTTTTTTTTGTTCATATGGTAAAGGCAATGACTTTTGTCTCTGCTACGACGAACAAGCCGTGAAAGACAACGTTATAGACTGTCCAAGATGGACCATTTTCATAGAACTCGAAATGATACAATAATAGTCCAGCTACATCTGACTTCATCGGCTGTGTGAGCCCCAAAAAGGGATGAACGACTATGGACAATGCAAGAGGCTCGGTCACGCGGTTGCGTCACCTGCAGAGGGATCATTGAGAGTAAAGTAGTTGCGTCGTCCATACTTGTACTAGTACAGTACGGAATCGCTTATGCGAGGTTGCACCATGGCCAAAAAAAAAAGAAGTCCAACATTGTGATAATGTAGTGTCGTCCCCAGTATGCATCAAATAAAAAAAAAAAAATAAAAGCAACAGACTACCCCCCTTCCCAGGCAAATTAGAAAGAAATCAATTCCCAGACTATGTACAGATATTTCTCAAATATGCTCGTGTCTTTTCATCTGTAGTTTGAAATTGTATTGATTAATTCATCTTCCAATCATGAAGGTGCTTCCGTGTTGAGCGGGGACCTTGTTGACGATGCAACCACATCAGGTGCGCTGCTCCCCTGTGTGCCGTGACCTGGCGGTAGGGACTCTGACGGGAATGCCGCATCTGGCGGAGGTAATGATGACCGGCCTTGCGTCCGCCAAATATCAGAGGTGTCCGGGTCGACAGAAGTGGTGCGACTGTGAGCTGCACGGGCCGTATCATCTCTGCTTGCAAGCTTAAAATGCCGTACCGACTCTGCTGAAGGTGACGCAGGTATTGAGTTATTGGGCTCTGATGAAGAAGACGAGCTGGATGAAAAGTAGTCCATACGTTGTTCCGGTGATGATGGAGTAAACACAGCTACACCCGACGGAGAGACATCTGATCCGCTTTGCGATCTATGCGCAAACCGGTTTCCAGTTTGATCCTGAAAGTCGCTACCACTGTCTTCTTCGAGAGACTCTTCGGTTCTCGACCCTCGTCTTCGGTCACCTCGATCATCCAGGTCTTCCCCAGCTCCAGACCCCTTTGCGCCGCCCTTATTCTTTAACCTCCAGGTCTGCCTTTTGTTCTGGAACCAGATTTGTACTGCGCGAGGCGTCATGGCGAGCTGTTGTGCAAGACGAAGGCGCAATTCGGTGGATGGAAAAAAAGTTTTCTCAAAGACGGCATTCAATGCATTCAGCTGAGCTGGGGAAGCTCGCTTGCGTTTGGCTTTGAGCGGTGTGTACGGATATACCTGTTCTGCAAGACCAAGTTCTTGCTGTTGATGACGGTCGTAGCCATAACTGGAATGACTCTCATTCGGGGGATAGCGGGAATCAGTGGCGTGCCGATCGGGGGCGGGAGCAAAAGACTGTGGATGGTTTGTGTATGTTTCTCGATGTCCATACGGATAGGAAGTTTGTTGGGTATGAAAGTGACTCTGGTCGTAATACTGTGGCTGATGATGAGGAAACTGATAATAATTGTGGCGTGGAGAGTATGGATAGCGATGATGCTGTGGGTAGTGATGCGGATGGTATGGCTCGTATGTGTGCTCTGGATGCGTAGACGGATGGCCTGCGTGAAACAAGGGCCGGGTATATTCTGGTCGAGGTGGTTCGTTGGGTCTGTGTCTGGCAACCACATGAATCGACTGTGTGCATGATTGCCCATATCAAAATGGCAATACTTACATTTCCGTAGAGAGCGTCTCCCCTGGAGTCACCAGATTGTCCAGGTCCATGACCGACGACCTGTGTCGCTCTCGACGAGGAGCACCTGCAGGCGGTGGTGCTGGCATCGAGTGAAGCGAGGGCATCGGCTGATACATTGAAAAGGCAACAGAGCTCTTTCTAATGCTTTGCAATGGAATGCAAAAAAAGGCAAAAAGTAAGTAAGCGACCAACTTGGACTCGCAATCCCAATGTCGAAATCGATGGAGCAGATGGCAACAACGTCGTTTTGTCCTGGAGGGCTGTCCGCTAAAATTAACCGGTAAAACAGCGGAAGTTTTTTAATCATGGACATTTTTCAGGGGGAGACAATGCGTACTATTAATTACGTGTGTTTGGCATTTTTATTGGGCTGGACCGCAAACCAGGAATTCTTAAATGGGAAGGAAATTGATTTTGTTGTGTAAGACGATTCTCGGCGTGTCTGGACTTTTGCTCCGGGGAGCTCCGAGGATTTCATTAGATAATCCTATTTGGGGGACGGCACCAAAACAAGGCTTGTAAAACGGCATCAGCTGGCCTCATTTAACAGAGTGTTTTTTTGTCTCCAAAAATACCTAAACAGCAACCCCCAAACAAAAGACCCTCCCCGTGATGAGTTTTTGTACTTGGGAGGCACACGTTGCTGAAGGTGGAGAGGACACCTTGAATGCCTTATACAGTCTCCCCTACGATATCTCGGCCCGCCTTTCAGCCCCTGTAGAACTACGCCCATTTCCCTATTCGAGTCGTCCGCTTGTTGTGTAGTCAGCTCCTGAATCTCCCCCATATGTGCAATCCCTTTGCCCGCACCACATCCTTGCTCCCTGCCTTGCCACCCCAGATAACGCTTGCAAAAAACATCCCGTTTCAAAAAAATAAAAAAGAATTTTTAAAATTTCATTGTTCCAAATATCACATGCCATTGTGTTTTAATTTTGGTTGGAACCGCACTCTTTTGGCATTTGCAGAGCGCTCACTGCTAGTGCAGAGCCAATGCATTCCACCATGCAAAATGCTAGTTACCTTGTCCCAAATGCCGTCTTCTAGCCCCAAAATGCTGGGAAATGATTCATACTAGGGCGGATCCATAAATATAAAGGAGCTGTGCGCGCACATGAATACCAAAAGTGATTTTAATTTCAATGACACCTGACAATGATATCTAAGCATTGTATCGTGTCTTCAGGGTCGTGGGCGATCTATAAATATCCATTGATTTTTGGGGCTTTGCATTTACATGTATGTGGCTCAATGATGCACGATCGCTCAGCTGCACTCCATGACATTGCTCACAATTGTCTCTTGGGTTTGCGTTGTGTTGGGCTTGACCGTAATTTGACTCGTACCAGGCTTGCTATTCCTGCAGGATGATGGCCGTGTTTTTTGGGCTTTGCCACGATATGACATGCCTCGGACACACATCCACTCCACTGTATACGTGTCACAATGATGACAAGTGGCAAATGGCGAGGCAGCGCAGCGTAAACCGATCAGCTTGCGCGTTGTGTTATCGGATGGGCGAAGTTGTGTTGGTCGGGAACACGTGATCTCACCACGATCGTTAACAACTACACAATGGTCGAAATATACATTTTTCTTTATACACAAGATATCTACAAGTTCCGTTCTCATATGCCGTTCCACAGCACTATAGCATGTTGCTCTATCGATTTGCATTTAGACTGTCAGAAAACAAACCGGTTTGTACTGGTTTTGAGTGAGAGGGCAGATTCCCTACGACGGCTGCAAGTGACTGTTTCTTGGTACGTGTTACGGTGGTTTTTGCTTTTGCAAGTTTTGGCGACGTGTTTTTGTCTGGCCCTGGTCCGGGCTGTTGGCTTGATTTGTTTATCCTTATGCTGGGTGCACTCTTGTCGTGCAGCCTACCCGGAACAGTCGCCTTCTTGAGTCGCTGCGCATCGCAAGCGGCATATACTGTCTCATCCCATGCTTCAATCAAAAAGCTACTGGCCGGCAGAGAAGAAAAGCCTGGTAATGGTTCAGGTATAGACGCTGCATCGCTGTTCACTGCACGTATAGGATCATACTGCACGCAGACAGGATGTCCAAAATCACCTGGTTGGCTCTCATGGCTGTCACCCAGTATTTGCAACGCTGTTAGCCCAAAGAAATATTTCAGCACGTGACAAGAGGTGGTGCAATGGCAGAAAGGAATTACCAGTCGCCAAATCGTCCGAGCGGAGGCCGGATTGCATATCTACATCAAATTGCTGCATGCGGGGTTGGTACTCGATAGGAACCAAGGATATTCTCTCCAAAGGTAGCATCTTCAAGGAACAAAGGTTTGATGAGAAGATAATTCGACAAACATGCAAAAGTCGGATGACTCACTGCGACGGCACACAAGGGAGGTGGCAACGGCTTTGACGCCTTTGCGGTATTGGTTACAGGAAGGGACAGTTCCGTTATACCTTCCGTTCTTTCCAACCCGTCAATCCATGCTCCAACATCTGTAGCTGCAGGTCCATGCGAATAAGGGTACATGAATCGGTAATCGGAGCAGCGGCCGTTCATGTACATGTCCAAATTCCACAGCAGCCCCTCTAGATACTTGCGGACATTGTAGAGGGGAGAAATTCCAGCTTCATGCAATGAACCTTCCGAGCCCAAATGCTCCTTTCGCCACTTGGTCGGAGGTCGCCTTCGCACAGTGTCTTGAAACTCACCCATGACAACTGCTCGCAGTACCTCGAGATCCAAAGTCATCGTCTCTGGATCGACTAGGAAGCGGGGTTCGTTGGATGATAGCTGTTTACTGCCGAGGGACGTCCCTTGATACTTTGTCCGAAACGCGAGGTACGACGCAAACAAGGTGTCCAGTACAATCCAGCTCAACTTTGGAATATAGTCGTTTCCTCCCATTAGGGATAGTAGTGCCACATCCAATCGCACTCTCCGCATATCTATTCCAGGGAATAATTTAGCCAGTTCGTCGTCGATGGAGGGGACATGTAGGAGGAATGGGGATTCGGGGTTGACAATGGTAGTCCGTGGTATATTGGAGGCTAGGGCTGTCAAGGGTGGAACCTGTTAGTCTGTGGCAAGGAAGTAACTGATAGCAGAACGTTATATTGCCCTGCCAAAAACCCGTTCAAGAACGCACCCTGTATGGCAATATCGGCGTCTCCTCCCAAAATTGCAAATGTATCGTCTTTAGACCCAGTTTTACTTCTAAGCTTTCCCAGAGCATGACCAAACACTTTAACTTCTCCTTCAGCTGGCACACGGGATCCGCTGAAGATGATTTTCAAATCACTGGACCTCTCTCTACCCAGGTAATCACACGCGAACCACTGCAGATGCTGGTCTAGTCGATTCATCAACGAGCATCCTGGTGTAAACTGCAGCACGTCAAACATTGGCATCGCCGATCTGGACTAAAACGCAGTGAGAATAAGAATTGATATCGTCCTCTTATAGACTCTCATCCTGACCGGCGCCAGCTCAACGTGGTCTGGGCAATATTCCATCACTAACCTGCCGCACATGTCTTGCTGTCCTCCTATTCCGCTGGGTTAAAAGTTTGGCCCAAGGAGCAGGCCCATCCACACCAATAAAGATGGTTTTCTGAGGAGGAGCGCTGCGAAGAGCCATTCGAAGTCGATCACTCACAGCGGCGAAAAGATCGCGTTCGTTGGTTGTTGATCGAGCTGCCAGGTAAAGAAAGTGGTTTCCATCGACGAGGACATGATCATAAGCGCTGAATGGTGACCGAGCATTGTGAGCCAGGGTAACCGTGGAAGATAAAATGCTCGTTGACTTACTGATCCAGGGGAAGAGTGTGACTGAAGGCATTTGGGAAAACTCCCTTGAGCCATTTCCAATAACCACTAACACCCATCAATAATCCTACCTATTACAGCAAAATCAGAGGAGATTGGTAAAATCCCAGGAGAAATGGGGACTGGGAAGAACGCTGTGGACAATGTCCGGGTAATTTAACCATAATTGGGTGAAATGATGGCAAAGTCAGCGACTAGCAGGTTTCCTCGTATTTGGAGATCTCCCTGCAACAATGAGTGTAGATGCATTGAAAGCTGAAATAGAAGCACTTAAAAAAGAGAACGAGGCTCTCAAAGCGGCAGCAAGGCGTGATGAAGAGCCAAAAGTCCTATCCCCTAACGGAACCATATTCGATCTACCTTCGGTTCGCGAGTGGACGCACAAAGAGTCCTTGGACAATGACGAGATTTCTCGCTTTAGTCGACAGCTGTTGATGCGAGAAATTGGAGTACAAGGTTTATATCTGGACCGGGAACAACAGTACTGTATATAAGCTACGTCACAAAGGTTGTTCTGAACCTAGTCCACATTTAGGGCAGCTCAAACTTCGAAATACTACCGTCCTTGTTGTCGGAGCTGGAGGACTAGGAGCACCCGCTGTAATGTACCTCGCTGCTGCAGGAATAGGTATGAATAGCCTTGTTCGGTGTGCGTGTTGCTGAATACATCTTAATTCTGTTCAGAAACATCTAGGCCGTCTCGGAATAGTTGATTACGATCCGGTAGAAGCCAGCAACCTGCAGCGGCAAATTGTGCACGACGAAACTCGGGTGGGCATGATGAAAGCAGAATCGGCAAAAGCGACCGTCAACAGGTGGGTAACAAGTTCTTTTAGAGTCCAGTTCCGAGTTCTACATCCGGTATTTTCGATTTCAAATCACCAGATTGTCGTCCTTCTGCGACTGCATTGCGTACAACACCTTGATCGAAAGTTCAAATGCCATGGACATCATCAGACCGTATGTTGGCTCACATGTGACTCAGCATAATCTGGATTTCCAATTCAAAGCATCGTAAACTTAGATGGGATATTGTGGTCGACGCGACTGACAATGTTGCCACACGATACCTATTAAACGATGCCTGTGTGCTGGCAGGAAAACCTCTAGTGTCCGGTAGTGCATTGAGGATGGACGGCCAGGTTAGCTTCTCTCATTTCTCCGCCGCTGTCGAGAAGCTACTCGACTGAGTTCCCGTTAGTTGACAGTTTATAATCATGCTGGTGGTCCTTGTTATCGATGTATATTCCCTGCACCGCCTCCTCCAGAGACCGTTACCAACTGCAGTGATGGCGGTGTTCTCGGTGTTGGTGAGAATGACCCAGATAAAACTGTAACCTTCTGGAGCATGATGCTAACCATGGTGTGAATTTTATTCAGTACCGGGTATTATCGGTTGCCTGCAAGCGCTGGAAGTCATTAAAATAGCGAGTGGATTGGGGAGTACGTATAATTCAACTTCACTGCTGCTTTCTATTTTCTGTCCGCCTTGCTCACCCTTGTCATATTCAGCTAGTTTCTCACAGAAAATGCTGCTGTTTGACGCAACGTCAGGCGCCTTCCGTACAATTAAATTGCGAGGCCAGAGTCCTACATGTGCTATCTGTGGCAAGAACCCCACTATTACGGACTTAATTGACTATGTGCAATTTTGTGGCGCCGCTCCGACAGACAAAGTGAGATATTTCGAATTAAATGTGTCAGGAACTCCTTCTAAGCATTTGCATAGACGCCAGCGCAGACGCTTCTACCAGACGACGAAAGAAGCACATGCAGGGTATGATCTACTAATCTACGTGTGAATTACTGTTTTCGCTAGGACTCATGATATACGCGTCCGTAGGAATATTCGAGTGTTCGAATGGGCGCCTGGCCTCATCTGCTACTCGACGTGCGGGAAACAGTTCAGTTCAATATATGCTCGCTTCCGAATTCACTTAGTACGTAGCACATCAATGTGGACACAAGTTTGTCCCGATATCTCATATTAATTATGCATCCCGTGCTAGACGTACCATTGAAGGACCTTGAGCGTCGATTAACGGACGTCGAGCAAGCCGCACGTCAAGCCGCGGCATTGGAGAGCAGCGCGATTGCCATTGCAAAAGATGCTTTGCCAAGTGAGTACTTATCATGTCATTAAACAGTGTGAAAGCCGTAGATTGAGAAGTTCCCTTAGTATACGTCGTATGTCGGCGGGGTAACGATTCACAGGTAGCGGTGCAATTGTTAAGGCAGCATGGATTTCTGCAAGCAAAAGACATTGCAGGAGGTCTAGAGAGATGGGCGAGTGAAATCGATCCAGATTTTCCGACCTATTAACTTAAAGTCTTGACTATTGTTATGTGTATAGTAGCGTGCTGCTTCAATTCAGATACATAAAACTACAATAAATCCACTATCTGCAACATACTCCAAGTTAGCTATGTACATAAAAGAACGGTGCTTTGAAGGTAGATCACTTTTCCCGAGTAATGATATTCTTCTGCCTGTCAGCCTTGTAGGGCACAGCACCAGGCTTGCTGTGCTTCCGCTCGTTTTCCTCCTTCCGCCGAATGGATTCGGTCATGGTATGCTTGATTTCTTTGGCCTTGGCAATGGATCTCGGTACTTTGCGATGACGATCAATTCTACGAATCTCGGGAAGATGCTTGTACCGCTCTTTAATTGCTTTGGTGTAGTTCATGGCATTCCGCTCACGGTTCGTCGTCTAGACATGTGTTATGTACATTAGCCAGGTCACAACGGAGAATTATGATATAGTTTGTAAACCAAGACTTTGCGCTTACCGTTCCCAGTTTATCCGACGCATTCGCTTTCCACAACCGAATGTTACCATCATCACTCCCGGACAAGACAAACTTGGCGTCCATGCTGAACTTGACGCAGAAAATTCTCTGCATGCGCTTAGTATGATATACATCCCGGCTGTGTCCCTCGCGCGTCTTGAAGATGCGCACTGTGCGGTCGTATCCTCCCGTCACAAACTCTTCTCCGGTTGGTGAGTAATCAATGTCAAGAACAGCGGAGACATGATCTTTATGCACATTCATTGCACTGTCCATCTTTCGCATATCAAAGGTGTAGCAATTGTGGTCCTCATTTGCCGTTGTGAAGTTGAAGGCCTCCATCGGGTTCCATGCGATAGCGTTTGTTCGCATGGACATAATGACCTTCGATAAGGGGGAGCTGGTTCGAAGGTCGTAGAGAATAATGGTACGGTCTGTTCCACAACTTGCGAATATACTTGTCTCCGTCTGATTAAATTTTACCGCCGTTACTGTTTCGGAGCCCCATGAGAATGATTGTACCGGCTCGGCCCTGATGAAGCGAATTGATGAGAAAGTTTTGTAGAGATCAGACTTTGCCACACCACATACTGATCCTAACCTCTCGTGATCCCAAATATCAACTTGGGTACTTGATGTGGCAAATGTCCTCTTCGAACGATGATGATCGACGCCGGTGAACGCATTTCGGGCAACATATGTTTGCAGAGGCTGGTTGCACGAAGAAGATGTCAACTAAGACTCTCACATCCTGTCACGTATTCGATGAAAACTACCTCTGTTTGCTCGGTTGACCACATCTTCACAATTTTGTCCTCTCCAACCGTGAAGAAATTGTCAGAGTCTGGTATCGAACAGATGCCGCGAACAAATCCTCTATGTGCTCTAGTGGTCCATGTTGTCTTCTGATTTGTGAGAGACCATATTCGTACCTCTGTGCGGTTTGATGGCAAATCAGACATATATTCCACAATGGTCACGAAGTGATCTACAACCGAACCACTAACCTCCATCGGCGCTTCCAGAAAATATCGTGGTTAATTTTGTCGGATGCTTCGCAACACAGTATACACCCTCAATATGTCCAGAAAGAGCTCCAACAAACGGCTTGGCGAACAGACGCTCCAACTTGGTTGCATTTAAGGCACGTGTGTATTCTCTTGCTCGTTCAAACGGGTGCAGGGTTGGGTCCAAGTTTCTCTGAACTCGGTAAATATCCCCAGAGCGCTCTCGTGCATAGCTCTCGCCCCTACTGATCGTTTTCACCTTCTGTAAAAGAAAGCAATTGTTTGAGAATTCCTGAGCATTCAACATAGAACATGCAATTACGAACCATGCTGCTCGGTCAAGACTATCGTTACTATAAGTATGCGGTGCGAACGAAATATCGAAGCCGTGTGAGCTTGACAACGCTCGCGCTCGGGATATAAACTTGCAAAATTGCAAGGCAAGGTAATGGACAAAAAGCAAGTCGCCTGCATCGCAAAACAAATCATTTTTATAACGTAATCAACCCTCACGTGACCCATGGACGGGATGTTGACGGTTCATGGTAGCCATCTATCTGTTCTACTGAAGGTGATGGGATACGACATGCATAGGTCTTGGGCAGATGATGCACATATAACTAGAGATGCCTGCATTTGCCGCAATTTCACGTTGCATCCTCTTTCACACTGTACTCAAAGGGATAAAAACACCATGGAACGCAGTAGCCATATCTGGTAGGGTCAGCTTAACTTCATCAGCAACCCAGTGTATTCTCGAATTTACAGGACATCACCCAATCTGGCTTTTTGTTCAGCAACTAATAAGTTAATATTCGTCCTCCTCCTTCTCCTCAGCTATTGTAGTCTCGGTGATGTTGACTGGGGGCGGGGGATTCTCATCTTCAGCCGACACTTCTGTGGCAGTAGGCTGCTCTTCCTCAATAGGCTCGGAAGGCTCTGTAGGCTGCGCCGTTTGTGCATCTGCTCCTTCTTCTTTCTCCTCCTCGCCTTCTTGGATGGGTTCTGGGACACCTCGTCGAGGCTCGATTTCAACGTTCTCCTGAACAGGTTCTTCTTCACTAGCTGCAGCCTTCTTTTCTGCTTCTAGCGCTTCGGCCTCTTTTGCCTGCCGCTCCTCTTCCACCCGTTTCTCTTGTTCTAAGATGGCCGTCATGCGCACCTTCACCTCTTCTTCAAAACGACGACGATGCTCACGTTCCGTCTGTTGCGCAGCTACAAGAGCATCCTGCATGGCTTGCAATTTTGCCCGTCTTTTATGATGTTCTGCAATAGTCTTTTGTGATGCATCGTGATGCAGCAAATATTCTCCTATAAAACTAATCGCATCAAGACCTCGAGGACCCTCCAGAGAAGTATCGTAGCCATAGCTCAGAAGGGCGCTAAGGGCTGATGACAGAAGGGGCCCAACTGTCTGCTTCAAGTAATTGGTGTCCATAGCGGGATGGCCAGTTGGTGAGAGTCAAAAGGTTTGCAGCGCTAGTTGGGAGGCACTAATACCTAATACACTGCTCACCAGTTGAAGACTCCGGCGATCATGTAAGCGGCTGCGCCACCTTCAAGGGACCCTTTCCGGGTGTGCTCGATCTGCAATTTCCAAAAACATGCCCAGCAATCCCAGTTGTAAACAGGCGCTCAAGGAGGAGACATGTACTCTATACACGTACCGTAGTAGCAAAATACACTGCAAGTAACGTTTCATCTGGTACTGTGGCGGTCGCGTGTAGGGAATGGACAACTATATCGCGGGTTTACCTTTCTCGACTGCCGAGTTTGCTCGTGCGGAAAGCCGCTCCGGATCGTCGTTAGGATCGTTAGGTTTCCCGGACTATTCATCTCCACGCTACGTGCTATATCAGGATGGGTCTTGTCAGGCAGAGAACCTGCTGTTGCCATCATCTGGCTCTGAACAGCTTATTCCGGCCACCTTGCACTTGTCACCTGGCGGAGCTTGCTTCGTTGTCGAATATGACCAAGACGAAGGCAGGTTGGATCGTACGAGCGTCCTAGGAACTGCAAAGCTGTCGCCATTGCGGTCGCGCTTAGCTTCACGTCCTCAATCTGCTGACTTAACGCGCGCCTTTCGCAATCGGTCTCCATCTCCGGATAGGCGAAGTAGCTATTTTCGCGAATCCTTCCTGGGGCCGACATCTCTGGATAAGCCTTCTAATTTAGGGATGAACTGGGGGGAGCGTGACGGGGAAAAGAGAAGACATTTGACAGCAACTGTGACAAGTAAATTTCGGAGCGCGGTGTTAAACCTTTTAAACTTCAGGAACACGTACTATGAGAAACCCTTTCTTCATGCGGCTCTCCTAGAAAAGGATGTCCTAATGCAAACGCTGCAGACAAATACGGAAATAAAATACTCTCGGTGGCCGGTCGCATCCTCGGAGCTAATCTCACGTTCACCGGAAGGCAGTTTGACAATCGCAAGCATTGACGGATCCATACAGTTAATACTTTTACCGCACCGGCAAACATTTACTGTGAAGTTTCCGTCCCTAGTAGCCGATCCTGATGGTTTGGTCACAAAATTGAGGGGAAGTCGAGTCCCGTACAAATTTGTATATCTGTGGATTGAGCAAACATTCTCCGTGCGAGATGCACCAGAGCTTTGGCAATACCCTTTAGCTCTCTTGCTGAAGCAGTGTGGAGGTACTTAGTCGCCGTTTAAAAACCTCACCTGTGCCCAAATCTTATCATCTCATTGTCCATTCAGATTCCTCTACGCTTCTGTATGAGGATATCTGTGTCAACGCAGAGGAAGACAATTATGTGACGACGATTTTGCCATCATGTGGTGAATCTTCTCCATCTGCCGCTGAGAATTCATCATTTCGACCATCTCGTGCAGTACATAATGATATAGCAAATCCTAAACCCATTCGGATCTTATGGACACCTACGGCGGTGTATCGAGTCGTGGCCCTTGGCAAGAACGATATGTGCTTGCAGTCGATATCCCCAAGTTTCTCTTCTTTGGATATACAAGTTGAGGCGACACTACCTGAGGATGGAACAGTGATGAGAGCCATTGAAGACCTAAAGTATATGGTGGTATACTACAATTCTGCAATGGATGACATGTCCGGTGAGGGGGAAATGTATGCTTTACAAGGTGCGCCGCCTTTCATTAGGGAGCCCAATACAGGCACCAGGTGAGGAACGTTGGAAATAAACCGGAGGTGACGCTTCGCTGACACTATACGGCTTTAGCTATCCTCTCTCTGTTATAAGCGCAGAGATGCTGAGGCTAGTTCAGGTTGCGTATCGTTCCATCGCGGCGCGTCCTAAGCATCCTATTCCAGTAAGAAGCGGGAAACTGGAAGGGACGGCAACTGTCCCAGGCTTGGGAACCTTTACGGCGTATTCTGGGGGATATGTCAGAGCATTATATGAAAACGGTGTAGTGGTCGAAGCTCAGAAAGCCCCCTCCATTGCACATGTAACGTTTCCGGACGGGGACGTTGTGACTGTCCGTTGCGAGAAGCCCGTCGGTTGCGAGAGATACGTAGTCCCCGTCTTACAGTTTGCCAAAGAGGTCTGGGAAAGCAACGAGATGAAATTGAAGAGGCAGGAAAGTAAGATGAGAGCAATGGATCTGGCTGCTGGGTGTATACAAAGATGCAGAACCTACTTGGAGGAGAAGCAAGCCATCAAGGATTCATCAGACCCAGATTGTAACCATAAATACAGGCCGAGAATAGCGGATATCGTGGCTCGAAATAGAGATTATGTACAGAGAGATGTGAAAACAAACCTGTAGATAGTTAGTAGATGAGAAAGTTGCGAATAGGCATGATACTCAACACAATACGTGATTACCCCGAGTAGGCACTTCTGGTCAAAAAAGAAGTGTGTATACTAAGTATACTAACAGTCCTCAAAAGGAGTACGTTTGGGTAATGTTTGATAACAGCGGACTCGATAAATAGGCCGTCACATGGAAAGGTTTATATTATTCAAAATGACTTTCACATGCGAGATGGACATTGGTCGTTTTATCAATAAAATTAGCTCGGACGCCCTCTTAATACGCTGGTTTCCACGCGATCCAAAAATTGTTGTGAAACCCTATCCAGCCCGTCTCCTATTCCAATCCGATTCCTCCACTGTACCGTATGCCTTGCCCGTACTTCGACTTTCATCCGCTGCACCGTTTCCGTTACTATACCCTTTTCTTCTGAGTTCGAACACTTCCAGAATAGCTTCCCTAAAGCACCGGAAATTATAGTCGATCAATCCCTGCTTCTCAAAGTTATCCTCGCGAAGTAAACAGACTAGCGCGAGATGTCTATTCAATACACGGATGATTAGTACACGATATGCGGCTGAAAAGTAGGAAATCAAGGTGTCAATGCCGACTTACTGATTGACTTCACGCAAGTATAAGACCATGCCGTTATTTAATCTGATAAGTGCGTGGGCGTCTCCGTCGGCAGTCGGGGAAGTAGGAGTGCTGGTTGATGAGGGAGAATCTTTGTCCGATATTCTGGGAATAACGCACTTCCAGTCAGTGCGATGCAGGACGATCGGATGTGAGCTTGAGATTATTACCCGTATATGCTAGAAACGTCCAATATGACATCAATCATGTCGCTACAAAGTTCGTACGATTGCATGTCGACTGGTGAGCTGTCCGTTGCGATGTATATCTTGGAGAGTACATCGAAAAGGAAGGCCTTCTCAATACCCGAGTTCTGCGATAAGTTCACTCAGTATCGAAGTCCTTGATGATGATCATACACCTTTAAGCACGGGTGCATACCGAGCATAATATATTCAACAAATTTTCCAACGTAGGAAGTTGGGGAATGAGCTTCTGTATGACTTTGGAAAATGCTTCATATATGGAATGGTCGTAGATCGATGTAAGGTAGAAGCTAAGATGTATATTGTCGAGTTGAGCATCAGAAAGCTCATCGGATATGCGTTGGTGAATATCACGTTGGGTTTCTTTGAAAGAAAACAGGACGTTCTTAACCAGTTTTATACACGACCATTGACCAGAGCTGAATGAGATTTGACTTTACCAATTTTGTGGTCGTCTGATAGGCCGTCCACTTTATGTATAAAAACCTCAAATGATATATTTGGGTTAACCTTGTGAGCTCGAGTTACGGTCATATAGAGACGCTGAAGTGCTTCCAAGTAATCGTCCTGTCCTTCCGGAAACCTGGATTATCTATGTGTGACGGATGATCTTGCTACCGACGCAACTGTTACCTGTGCGTCAATGACAAAGACTAAAGCACCACATTGCCCAAAGATCATTTCCGAATCGAATGCTGGGTCAAAGAAGTCCAGTTGGCCTGGGAAGTCCCATATTTGAAAGTCGATGAAGGAGCTGCAGGAAGTATTGAGCAAAGTACCGTCGGGCGTATGTAACACCGTTCGGAACGCACATTATGTCATCCTTCTCAATTTTGGTCGTGCTTTCAACGAACAATGTTTCATTTGGTGACATCTTATGAAAGACCACTCGTTCTATGCTCGACTTCCCACTTCTACATGATTTTGACCGCTAGTAAGTTGACAGATAGCCGCAGCTTACCGAGACGCATCAGCGTACCTTCGTAGACCCATCAATAGTAATCTAGGCTTCTCCGCATCAGCGACGTCAAGGAGATCTGTATCTGAATAACTAAGAATATTGCATCATGAATAACCCTTATCCATTCTTTGGGGGTGAAATCTACTGAGCTCATATGACCGAAATCTCGAAGCAGTCGTACAATATGCTGTTCAGTTCTATCATAACTCAGACGATAGCGTTTTGACTTCCCTTCCGACCAAGTGAATCACGCTGGCAATCCCGACGCAACTTCCTCTCTTAACGCACTACTCACCCGGTATGCTCCAAACCACTGGGCGGTCCAACCTCTCCCGTGGCACCATAATGCGAAACACCGTCATCATAGTCGTAGTAAGACTAGGTTGGAATAAAGTTATGAGGGTTACCGGTTACCCGAAATCGCGGCAACGTCAGATAGAAGAGACAGAACCACGACCAAGACAGCGCCCGTTGTACCTCCTGTATCATAGACTGCTAGCCTGAATATTAACTTACCGCCATGACTAACAAGTCCTACTCTTGTTTTCTACCTAACCATGTGATCTGTCGAGGCGCTCAAAAAGCGTTCCAGCTGACGGCAACGAGCTGGGTGTTGAATGACTCATTCTGTTTCCATCCGGATACAGCCAGCTTCTGCTCGGCTCGATGAAGACTTGGAGATCCTCACTCCAGAAACTCGATGTAGGCCGAGGAAGGATGACTTTATTGAAATACATGGCATCATTCAATCATTTAATCAGAACCATTTGGGGTGAAAAACTCTAAGATATTCTCGTTCAAACCTCTTGGCGACGCCGCATAGTGTTATGAGCCTGCATAACCCACTTTGCGGTTTCCCGGCAGACTCCAATTGGTGATAAAAGCCTACTGGTAACAGACTTATGCTACCAGCAGCATTCGGGCTGGTTTTTCCCTAGAAACTTGGGGTGAATAATGTACAATGGATTTGCGAGTGGGCAAATTAGGACGCAACTAGCTAATAAAAGCAGATCTGATACGGCGCCTTTCTAGCCAGGTAGACAGTGGCTGCTGTACGGTAAGTATATGATATCCATTGTTCACCATTCATATGCAAGCAGCGATCAACGAAGTGCAAAAAAAAAAATACCGAACCGGCGGAATGTGCTGTCCTTGGATTTACATCTATTTCAAGTTGGTTGACCATGGGGACCATTATTAGCAGGGTCGTTACCTACGCCGCCCTAGCTTGTGCAAAGGGCATTAACACCCTGTCGATCGTCCGCCAATCCGCCAATCATGATCACCAGTGTGACATCAAAGCAATGAAATCTATACGCCATTCTCTGGGAACAGCTTCTGTGGAGTCGCCCGCCGACATCATTAACGGTAATCGGGCCCTAGCTAGGCAGCCGAGCACGCGAGCCCCTTCTTATGACACACAGGCTGATACGCGCGGGCAACAAAGATCTCATATAAATTTACGGCCCGTGGCGCTGACAAAAGGAGATGGCGCCTATGAAGGACATGTGATGTTGGGCAGTGTCCGCTTGCAAGTCCTCCATGAGTTCTGGTGAAACCCGCAGTTCTGAGCTGCGTAGGACGCCGTAGTGGCAATACGACTTGAACTAGATGAGCCTTTTGTAAAATCGTTGTAACGGCCGTCATCGTCATCGTCTGAGCGCAGAGTGACAAATTGTGGGGCCAAATAGGGTTTCGTCATTTAACCGAAACGCGTACCTGGTACCACATTGCCGGGTCGATCTCCTTTAAATTTTCTTCCTTTTTTGTGAGCAAGGGGCACAACTCGCCATCGTTACTAAGCATGCGCTTGCAACGTTAAATGTCTTGTAACTCCGAAGAAGAAGACGGCCCGAAGCTGCCGAGCGGCCTGGCACATCATCCCTCCTGTTTTTGCTTTACCACCTTTGTTGAAAAGGCCACCGCTCTCATCTGAACCTCATCTGCATCCCATAGAAAACGTACTCTCCAACCGGTTAGGGAAAATGCGACCACTTTCAGTGTTCACAAAGCCCTTTTCCTCCAAAGACAAGCACCCCCATGCCAATCCTATCACTGATGGCCTTGACGACGCTACTGGAAAGAAATCAAAGAAACACCGCAGATTGTCGAAGATACTCCATATTGGACACAAGAGCAAGTCAAAACACGAACGAAAGCCTTCCACCGACTCTACCGAAAAGGAGCAAATCTCTTCAATCACAACAGATCTTTTAGAGGTTGAAATTGAGCACCGTAATTCGAGAGAATACATATGGGCAGAACAAGTTAGACGTCTAAGTAGTGACATATCTGAACGAACTAGCTCAGATGGCCTCGTCAGAAGCAGTTTGTCAGACGGGGATACGACCTTGGTATCATCTCCGAGCAAAGGCCATTCCTACCGTCAATCGGGCCCTTCTGATTTGTCTTTTGCGGATTTGAAAATGGAAGAACACGAAGTGGTATGTAATAACTGCTTTTTCGACCCATGGCTCCCTGTGTTCAAATTCGTGTCATATAGGACGTCTCTGGAACCTCTACCCCTACGTACCTTCGCCGTCGCTCTTCTTCCATTTACACAAACGGGTCTACTCGCACACATGTGGATGATCCGGATGAAGAATTTGTTCCACTCCCAAAAGAGCCATTGGACTTGAGCAAAGGACCTCAACTCAAGTTGGATTTGTGGGAGACCTACACTCCTCGTTCGTCATCCACGGAACCGACCAGTTATCCATTTGGTTTTGACACTAACAGACTCTCACCTACCACACCCCGTTCCCCATCCCTCCGATCCGATCTCTCTGATGCGATACTGGAATCTCCGAACTCAGCTATAGAAAAGCTGGCAGCGTTGATGGGTTCCATAGCTGACGAAGCATATCTAGGCATGCCCGATGCCAAGAGGACGTCATATACCCGTTCCTCCCCAGACGCCAACCAATTCACCATGAGCAGGTCAATCGATTTGCCCACTGCTGCCGAGCGCCACCAAAGCAAAAGCAAATTGGATTTGGGCAGACGAAGAGCTTCCCGCCGACGTGTCGACCTTAATGACGACACAGCATGTAAAGAGTATGAAAGGATGCTGTCAAAGTTTGAACGGCATTTTTCACAAATGCAAATGGTTTAGAGAATAGTTGTAATGGGTTTTGGGATACTAGCACGTCATTTTTTTTGGTCAAAAGTGTATTATATGCAAGCGTTTTGGATTTCATGCAAATATCAATTGTCGCGTTTTTTGATTCTCTTATCTAATATTCTGCACATCTAAATTATTATACACGATAATGTGCTCCCAAACTCCTTGCACGGTCAGCCACTTAGTCTTCATCAGAGCTCTGCGCAAATTTGACAGAATAAGATTCGGTATCGATCCTACCGCCTCGGTAGCTTCCCCGTTTTTTCTGCGAAGATAAACAAGTGTGAATATGGATCCTGCGAGGACGAAACGCAGATCGCGCGCAAGCAAGCACAAAAATACCTTGTTCTTCTCGTTACGGAATCCCTTTCCCCTGGTAACAATCAAATCTTGGTGAGCCTTGAGACCGTAACTGCTATCGGCACCGCCTTTTGCCATGTACGCATTGTTGATAATCTTTTGCGGATCTACTTCTTCTTCTTTCACGCGTTGGAACCGCTGCAGCAACATCGATTAGCACAGTTGGTAATGTCAGCGGCGCGATCAAAATTCTACCTCAGTCTTCTGTGCAGAGCCATTGACCTGCTTTTGCTTCTTGGTAGAAGGGCCTGAGCTCGAGGTGCCATTGGGAGCAGGAGAGTTTGCTTCAGCATCCTCATTTCGTTTTCGTTTCTTATCCGGGCGTTTTGGCGTCTCTGGTTCAGTTTCCTTGACCTTCCTTTTGTTATCAACTTTCGACTTTGTTTCAGCCTTCCTTTTCGTTTCACGCCGCTTTGCCTTAACCTTTTTCCGCTTTGCATCGCTATCAGAACTGGAGCTTTCACTACTCTCTGAATCTGAGGATTCGCTGCTAGAAGACGATGATTCCGTTGAATCTGAATCAGAAGAATCGCTACTGGAAGACGATTCCGTTGAATCTGAATCGGAAGACTCGCTACTGGAAGTTGATTCCGTTGAGTCTGAATCGGAGGACTCGCTACTCGAAGACGATTCCGTTGAGTCTGAATCGGAAGATTCACTACTAGAAGACGACGATTCCGTTGAATCTGAATCGGAAGAATCACTGCTTGAAGACGACGATTCCTCCTTTTTGGCTTTTGCTGCTGTCTTCGCCTTGCCCCTCTAATGCACGAACCATTCAAAATTACGCATCAATTTTAACCAAAATTGTATTTTTCACCTCTTTTAATATCTTTGAACTCTGATTATCTGAGTAATCCTGCTCGTCCTCAGAACTTGATCCTTCCTCACTACTGTCGCTCCCAGAGGAGTCACGTGCACCACTACCTTTAGTGACTTTCTGTGATTTTCTCGGTGCTTCCTCATTTTCACTACTTTCGCTGGAATCAGACCCAGAGTCCGACTCTGATTCCGAGTCTGATGTTTCATGCTCTTCTTTAAGATCAATGCTGCTGCTAGTGCATAAGCCCATGCCGCGGAGTAATGAGTGTCAGGGATAGCATACCTCTGCCGCAGCTTGATATAAGCTTCATATAATTCTATAAGTGTTTTGCCATCCTCGGCACTAGCATCCTTAGTCTAGAAGGAAGCTAAAGATATTAGAACCCGTCCGAGGACGCATGCTGGCACCAACGTTCTTACACATAGTGGTAGCTCCTTTTTCAAGGCCTTTGCAGCTTTCGCGGCACCAGAATCTTCCAGAAATCTTAGTACTAGAGGAAGTAGACCTTCAAGTGTGGCCGAGGATGTCATGTTTCGTTAGGGAAAAGCTTGGGAAAATCGCCTGCGATCTAGCTACAGGAGCTAAGCCCAAAAACAATTCACACGCAACCATTGGTCACGTGATTTAGTTGCTACGACAACGCCGAAGGGTTGAGCTAAAAGGTTTCGACTTTCGCAGTTCATTGGTGGCCCAGTGGCGGTAGATTCTACGAAGCAAATCAGGTCATAGATCGACGATCTCTGTTCGACGGAGCCTGACGGACTTGCGTTACCGAAGGATAATTTTAGTGGAGGGTTTGGCCGCAGGAATTGCGAAGCAATAAGTGACATTCATTATGCCCAAAAATAAGGGAAAGGGAGGAAAGAACAGGAAGAGGTGAGTCGAAGTATCCGACGTAAGGTCTAGTAGGTTTGGAGGGTATTGATACGAAGTCCTTGTGGGAGATTGTCACTTTAAAGGAAATGCTTGTTGATTTGCGATTGTCCTCCATTAATCATATAACTATCGCTCTCAGGGGAAAGAATGAGAACGAGTCCGAGAAACGTGAATTGGTGTTCAAAGAGGACGGACAAGAGTATGCCACTGTAACGAAGATGCTGGGAAATGGTTGGGTGGAGGCTCAATGTTGTGATGGGGAGAAGCGATTGGCCCACATTCGTGGAGCTTTCAGGAAGAAGGTTTGGTGGGTTTCTATGTTGTCATTTAATCGCCATTGTTTGTCCTTACCATTCATCACATGTTTGTCCTATTCACAGGATTACACAGGGTGACTTGGTACTACTAGGTCTGCGAGACTATCAGGACTCCAAGGCCGACGTTATTTTGAAATACACCCCAGATGAAGCCCGAATGTTGAAATCATATGGAGAACTACCCGACAACATCAAAATCAACGACACACAGATCATGGAGGACTCAGACGAGGGTAAATGTTTACTTCTTTCTGTTCGTAGATATTATGGCTTACCTGACCGCCGATTTCTGCAGAGGTCAACGTCGAGTTCGATATCGACGAGATCTAAAAGGGGGCGGCGGCTGCGTGTGTATCTGCATCGCAAGACCACATCGCTGTGTAGCGATCGCTCAGAGGAGTCAACCAGTGTCCTGATATCAGGGGGATTGGTGTCCCTCTTGTCTATACCGACTCATCGACTTCTATTGCTGATAACCGAGGAGGCAACTGAAGGGATGGCGTCCCCATGTATTCATAACCACAATACATTTCTCCCGCTCTGTGCAATACTCTCCAAGTAGTATGTCAATCTTCTTGTAGCGGATATTACTCTTCGTCATCCGTGTCGCTTCCGAATTCCGTGCCCTTTGCAACCTTCATTTTCACTCTAGGATTTACCAGGCTCTTTGCCATGCTTGCTTTTTTCACCGGTGCGCTACGTTTTGACGGGCCTACATGCAGTGTGGCGTTCACAAAGATCAGTATCCTGGACTCCATACTGATGTAATTAGAAGGTTCATGGGATATACCTATGTCCATTGTCAGGTTGGATGCCATTCCTTTTATTCTTTCCAGTTCTCTCTTGGCAGCTTGCAGTTCATCTTCCAACTGTCTTATCCTTTCATCTAAGATAAGCGGTCACGATGGATGGATAGTACACTGTCTATATGTCGAAATACAACACACCGGCTCTTGGAAATGCATCGGTATGCGGCCTCCCAATTGAAGCATCAGCCAATAATAGAAGCAAGTTCCTGAGAGCTTCAAATGTCTCATACTCCTTTCCTTTCAATTGAATTTTGAATGGGTATGTAGCAATCGGGTCGACTATCAACTATGCGCCATTATTTACGGTTATGTACAACAGGCTGTGTCATAATCGAACTGCATACTTCAGCAGACCGTCCGCTCCTTTCGATAATAGCGATATCTCGGGCCCTCCAGGCAGTTTCAAAACGAGTACTTTGATGCGTATCTGATAACTAATATGCAGGCAGACACAGAACACAGTTCATAGTGGTATGCCACTAAATGCAAAAGGTGCAACTCTGTTCACAAGAGGCATACCAAACTTTCTTGGTCTGAATTCGCTAAACGCGCTTCGTAAAGGTGCGACTCTCCCACAAGCTGGACGATCCAGAGATCCCCGGTAAGGGACGAACTCAGGACATATCGAGTACTGTGGCTCTCAATGACTTGCACATGGTTGCGGAAGACGTCAGTAAGGCCCGCCATTTCAGGCATTTCTTGCTGGGCGGATCGCAACTCGCCCAAATCTGGTTCTAATGCGCAGTCACGTGCGTTGGTAATGGATTGGCGTTCGTGGCGAACTTTTGAAGCGACTGCGACATTAGTGCGCGGACATTGGTCTCGTCGAGCATTTATTATGCGAACACGGAGCATTCGAGCACTTGTCGACTCAGTACGCGCGTAGACGCGCACGTTCTTGGCAGGGGTAGTGTGTTTCTGTCCCGTGATGCGAGAGATCCACCAGGACGAAGACTTGCCCGCGAGCGGATTTTACGGCGTCGTTCGAGAGAATATTGTAGCTCTGCTTTTTGCGTTGGCTCTGGAGGGCATCTCAGCGCTGTTACTACGTAGATATCGCATTCGAAGAGTGAGCAATGGAACAAAGAATTTCTCGTGGGAAAGTGGGGCAACCTGGAATCGGGATGATCTTGGAGATGACGGGAGCTCTCTAAGAAGACGCCGGTCGACTTCCGATCATTATGCTAGTAACTCTACCATGAGCACCATGAACTATAGCAGCATCAATGATTCGACGGAGGACGACGATGAGCTGGCCGAATCCTCCATAGCAGTTATGTTCTGTTGCACTGGCTTAGGTGCCGCTACAGCAGGCTTTTTGTTACTGCCACTGACTGCCGGGTTTGGTGACTACATAGAGAAATCTATGCTAGATAGGTACTTGCATTAAAGCTTGGTCTCCCGGTTTTTTTGGCCTTTCAGAAAGCTAATCCGATCCTATTGGTGTTTGTATCGCCAATCATAGATTTTGGAATTATACCTCCATTGCTTCCTCTCTCTCACTCTACGGACTTATGCCATTTTGCTATTTTATTCTTGAAGCCCATGGAAGGACGTGGTTGGCAAAAACTAAAGAATGTCTCCAGGTTTTGGTGCTGTTCTGGGCTCTCGGAGCTGGCCTACTGTTCATCATAACCAAGACGCTCGGGGTTGAAGCTTTCATAGAAACACACCCGTGGCTATCTGCCTTGAACATTGTCGTCAGTATACCGTGCGGCGTACTTGCTGGCCTAGCTACACCACGTGGGGTGGTGCAGTTATTTACATTGCCCGGGAGTTTCGCGCTCCCTTTGGATCATAAGAAGAGAACCAGGGACTCAATAACTGAATTGGAATTTGAGATTATGGCATTGGAAAACAAACTGCACAATAATCAGGAGACGAGAAAAGACACCGCGCGAAGGGGCCAACTCGATGGGGAGGTGGACACCGAGGCAATCGTTTGGAAAATTTCCGCTCTCCGAGCTGACATAGGCAAATTGCGGCAACTGGAGCGTTACAGCCCATTGATGCGAATTCTGATCGCTGTCTCGCTCTTTTCCATGTCACTCGTGGGATGGATTTCGGTATTGATGAGGATATTATCGAGCTTGGCAGATGAAGTTCTAAGTCAAAACATCCTGTGGCGAGTCGGTGAACCTCCACCCAGGTGGTGGACTCTCTCAGAGCCTATATCGGTGGCCTACTTTGGTCTGGCAACCACAGTTGGGTTCTATAGGCTAGCACCCAAACTTGTCTTCCAAGTTCATAACACACCTGCCCGGCAGGTCATTGGCAGTATTATGCTATTGCTCACCGTCTCTGTAACACTACCTCTTGTGGTTCAGAGCTTGGGGTTAACTAAATGGGATGTGGGATTGTGCCCAGAGCTGGTCGTTCTTGCACATCGTCCTTGGTTGCTGGCTACCTATAGATTAGCAATGCTGTGGTTAATGGCCACTGGTCGACGGTAATAGTTTAATCTAATAAAATATTTCTTATATCATATCTTCATAATAACTCGTTCGTACCTTTATTCCCACTGTGTATAATACCAAAGTCAGAATGAGATCACGTGCAACTTTGAGCCGGATCCATTTGTTGTGTTCAACCCTGTTGAGGTTGGGTAGTTGAGATCACGAAGGATACTCAAATCCATTCTCTAGCTTTGCGTTTGAAATGACCCAGGTACAAAGTAACGGGTCTGCGGACGACAATCAGTCAGCTCCATCCTTGAAAGATCTTGTGGAACACTCCATCAAGCGAACACATGAGGTCTTCCTGGCCAATTTTGGCATAACAGCACCTGCGGATCCCCCAAGGTTTGTTGCCGGAATAACTAGTTGCTCATAACGAATGGTCGAGGAAGCTTAAATCTGATGCGCATTTGTAGTCAGCGTTTGAAGTTGAGTTCGAAGATTGCGGATGAGTGGGACCATGTGAGGGAATTGCCCAAGGTTGTCCAGGCACAGACAGCCAAACCTATACCTGCGAGAGCACCGGGTTCGGCTGTTTCGGCAAGTCAACCACAGTCGGTTGTCAGGGGTAAGCAGCTGTCAGTAGCTTGTGCATAGGTGTAAAGTCTAATGCCGCGTCGCAGAAGCGAACGCTGCCGAAGCGTCTGATAGTACTGTCCAGACACTCATTCACACGCTGCCCGTCAACCGAGAACAGGGGTAGGCTCCAGTACGGGTGCAAGTGTTGAATTTTTATGGAAACTTACCCTGAGCCCTTTTTACAGAAGGCAAGTACCTCAAGCGGCAGCCGGCGTGGTTGCACTTCGGAACCAGGGAGCTTTACCTGGCGGTCCCAGAACCTCGGATGCATCATCGGCACTAATACGAATCAAGGAACCGCGGAAAGTCCCAAAACCAAAGTGGCATGCACCATGGAAGCTTATGCGGGTGGGTATCTGTCTCTTGAAATCTGAGAAGATTCAAACTGATGACAATTTGCATTGGGTTCGTAGGTTATCAGCGGTCATTTGGGATGGGTACGTTCTGTGGCGATTGAACCAGGCAACGAGTGGTTTGCAACCGGAGCGGGCGATCGGGTGATTAAGGTAAGATTATCTTGAATGGTTGCAAGGGTTTGCGTGCTGCTCATCCGATGGGATCTTGCAAGATTTGGGACCTGGCTTCAGGCACTTTGAAATTGACTTTGACGGGACATATCGCTTCGGTGCGCGGCCTGGCGGTATCACCACGGCATCCATACCTCTTCTCTGCTGGTGAAGACAAAATGGTAAAATGTTGGGATCTTGAATACAACAAGGTGATCCGGCACTATCACGGTCACCTTAGCGGTGTTTACACATTGGCGTTGCACCCAACACTGGATCTCCTTGTCACTGGAGGCAGAGACTCCGCTGCTAGGGTGAGTAGTTAGACCTGCAAATAGCTTCCGTTGTCGCTTGAAGCACTGACGAGTCGCCTATCTTCCAGGTTTGGGACATGCGTACGAAAGCACAGGTCTTTGCTTTGACGGGGCACACATCAACCGTGTCTGATGTGAAGTGTCAGGAAGCCGATCCACAGGTCATCTCCGCATCGATGGACTCGACAATACGGCTCTGGGATCTTGCTGCTGGGAAAACAATGACGACACTGACACATCACAAAAAGGCAGTCAGAGCCCTTGCGATCAATCCAATGGAGTTTACCTTTGCAAGTGCAAGTCCAGATAACATTAAGCAGTGGAAGTGTCCAGAAGGAAATTTCATCCAGAATCTCGAGGGCCACAATTCCATTGTTAATACCTTGGCTTGTAATCAAGAGGGAGTACTATTCTCGGGAGGTACGGGTTGGCAATGGTTCGCGCGGATTGCGGTTGCGAGTGTCTTACTGCATCCCATATGACAGGTGATAACGGCTCCATGTACTTTTGGGATTACAAAACTGGGTACAATTTCCAAACCGGAGAGTCCCTCGTACAGCCTGGATCGTTGGATAGCGAAGCAGGCATTTTCTGCTCAGCATTTGATAAAACTGGTTCCCGATTGATCACAGGAGAGGCAGATAAAACAATAAAGATTTGGAAGGAGGATGAGAACGCTGTAAGTGACGAGGCGCAGGAGACACCACCGCAGTGGTGCTAATTGTCTTTCGTAGACGCCCGAAACGCACCCAATCAACTGGCGACCAACGCTCGGACGAGGAAGGTTTTGACCTTCGCTTTTATATGCTCAGCTCGTGCCTTTAGCGGTTTGTAATAATAACAATACATGTACAGCGTATCTTTTGTCGACACACGGGTTTCCTGGCTGTTGTGTATAGAGGGATGTCTAGCCGTCCCACTCCCATGATTTTCGAGTTTGTACTCATGAGGTGCAAGGCAAAAAGTTCTCTTGGCTGCATGAAATCAAATACACGAAATGCACAAATGTACTTACGCAATAGATGCGGGCCTCCTCATGAAAACATTTTGAAGGGGGCCGTTGCTACAGTATTTCGTCAATGTCCAAGTGCTTCTAAGCAACCACTCCAAAATGCTGAATTCTGCCTCAATTCCACATTTTCTGCCTCGTCAAAAAAATCCACGTCGCCGCTCTACTTGGCTCTCCAGCAAAATTACTTTCTCAATTAAAAATTACGCCTTCGACTCGGCATTCCGACGACATTAATCCATGTCGACTGACAGGTACGGCACGATTCCTCAGAGTAAACATAATCAACTGGTTTCTCCTCCCACATCCATTGTTGTCATCGCTACCACTCTCCATCCTAGATTATTTATACATTCATATCCACATCGGGAAAGCAACCCACTTCATCATTGCTTAGGGATGACGAGCGCCGAAGGGGCTCGGAGACCGCCTTCTGTACGGACTGTACTGAGGTGAACGCCGGCCTGCTAAATGAACACAATGATAAGCAGACCGCCGAAATGACTGGAAACCGTGTTGAACTCACCAGCAGGAGCAGGCGGGGGAGAGCGCGGACGGTCCCTGCCAAAGTCATCACCGGGCGCACCGCGAGCTGGGCGCGTAGTGGATTTGATCTCATCCTTCTTGTCGAGACCAATGTCCCAGTCGATTTTCAAACGACGACCTTCGACGAGAAATCCATCGTACCTACACCAGGACAACACGGTCATTCTTCACAGTAATTGCGCTTGCTAGGGTAGTCATTCCTGCTTACTTATTTTTGGCATCTTCGGCATCGCGGCGATCTTCGTAAGCGACAAAAGCGAAGCTGGCAACGTGAACTCATGAGACAGATGCTGAGGGGAAAAATAACGAAACGTCTGAGGTAATACCCTTTGTTACGGCCAGTAAAGCGATCGAATGGCACAGAAACACTACGCAGCCTTCCGTAGCGGTCGAAAAGATCTTGGACTATGCAAGTAACGATCAGTACCTCGACTGCACAGGACAGCTCATTCAATGCAATTTACCGTCTTCTTCACGGAAACTGTAGGGCAGATTTCCGACGTACAGACAGGACGTCGTTTGTCGCTGTTCGTCATTTCCTCTGAAAAAGTATCATTGATATTGTGAATGGAGCAGCGACAAAAAGCCAGGTATACGCACTTTATCACTTCATAACGTCTCCTCGGGGGCGGGCTACGGCGCCTGTAGCCGCCGCCTCCGCCGCCATAGCGGCCTCCATAGCCTTCTTCATAACGTCCACCGTAGCCTCCATAACTGCCTCTAGGAGGATATCCGCCTCGACCCTCATACCCTCGATCGTAACCACCGTAACCGCGCTCGTAAGGAGGTTCGTAGCCACGACCATCATAGGGCGCAGGCCCACGAGAGTCGTAGTATTGTGGGTGAGGACGTCCACCGCGTGGAGAAGGCGATCTACGTCCACCTCGAGGAGACATGGATCTGCGGCGAGCGCCCGGGGAACGGGACCGATCGCGATTACCTCGTGGAGCACCGTAAGGTGCTGGAGGAGGCGGAGGGGCATCCCCAGCGGGGGGGATTGGAGCAGAATTACCGCTGTATGCCATCATCAAAGAAGATCCCCTGTTCAGGTTAAATTCTGCTCGTTGAGATGAAAGATGTTGCTCGTTGCGTCCCCCTCGCGATTTTCGTGAGACTGGCTGGGTTGTAGCCATATCCTTTTAGGGATTGAAATTGAGTTCCATGGACATTCGAATGTGCCCATCCAACGTCACCAGCCAACTTCCTTCCGGAAGATCGCTGAAGGAGCAATGTACGCAATTTCTCTTATAGAGGACAATGGCGAACGCCATCTCTTGGAAGCGGAAAAGGACAAGGAAGGAATAATCATTTTGGGGCGGAAAATATGGGGCGTGGAAACCAAACGATGCAGCAGACAGCAGGGTGCGACAGCAATGCACACTTGGCCGTGAAACAGTTCTTTTCTAACCACAGAGTTTACAGTACAATTGAAATACAATAACGAGACTGGCTCAATCACTATACGACAGCTAGGTCCCAATGACTCATTTGTGCGGATTGACGGGGCTGCTGAAGAAGCTGTCGGGAAAGACAATGAATTTGAACTCCGAAGCGGCGACGGTTTTTTCTTAGTGTGTTTACTTTGCCCAGTTCGTCGGATGCGTTTAGCTGTGGTACTCAGACTCATTAAACGATGCATGACAGCTACAAGGGGAGCATTACTACCAGATCGAAGTTAAACTCTTGGACGGGCAACCATCGGCCATCGCTGGAAAGAAGCGGCCACCGGGAACGACGGATGATGATGATGAACGAGTTTCGAAAAGGCGTGTGCACGGACGATCCTCTACAAAAGTACAGGATGTGAAAGCGACACTGCGTAACAGGAGGCGTAGATCCATCGATCAAGATCAGGACGACTATTACGATCCGGATGATCCCGATTTCGTCGTCTCTGATGAGGACGTTGAATATGAAGAAGACGAAGACGAGGACGAAATGGAAGGACCAGACGACCTGCTGGATGATGTGGACTCAAGGCGAGTCTGCAAGTATGGACAATCATGCTACCGCAAGAATCCTATGCATTTTGCAGAGTTTGCACATCCTTGGCTCGATAAAGACTCCTCCCAGTTGAATGCCAAGCTAACGAAAAGCGGTACCTCAACAGGGGATGTAAAAACTCGGCGATCGAGCAGATCGTCTGCAACACGCAAGGTTAGTTACCGTGACGAAGAAGATGATGGTGGGGTGAACGAGAAGGACGTATCGTCGAATATACCAAACCCTATCAAGATCTCCAGCCCCGTAACAAACCTACCTCCGGTTTTGAGTCGTTCCTCTGTCGAGGATAAGGACACTGAGGCTGACCAAGGCGATGCCGACCAGAAGATACCGATCAACACCAATGATTCTGGTGAGACCTGTCAAAGTCTTGGGGATGTACGGCAGAGTAGACTACCAGATAACAAACGAGTCGATGATTCCAACCACACAGATCATGGTGTTGGTGGGTAATGGAAATCTTTCAAATACATGCTGCCTTTTGACGAGGTTTGCTAGATAGAATTGCCGTTGCATCAATTTCAACAACCGAAGGCCAATTTGACGTAGATAAAGCAGCAGAGTGTGCATCGAAAATCATTCGCGAGTTTCTTAGCCTCCCCACATGGCTCAATGTTGAATGCGTCCTTGTTGACGCTAACGAGGCCATTTTGAATCAATTTCATCAGGTAACAAGGTTGACATTCCTCCCATTCATTTAGATTTCAGCAATGTGCGACATGAAATCTTACCGCCACTCAACTCAATTGTCTGTCATAGCGGTTGGCAGACCTACCGCGTTTTCGAGTCATTCAAGGCGACATATCTAGAATGCACACATCACAAGGACTGGCATGTCGGGCAATTGTTGTAGAAACATCATGGAGGTGGAAACCGTGTATGTAGCGAAACCCTGCAGTATCACTTAAAGGATCAAACTTCTCATCAATTTATGCAGCGGCAACCGCAAGCTGTAAGGCGGTGCATGAACGCGCGGGCGTGGAGCTAATGCAGTCAGCTAAACAGCTCTATCCGAAACCAGCTGAGGTTTGAACGGCTTGCTTCATGCACATTAGCTTGCAATTTAACGTACGTTGGTGATTGACGTGCAGATTGGCAAAGCGTATCCCGTACCTGTAGAAAGTACATCGCCTCTGTTCATGGACGAGCATGTTGAACAGGTTATCTTCTCTGTCTCCAAAGTACCGAGCCTGTGCTGATAGTCGTACAGGTCATTCATGTGGTTGGACCAAATTTAAACCCAAAGAGACCTGATTGTCTTAGTAATGACGATGATGCTGTTGCAAAGCTTGAGACGGTGTACAAGGCAATCTTCAACTCCTTCGCTGATCTGAGGGGATTGACCACATCGGATCGTACCACCGACACAAAGAACGCATGTAAGTGCACAGTTGTGCGTTGAGATGATTGATCTTAATGGATCATTGTTGAGACTTTTATACAGTCAGTGTTTTAATGTCACAGCCGAGAACTCCCGTATCTCTCGGTGACGAAGCAGATGTGGCCGATATGCCCAAATCTGGAGGAAGATGGAATGACGCTCTTAGACCGTACTGCCTGCATCCCGAACAGCACCCCCAGGATGTGTTATCCTACGATGATCATTTAGTTGTCATCCGGGACAAGTATCCCAAGGTGCAGACAACCGCTGTGATCTCATCTTCAGCTCGACTTCCGAGATTTTCATACTGGTTGATAGGCAAAAAAGCATCTCTTAATTCTTCCGAGGCAACCCCGTGACGGGCTTGCGGTCTTATCGAGAGAAGATTTACCTCTTTTGGATAGCATGAAACGAAAGGCGGATGAGGTCGTGAACGAGATGCGTAAGAAAGATGCTTCGCTAGAATTTCGCATCGGGTTTCACGCCATTCCTAGTATGAGGTGTGTGGTCCAGATACCGGGATGCAAAAGGAAGCCTTTCACATATCTAGCTTTGATCAAATGTAACAGGCAGCTCCACATGCATGTTATCAGCCAAGATTTCGACTCGGCGGCGCTGAAGAACAAGAAGCACTGGAACTCATTTACCTCACAGTTTTTTCTTGACTTCGATACGGTTCGATCTATGCTAGACGCAAAGGGCCAAGTGCGGGTGAGGGTTACGTCATATGTTAGAGCGGGTCGGCAGCTGCACTGGGCCCTTATAACTGACGTTTTATTCAAGTACAATGAAGCGACTTACGAGGCAATGTTGAAAGGCCCGTTGCTGTGCCATCGATGCAAAACCGAATGCCGCAACATTCCAAGCCTCAAAAAACATATAGCAGAGTGTGGGATAAAACAATAATTGTCCTGCGGCACTTTAGTGATCAATTTGTAAAGCTTGCTGCAGTGTGTATCCGGTTATATTGGAGTCTCTCATGAATTGAATGAAACCATGAAAATACAGCTTTATCGGTTCATGCTACTGAAGCTATATGACAACCCACTGTTTTGCCTGTAGGCCAATACACCACAACTAGACTGCCCCTATCTAAGGCAGGATCTCCTTTGGAAGCAACTATCGATTTCCCCCTTTCTAAATGTATTACCAAATTGGAGTGTGCGGTCCACCGACTAGTGTAACTTGACAGTGATACCCCACAGCGGTTGACCTTTAGATCGAAGCTCCGAGATGGGACTCCTACGTTCGGCTGTGGGTGTATTTCTTCCATCCGTAAGAATCGATCCTGTCACTGATCGCGGTCGTTGAGGCGATGCAATTGGCAAAACATACGCATCAAAAACTGATATTGTTCGACGACGAGCGGCATAAGTATTCTGTGTCATCGGTTCTTGGGAAGGTCGTCCGACGTTCGCTTGCAAACGTCGGGTGAAGGCGGATCTTGCTCTCAAGGATGATGGCGCTCGAGGTGGAGTGAAAGTTACGCCAGTTCTATCTAGCGAATATCGACTATTGGCGAAAGAGAGCGAAAAAGGCGCACCATCTGAACCATCTTCTTGTTTCACGAAGGCTGGTTTTTGATAATGACCGTCCTTAAATGCTCGTAATCGAGCTCGTAGCAATTTTAATTCTGCTCGTGACCACCAAGAGTTCACCTTCGGAGAGTTTGATCTAGACATATCAATGTCCGAGAGGGACTCTCGTAACACCACAGCTGGTTTAACAAGTAAACTTCGTCGGCGAGGAGGTCGTTGTATGATATCGTCATCACGATTATCCTCGACATTCGCCGCCTGCGAGCGGGTCGCGACCGAGGATGCTACTATCTCACTGGCGTCCCCATATGCTGGCATTGTCGGTGGTAAGCGAATGATTTCTTCTGGTCTCAGAATGGCGCGCTCAACCACTTCTCGTCGAATAAACAAATACTTTTCCTCGAAAGCTGACAGAATATGATCACATTCCAGGAGCTGCTCTTCGCGAGCTGGAGTATTTGAGGGACCACCTCTTCTTCTCCGGGTAGATCTCGGCCGGAAGGCTCCGCTAAAGCTATCTACCGACATACGCCGTCGAGCGCTACTAGGAGAACTGAACAGACTAGTTCGCCTTGACCGTTCCTGTTTTTGATTACCTGTTCCAAACTGGCTGTCCACCCCAAAGACATTTGATGTGCGGCGTCCTTGTGTAATCATTGTGATTTCAGTTGGATTGATAGAAGGTCGCCTAGAGACTGTAGGGTTACTAGCTACGAATCCGCGGAACGCATGCGGTGAGGCCGACAGGCGGCGTTCTGCAACTGATTGAGGTTCGGCGACAGTCGAAGATCCTGCTGCTTGGTGGGTAGACTTGGGATGCGCCAGTTGTACAGAAGATGGTCTCGCTGGAACTTTGCCAGTTGTACCCTCGGACTCTGCACTGCGATATGCACTCTTCGGCTGAACAGTCACGGCTTCTTTCTTCGGGGCACCACCTGTAAAACGCATGGGAGCCAACTTCGCAACGCGCTTTACTCTGCGCCTTTTCGCTTCCCGAACAATCTTGATCGGCTCAGATTGAACATCATTGGGAGTGTCTTGCTTTGGCGATGGCGGCTTGTTGGGTTTTCTATATTGTACCCGGGAAAAATTGGCATACAATATTCGAGTGTGAGGTAGGCTCGGGTTTTGCTTTTGCGCTTCTTGTAAAGCCTGCCTTCGTAGATGTGCCTCCAATAGATTAGGCAGACGGAATGGAAACTCTTCCTTTTGTGGAGTACGCTCAGTGTCATTCATCGCTTCCTCACTCAGTTGGCCTAAATCATGGCCTTGGTTGGCCGCTAGCTCCGATCCAGGTGAACTGGATCTGCCTTCATGCAGGACAACAGGACGTCTTTCGCTGTCATCATGTTGACCTTCTACCTCTTGAGTAGGTTCCAAGTAACTTTGACTGTTTTTGAAAGATGTGAGATCGGTTTCCAGGAGTGGTTTACAGGTCTCAGCAATGATCGGTTCAATGGGTTCCGTGAGCGGATCTACAGCGCTGAGACGTAACGTAGCCTCTGGTGGCTGACGACTGCCGACCACCAGAGAGTACGGGAAAGGATAGGCGCGACCGCTCATCTATTGGGCATGGGGGATCATTTCAAGCTTGACTTTGACACATACAAGTTATTCAGTTATTGTTTGGATTCTGAGATCGGAATTGCTGACATAATCCATAGTGATCTGCGCCACTTGGAAATCGACAGCATTTTCCACTGCGCAAGTCCTGCCAGCTCGCTTTGACCTTTGCATTCTGACAATTTCATCCCCATAAGGATCCAGCGTTGCTCAAGACTGTTTTGATAACAAGGTGAAAACTGAAAGTGAACGAGGCCAGTCCAGTACTTGTTGGAGGAGGTTTACAGTGTACAGGGTCGGAGGAACGAGCTGGCATCACAGAATGTGCTTTCTTGTCAATCCATAGTCCAAGGCCAAAATTCGGCCAGTAAGAATGATCTAGCAACAAGACGTAAAAAAAGGACGGAAACGCTTTCAACTGCAAAAACCCGTGGCGGGTGGCTGGCGTATCCATTAGATATCCTCATGACGTGTCCGATCATGTCGTGGGTGTTGTAAATTGCCCATGATCCCTCCCCTTGTTTGCTTCACCTTTCCATCGCCGCTCATCGACATCATATTCAACCGTTTGGACAAAGTTCCTACTTGTGACTGACCGACAAACTTCCTACTCGTGACTGACCGCAAAGAGCACCACAAAAGAATGCGTCTAGCCGCACTATTTACCCTGGCGACTGCGACGCTTGCCTCGGCGGCGTCCATGCCTGGCACTTGGAAGAAGCTGGTTCATAACCAGTTTGCTTCTAACGCTCAGTTGACAGTTCCTGCAGCTAGCACAAAAACTCTGTCCGATGACAAAGTCCAAGCTTGGAATGTGCATACTCTTGCAGAGTTCCCAAACTACCGCCTTCGCGTGAAGGAGGAAACTAAGCTATGTGATCCCAATGTAAAGCAGGTATGTTATCTCCAGGTGCAACGCCTTTACCTCTCGTATTGGCTTGACTAATTGAAAAACCTTATGTTTCTAGTATGTTGGTTATGTTGATGTAACCGGAAAGAGCGACGATAAGCATGTACGTTGGAATACTCATAGATGACTTGCTGACAATTTGACGAACTGCTTGGTTTGTTTCTAGTTCTTCTTTTGGTTCTTTGAATCCCGTCGCAACCCAGAAAAGGACCCGCTTGTCCTATGGCTGAACGGCGGTCCTGGCTGCTCATCGCTCACTGGGCTGCTCATGGAGCTTGGTCCATGCCGTGTCAATCCTGGAGGCAACGGCACGACTCTAAACCCTGATTCATGGAACAATGAAGCCAATCTTGTCTTTTTGGACCAACCGATAAACGTGGGGTTCAGTTATACCGATGGGGAGCAAGTCAGCAACACTGTAGATGCTGCCGAGGATGTTTATGCGTTTCTGCAGCTCTTCTTGACCACATACAAGCAATACGCTAACCTGGACTTCCATGTGACCGGAGAGTCGTATGCTGGTCACTATGTTCCCGCCATTGGACACAAAATTGCCGAGGAAAACGATGCTCTCAAGCGCAATCGCCTGCTCAAAAATAGTGAGAAAGTGGAAGTGAACTTGAAGGGACTGGCTATTGGAAATGGATTGACAGATGTAGGTTGCGTTCATCAGTTTACTTCCACCGGAAAAGGCTTGATTGCTTTGAGACGTCTAACCTTCTGGCTAAATTATCTACCAGCCATTGGTTCAGTACGAGTATTACGCTGATATGGCTGCCGACGAAAAATGTAAGTAGTATGTTACGACCTGGTAGTATGTTTTCGTAGGGTGGAAATGAACCCTGCACATCGTCTCATCGTTCGACAGATGGCCCCATCTTGGATGACAGGGATATCGAGGAGATGCGAAGCAAGTACCCTACCTGTAAACGCCTTATTGAATCCTGCTACAAGTGGAACACAGCTTTCACTTGCGTGTATGTATTGATGGCGCTGTCTATTCAATCATGGATTATAAAGTAATTTTACCCTTACAGTCCCGGTGCCATTTACTGTAATAATGCCATGATTCAGCCTTTCCAGAAGACTGGGCTGAATATTTACGACATTCGCAAGAAGTGCGACCCATCCAATCCTCTGTGTTACTCGATTCTGACGGATATTGAAACTTATCTCAATCGTCCTGATGTCCAAGATGCTTTGGGCGTGGATCGCCAGTATGAAGGTTGCAAGCAGGATATCAACATGAAGTTCATGATGGCAGGCGACTGGATGCGTCCTTTCGTGCGGGACTTGCCGCCTTTGCTCGCGAAGGGCATTCGTGTCCTCATCTACGCTGGTGACAGTGACTTCATCTGCAATTGGATCGGGAACAAGGCGTGGTCTATTGAGTTGGAATGGGACGGATCGGCAGGTTTCCAAAAGGCAAAGGATTTGCCGTGGATCGCCAAGTCCACTGGCAAACAAGCCGGTGAGTTTAGGACTTACGGCGCTTTGACATTCTTGAGGATCTATGAAGCCGGGCACATGGTAAGTCAAGATGATGGATATTTGTTTAGATGAGGGAATAATAGTTAAACCATGTTTATAGGTGCCGTATGATCAACCCGAGGTATCATCGGAAATGATTAACATGTGGATTGACAATCGCAAGCATTGATTTAATTGGTCTCATAAATAAATGACCCACCATCAGGTGGTCCTGTACCCCTGTGGATTGCGTGATGCAGGCGTCTTTGTATTTATCAATGCTGTCCTCATTTCCAATACCGCCATTGTGCATGGTATTGTGCATGGTAAAATCAAGTAGATACATTATCCCCACTTAATCTCGGTGTAGTGCCTCAGCGGCACTAGCCACCTTTCGTGGTGATATGTGCAGATTGCTGTCGGAAAGTCTTCTTTCCGTTGCAGTGTTCTTTGTCAGTTGAGACAGCATGAGGTCCCTTCGGATGTAATTTAATAACATGCAATAAAATCATGCACCTCCTAATATAGTGTACCTGTATTGCGATGCAAATGGAGGCAAATGGGGGAATGGCTTTTCTTCCTGGCAGGCGGGAGTCGCGACTCCTGCCGTCCCTGATACTCCAAGGGATGTTGTTTGGTCTCTGGTGTGGTTGTGGTCTTTTGCTGATCGGCGACTCCGCTGTGCATGTCGCATGTTTTCAACAAACATCCGCTCCACTTGAGGTATATCCTTCTCATTCAAGCATGCTGTAAGACGACGGTTGTAAGACACCCTTCAAACATGGTGGTAGATGTGGAAGGAATCGAGCTTACTTAGTGTTGGACTTGCCAAGATTAATCGCTGTCGAAGTTTCACTGGAGGTCCGGCATTAGCAACTGGGTTTCCCAACACGTTCACATTCGAAAGATACGAGCAGGCGCTAAGCAAAGATTCCAATGGCTACAGCGCAAAAGGATGCCTCAGTCAGAAAACACAGCTCCAAATAGATGCGGCGGCTTTTACCTCCACATCTTGAATGCTATTTACTGCCAAATCCAGGGACTCTAAGCTTTTCAATTTCTCGAGCGGTGAGATGTCTTTGATATGGTTGTTGGTGAGTGTGAGGTATCTCAGGGACGACTACAATTTTCGAATTCTCATTATTATCGTACTGTTTATTCGTCTTGCCTTCTTCGCAACTTACTGCCAGCGCCAGCAAGCATTCGCCGTCAAATTCAAGTTGCTCGCCAGGATCCAACCGCTGATTGTCTAACTTGAGGTGCTCCAAGGAGGGAAGAAGGTGCAGGCCTGTAATACGACGAATGCGATTGTTGTGGAGATGTCTATACTTGACCAATGAGTAGGAAATTGAGAAATCGCACTGCCTTCGCGCGACTCGCGATGACAGACATACAGAACGTTTAACCGGTCTAGCCCGACATCCAAGCCTGTTATTTCCTCAATGGCATTGTTCTGTAGATAGAGTCGCGTAAGGTTCCGACAGCATTCAAGGCCTGTAATGTAGGTGATCTTGTTATCGTACAGGTATAGGACTATTAGGTTTAGATCGGTGAGCAATGAGCTTTTTACTTCACAGACATCTTTGTTACGCACCATTCAGATTCTTGCAAAAATTCAGATTTTCCTGTTGGTGATGGTGAATGCACATATTTTATTAAAATGGACGTGCATTCCAAACGGGCGACCATACCATCAACACGATGGCCTTCCCGACGAGCGAAACATGGGTGATTCGCTTCAGGAAAGTCTCCAGAGTTTCGTTTTTATTCCGCTTTTGAGTGGATCCAATTTCGAGAGTGTCTGGAGTTATTCGCATCGTTCTTATGGACTATTACCGGGTAATCACACTGGACTGATCGCTCCAAGCCAGAGATCGCCACGAGCGCGTAATCGCTTACTCAAGGCGTGTTTGTCAAATCGAGACTTGGGCAGACTGCTGAAGAAGCAAAACCTCTGCACGTTTTCGCACATGTTCACAGGAGAACTGGTTTTGAGCGAGAACGTTCAAGGTAAGTACTTGTGGATGAAGACTGTTTGCAACGTATTCATGTTCACGCATATCGATGTTTGAATTTCACCCTAAATAAACAAATATTTACGTTCCAAGATAACCAATGATGGCATATCTGTCTTGATGGGCTATTCAATGCCACTATCTACTATAAACTCATCTGTGGCCATCCTTTATGCCAGATCTGCCAGAGATCAACCAGCAATGGCTTTTGTCACGTGTTTATGTGATCACCGCTTACGCCGGCTTTGCCAACTCTTGCCGACCACTATCTGTGATCTGCTCTGGGGTGTGGAGCCATGGCATCTTCCAAACGCCTAGATGGAACGACGTCCAAGAATACGGCAACCTGGGAGGACGTGCCCGTCAAAGCTGCGCACCCACATTCTGGAGCTCCTACACGTCTCGCCTCACTAGGGACACTTTTGAGAAATGTGCTTTTCGATCGCAGGTACTATTGGGTGATGGCAGTCAGCGTCCTCGCCTTCGAGTGCCTCGCGACTGGAATAATAATCAAGAAAGTTCCATGTATGTTGTGCTGTTTCCTGTTTAGTGGAACAATAGGTTTACGTGATCCGCGAGTAGATACAGAGATCGACTGGAAAGCCTATATGCAAGAAGTGGAAGGGTATCTTGCTGGCGAACGGGATTACACCAAGCTTAAGGGCGACACTGGGCCATTGGTGTAGGTTCCACACAAACCTGGGAGATTATTTAATCATCCTTTGATTTCAGCTTTATCTTTTCACTCCACAGCTATCCAGCCGGTTTTGTTTATGTGTATTCTGGGCTATACCATTTGACTTCCCAGGGATTCGACATACGTTTGGCTCAGTACTACTTTGCAGGGCTCTACTTGTTGACCCTTACAGCTGTCCTAGTGCTTTACCGCCAGTCCACTCTGGTCAGCAGTCTACAAGCCTTTTCGTTTGGTGAACTGTGTGTAATCCGTGATGTTCCACATTTTTTAGATGCCTCCATATATTCTACCGCTATTGGCGTTTTCAAAGCGACTTCATTCAATATATGTTCTCCGGCTTTTCAACGATCCCGTCGCCATGTTCCCTCTCTATCTTTGTATGCTGGCCATGGTGAAAAGCAGGTGGCAGTTGGCCGCTGTGCTCTACAGGTACTTCCACGTGTGACCCTTAATATTCTAATGTGCCTAACGCTAAATTCGCAACCAGTCTCGCCTTATCTATTAAAATGAACATCCTTCTTTTTGCGCCTGGTTTTGCTTTGTTGACCTTTCAAGCTGTTGGTTTTCAACAGTCGGTGGTAAATGCATTCCTTGCTCTCCTTGTGCAAGTACGTGGTTTTATCGACGAAAAACGCTCCAGGGATTGTTCGGTACTAACCCACCTTCTCAGGTAATATTGGCTGTGCCTTTCCTGATCCATCACCCTTCATCATACCTTATTCGTGCCTTCGATTTTGGTCGAGTCTTCCTGTACAACTGGACCGTAAACTGGCGCTTCATGGACGAATCAGCATTTCTGAGCAAGAGCTTCGCGAATGGGTTGCTCGCCGCACATGTTTTGTGGCTTGCGCTCTTCATTGTCAAATGGTGTAAACCATATGGAGGACTTCTGAACGTGTTGCGGAGCGGATTCAATCGCCCCGGCCGCGTTCACGAGAAGATGTCGGCTGATCGTATGCCTTTCCGTTTGTGTGCTTATGGTTCTGCTTGCTGTGACGAACTTCTCTATGTTTCTATCGTAGATATCATGTTCATCATGTTCACCTCCAACCTGATAGGGGTTACATGCGCACGATCGCTGCATTACCAATTTTGGTCTTGGTATGCCCATGGTTTGCCGTATCTCGTCTGGCGAGTGAGGGGCCGTGCATCACTAGGGGTTAACGGGCTGCCAGCTATCCTGGGGCGGTAAGGCTATTGGACTCTCACAAAATTATCTGTTTCGAAATTATACTGATCAGAACTTATATTTAAGTGTATTGATTTTAGCGACTTTAGAGTACGCTTGGAATAAGTACCCATCTACTAGTCTGTCATCAGGATTGATGTTGGGATGCCACCTAGCATTGCTGGTGGGTCTAGCTCTCACTGCCAGTAATGGCTTCCCACAGATACGTGCAGGCCAGAACGCATTAAAGGATGAAGATGATAATATCTTAAAAGAAAAGTCTCTCTAAAGTAGCCGTGACTCTGTGTGTATCCGCCTATACATGAGTGATATCCAGAATTCAGGTCATATTCTAGCCATCGGCGGACCGAATTTTCCTTTTGCGTCAAGTGCTTTGATTATCTCCTCAGCTTCTGCTTGACCTGGGGCATCCACTTGGAATTCAGGCTTGGCATCGTAAGCCAACACCGCTACTTGAATCATTATATCGGCTGTCAATCCAAAACTTTGAAAAGTCCATGTCAGACGCCTAACATGCTACCAACAACTGTGGGAAAGCAACGCACATCTTGTACTCATCGCCGACGGAGTCTGTCCACCAGAAAGCGTGTTTTCGCCATATTCCACCCTATAATTAAATTGAGTTGGGATGAGACCCGTAACCGCTACTGCGCCGCAAAATCTGGAACATGCCTCCCAGGGAACATCAAGATATCGGTGCGCCTGATCTTTCAAAAATCGTCGCAGTGGTACTTTGAAACATGCAGCCACTTCTTCAGGATTTGGACGGGGGACAAAATCAGACGGTACCATCCCTGCGCAAGTTAAAATATGTGCACATCGAAACCATCAATGTTTGGCCGTCTTTCTCGGCCCGTACAGGTAGCGATTCTCACCTACAACCGGCGTGACCAGTAAATGGAATCGCGAGAGGAAAGGCGGGAGCACTGTGACGCACTACGCACAACAACGTCAGGCCTCCAAAATAATCGCTGAAACATCCACCGCCACTTGCTGCGATAATGCGGCTGTCAAGGACGAGTCGCGACTGCCCATGACGTACCTGGACACTGTCCTGTGAAAGACCAATTTCTTCTTCGGCTTCGCGTAAGGCAGTGGCGAGCAAATCTACGTCATCCGTCTCATGTCTACCTGTACGGCCAAGTAAGCCCGGGTTCGTATCGCCGCTCACTTGGACAACTAAGGCACCCCTCACCACCAGGCAGCGCAACTTCACCCCCGTGCTTTCTCAAATTTTTGGACCTCAAAGTCAGAAGCACTTGGATTTCGTCGCTGCTTGGCTCTATTATGAGAGGAACCAGAACCGCTGCCCTCCTTTCCCTTTTGAGACACCTGTGTCAAACCACCGTATCCATAACATCTTTCATAGATGATAACTTACCGTCCAAAGTTGTCTGGGGGAGGCGTATACCTCCTTAGGTTCTCTATTGGCGGAGGTGGCATGGCGAGGGATTGGATACAGATGGGTGGAGATTCCCAAAGATCTCGACAATCAAGTGGAAGACGGTCGTTGTTCCTCACGTCATCCGACCACCACGTGATGTCGCTTGCATAATCGATCACTGAGGTGAATTATCGAATAAGCATAGCGAAACCATCCCATTGCATATCACCCCAATATTCGCAAAAGGTCCTTGTCAAGCCCACAGGGACGGCCATCCGGTAAGGAGGGGACTGTTCAAGCGATGCAGATCTGGCAGTTCTACCAATGAACCCGATGATGTGCCGGCGAGGCTTTGTCGCACTTGGTTTCAGGGACATTAAGTCCTTAGCCTTTCTTTCCCCTTCAACCGCAGACAACCACCAGCAGCTAACGTCTGATCCCCAGCTTATATGCATATTTTAACAGACAACGAATGTACGAAAATATCTACAAAATGCACGCTACATATGATGTGATCCCTCAGAATAGATCACCTGGTCCACCCATCGCTATCTCAAAAGATTCCGAGTTCCAATGAGTTGTGTTCTGGAGAAGTCAGAACAAGGAGATATTAGCCCTGATTCGCAAAAGCACAACCAAAACTACGATCATCAAGCGCACGCACCATATTCTCATCGTACTCAAACTGTAAAACTTCAGTATAGTCATCCTCGGCGATGTCGATTGCGCAGATGTCTTCTAGAATTTCATGGAAATCGTCTTCGCTTTTAATGTCCTTGTCCTCTTGTTCGACTTCCATCTCAGCTTGCAATAATATTTCGCGATCTCTTGCTGGTAGAGAATCCAAGTATCGTATCCTTTGAACAATCGCCATCTGCTCTCTTCGTATTTGCTTATCCAACTCGTGAAATGCTTCCTTTTTCAATCTCTGTAATCTTTGTCTTTCGCTGGAGCTGGCGCACGTTTTTCTTCTTTTGAAGGGGACATCATGAAGGGGCTGTCGACGAAGTCCGTAACCGGTTTTACCTACACAAGACTGTGGCAAACAGAGATCGTTCCTAGCGGTGAGCTTTGCACCACAAGGTCCCTCTGGTTACAGCCAAACAAGGACCCAATGAGGTCCACATACCATTTTTTCCTTTTTCTCCCAGTGCTTCCGTGCAAGTCGACTAATTGACGTTTTCTTCCTACCGTCACGCAACTTTTGTTCTGCGGTTGAATATCGTCTGAACTTTGTAAAAGCAGTCGAGCGCCGTTGTGATTTCGAGGGCGACGTAGGCTGCCGACTGGCTGTACATGATATTATCGTGGGTAGGTTGTGCATGTTTTACAAGTGTGTGTGAAAGTGAACCGGTGACGTGTGGGTATCTTGTCGCCAGAGCAAGGGAGAAAATAGGGGAGACCGGACAAGAAAGGGATACAATGAACCAGGGAAGAGTTGCCAAAGTCTTGAGGGCCTGTGCAGGAAACAACGTCCTCGATGAAGTCAACCCAGAGTAAGACCGTTGGGAAAGCCACTGGGTGACCAAAGTTGGTGCAAAAAGTGTCTGAGATGGTGGGAAGGCAAGTGGACGAGTTCAGCTGTTGTCATGTCAACAAAAACAAAAATTCCCGATAGGTTGGAGCCACATTTATTCGGGCAACTTAACTGCAAGCTGCGCTGCAGGTTGAAAGCAGATCGTGTTGGGCAAATGCGTTGTCGCAAGGGCCATGTTGGCAGGTGGCTCCTCTCTGTCTACGTGGAGGCACAAGGCTATACTGGGAGTTCTGGGGGAAGTTTATCGCACATTTTTCAGTCAGCAAGATGTTACTCTCGTCCACGCAACGAATCATCCCCATATGTGAAGATTATAAAAGATACTGGCGGTAGACTTGCTGCTAGACGCTGGCAAGCACGCAACAGTGATGGCAGCATCGTTTCGTCAGTTTCTGTAGAGCCGGCTCAGAGTCGCATAGCTCCGAAATTGCGACCTCCGACAATTCGACCACAGGACGAATTCGAGCAACTTGAACCGGGGGTGACGAGCACCGGTGATTCATGGTTGCAGGATCTTAGTCTGCCTTCACCTCCTCCTCTAACTCCTGAAAACTTTGCCAAGCACGTAAAATTTGCGGCGACGTTGGAAGCTGATCCAAAGTCAGCTGCGACAGCCATACTCGCCGACTACGTTCGAAACAAAGACAACATTCTGCAGTATCTTACATCGGACATAACCTATCTCATCTTTGAGGAACTGGTTTCTCGCGGCGAAACACGCCAGCTTCGTTTGGTAGACTGGCATCGCTTGCTTCAACGATTGGTGGGATCGCGTCCATTCGATATGCCCTCAGATCCTCAGGACTCAAAACGTGCGACAGCGGTTTTGCGAGAGATCAAGCGTTGTGGAATTAATCCTGATGCGTTTGTTTACGCCTGCCTCTATCGTGCTATGAAGGACGACGTCCGTAAAGTTCATGCAGTCCATGACTTTGTAATGAACAGCATTCGAAGCAATTCTCTACCCCAGAGTTGCACTTTGGCAACCGATAGATCCTTTCGGACATTGTTAGCTGTGTATCTACGTCGTCCAAAATACCCCCTCTATATTCATCGTGCAAGAAACCTGTGGAACGACATGAAGGACGCTGGAATAACGCCTTCTTTCAACATATGTCTCGCGTTTCTTGAGGCGTACCGATTACATGACAGCAAGGTCGATGTCGATTCTAAAGGGGTTATAAAAGTCCACCGGCTTTTGTCCACGTTGAAGAAGGAAAAAAGAATGGAGCAAATAGCTACTGATGCTCTAATGATCGCCCATGATGCCTGTGGACATCGAGAAGCTGTAAAAAGGCTGTTCGACGAAATGTCATGGCAAGGATTTGAGCCAGGATTGTGCGTAGGCTGACTTGCGTTTTGTAACCGTTTCAAGTATTATGACTAACCACGTATGCTATTGTAACTGTAGCACTGCGTACAAGCTTTACTTACGTGCAGTACAAGATCATCTGCCAACGAATGGGGTGCAGTCGCTTCCAATTCGGACGTACGAAAAGATGAAAAAGAATAATATGGCCCTGGACGACGAATGTTTCAGAATTATTTCATTAGCGTATGCGGGAGCCGGCGATAGAGCCGGTGTCGCTAATATGCATAGCGCGCTGAGAACAGACTTAGCAAACGCGGGGAGGGAGCTGACCGTAGTGCCAACTTCTCGTTCGTATGATGCACTTATAGAGGCGTACAGCCGATTGAGGGATTGGGAGAGCGCACTGGGAGCTTTCGTGGAGCTTAAGAAGTTGAACACTTCAAAAAGTGAAAGCGCTGTCAAGGCTGCTCAACCGAAGAATGAGCAAGGGGATGTTGGTGATTCCGTGAAATTTGAGAAGGGTCGGTTCAATTATGAAGGCGTTTCTCGCAAAGTTCTCCGTTATGTTGCGAGTGCTCTAGGAAGTAAGGGTCGTATAGCCGAAGGGAAAGCATTCTTCCTGGAACAAGTGCTTTGTCCTGCGCGCTTGGAGGCGTATTGGGGTAGAAAGCTGGCGGGCGAGCAAAAGCGTCTTCGTTTGCAACGGGAAATGGCCGAGCAAGCTGTAATCACTGCAGAATCAGGCTTGACTCGAGTCAAAGCAAAGGATCTCCAAAACTTGAAGCGACAGCTCAATGCGGCAAAACGGGCGGAGGAAAAAGGCGCTGAAGCTCAGATTGGAATGGATGGGCCGCTCCGTGTGGTCTATGAAGGATTCGTGGATGCGTGGCGGGAAATGGTGGAGGACGGCTACCCAGCCGACGAGCAGGCACACAAGTTGATGGAAATGGAAGAATTTATGAGCGAAATTTACGAAGAAGAGAAGCACCGACTGCAGAAGGTGCTCGGCAAATTGGGGATCATCATAGAAGAGGAGCCTCCGGTTGAGAGTCGAACGCTAGAGGACCTTTGGGAGGAGGAAGAAGAGGAGCTGAGTCCTGACAGGCACCACAGGATGGAAAATGTTCCTGGAGAACAAGTGGGCCAACAAGATGCGGGCATATAAAGTTATAGCAGGATGTATTATGTAGACCTATTGTATTAACGCATTAGCAAGTTCCAAAAACCTTTTATCTAGACTGCATTCACATCTAAATGTATGAGTCGCATAGATTTAGTGCATTTATAATTGCATTTTCCTGCGTTCACGGCCTTGTGCTGATGACGAGCTCCAAAAACATATCGTGGCTCATATTCACTAGCAATGGAATCCCAATAAGTTGAAGAAAACACTTTCGATTCGCACAAATGATCTTACCCCAACCGTCCTAAAATTATATCACAATAGAATTTGCATTGAGTGGCAGTTTGCGCAAGTATTCACCATCACATTAACCTACCCGATCCGTGTCGTGCCTCTGGAAAGCGTCTGACAGGGACTTAACGGTAACGCAACATGAAATGAAAGAGTCAAACGTGATATCTATTGATCCTATAGATAAATTTAATGTTGCGGGAGGTGCGAGGACAAAAGAACTCAACCCACCCCGTCGAGCAAACTTTCGTATCATCAAATCAACGATACGATCCGATACATTGTATCCAAACGCCAAAAGCGCCTGCTTCAGCTCGTTGCGATCAATTTTACCAGACCGATCGGTATCAAATTGCTGGAAGATGCGTTTCCAGTCCTCTGTCGCCCGTAAGAAAGCTCCGGTAAACATCTAGCTCATCGAAGAGATTTCTAGAAAAAATTCATACCAATGTAGCGCCAGAGGCTGGTGAACTCGTCAAAACCGATAGTTCCAGATCCATCACGGTCGAAGAGCGTCATCATCAGTTGAACAGTTTCCAAGGAGAAAGGAGACCAATCTCCTGCTGATCGCAGTTAATCACCCACTTCAACGAGACAAGATAACTCATACAGTCATACCGTTGATCAAAGCCTGTTGCAATTCTTGGGGATTAACGTGGCCGGAGCGGTCTGCATCTACAGCTTTGAACCAGTTCCATAACTGTGGATCGGCACCTGCGTATCGAGCTTCAGCGCGACAGGAAGCGAATCTATAATTGCGCGTGAATGGCAGGCTTACCTGGAGGCGGATTGCCTGGTGCCGCGCCACCGTACGGTGCACCGTATGCAGGAGCTCCACCATAAGGCTGAGTTGGCGCTCCATATCCAGGTTTCTGAGGAGGAGCATTGCCAGACTGAGGAGGCGGCGCTCCGCTGTATGGTCCCTGAGACGGAGTTGAATAAGGCTGTTGACCGTACGGTGCACCTCCGGAAGGTTGGGTCGGGGCTGCAGCCCCATAGGGCGGGTGCTGACCGGGCGCCGCATAACCGGCAGGACCGCCGGCGGGACCACCGTGAGGAGCCCCGTATGGGGCCTGGGTTGTGGGTGGGTATCCTGCGTAACCTGGCTGCGAAGGCGCATTATACTGTCCACCGGCAGGAGGCGGCGCTGTGGCAGGAGGAGTGTAGCCGCCGGGGTATTGTTGGTATGGGTACGACATGATCAGTAGGTGTTTTGCAAATGCCAAGATACACGATGACCAACGCGACAACCTGGACGACTGTCCAAATTCGAAGATTCCGCCAAGCATCCGGATTGATCCCAGCCGCTTTCCAGATGGAATGCACTTTCTGGCACAGTGACTAAAAGAAAACAATTTACGATGCCCACGTCTGGAAAGGAGAGCAGACTTTCAACTGCAGATCTTTTACCATCAGGTTAACGTTAACAGCCATGACAGAAACTGACGGTCGCGCTAAAGCCGGTGGGTTTGATGCCAAAGCCGATGCTACTCTGGTATTCGAGACGACGAACGATGTGAAGGTCGTCAGCACGTTTGATCAAATGGGTTTGAAGGAAGATCTACTTCGGGGGATCTACGCTTACAGTGGGTTATGAGAGTCTTTGAGATCGGAGAAAAGCTCGGGATGTACTCGGTTCTTGACACGCAATTTTTTTGTAGACTTTGAGAAGCCCTCTGCCATCCAGCAGCGTGCAATTTACCCCATTATCAGCGGGCGCGATGTGATCGCCCAGGCGCAATCTGGAACTGGTAAAACGGCAACCTTCTCCATTTCCGTCCTCCAGAACATCGATACGACCACCCGCGAGACGCAAGCCCTTATTCTCTCCCCTACCCGTGAGCTTGCCACTCAAATCCAAAGTGTAATTTTGGCACTGGGTGACTACATGAACGTTCAGTGCCACGCATGTATCGGTGGAACAAGCATAGGCGAGGACATTAGGAAGCTGGATTACGGTCAGCACATTGTTTCGGGAACCCCAGGCCGTGTCTTTGACATGATTCGACGTCGTCATCTTCGCACTAGAAACATCAAGATGCTGGTTCTTGACGAGGCAGATGAGATGTTGAGCAAAGGATTCAAGGAGCAAATTTACGATGTGTATCGATACCTCCCTCCACAAACTCAAGTAGTACTACTCAGTGCTACATTGCCACACGATGTCCTGGAAATGACCACAAAATTCATGCAAGACCCTGTCCGCGTGCTTGTCAAGCGTGATGAGTTGACATTGGAAGGAATCAAGCAGTTTTTTGTAGCCGTTGAGAGGGAAGAATGGAAGTTTGATACGCTTTGCGATCTTTACGATACCTTAACGATTACTCAAGCGGTGATCTTTTGCAATACTCGTCGTAAGGTACGGGACAGCAACAGAAAAGTGTACAGAAGAGAGATCAGCGGTTAACTATCATCTACGCATTACTCTGTTTAGGTTGATTGGTTGACTGAAAAGATGAGGGAAGCCAACTTTACTGTATCTTCGATGCATGGTGAAATGCCTCAAAAGGAACGTGATGCGATTATGCAAGAGTTCCGACAGGGTGCAAGGTAATATCATTATCAGTTACAATCTCATTCACCAGATGCAGATCGCACTTGAATTTGCGACTAACGTCGGTGGTGTGGTCTCTCTATAGTCGGGTGCTGATCACCACCGACGTGTGGGCACGTGGTATCGTAAGTATCTAGTTTTTTGTCGTTGCCTCCGCGCCCCCTCGTACTCAATGTTCATATCTTGGGTTAGGACGTACAACAAGTGTCCCTTGTCATCAACTACGATCTTCCCAACAACCGTGAGCTATATATTCACCGGTATTCTATTTTCTGCCTCTTGCTTATTTTGTGCAAAGCTTTACTTAATGAGCAACATTCTCTAGTATTGGTCGATCTGGACGGTTCGGTCGCAAGGGTGTCGGTGAGTCCAACCGCAGGATCCTTTCCATTTGCTGCCACACGCTAATCAACGATCTTTATAGCAATCAACTTTGTAAAGAATGATGACATCAAAATTCTTCGCGATATCGAGCAGTACTACAGTACGCAAATCGACGAAATGCCAATGAATGGTATGTCTTTCACATTTCTTTGTAAGGCCACCCAGCAGCAGCCCAACTCATTCCCTCTTGTGTATAGTGACGGATTTGATCTAATTTGGTCTCGCAATGTGTTTAATATGATGATGTTTTGTTTTGTCATTCCATCGGCATGTTCTATAAATTTATGGAAAATGTGTTGTCTGTAGGCCATTGCTTTTTGCAGGTTCCAAATATCGTCATTAAACCCGTTTTGGAAGCCTAATCCAGGAGGCTTTGCGGCCAGCGTTACAAAAGTTCGCGCTGAGTTTGTAGACGGAGGCGAAGTGGCCCTGCGCCTCACGGCGATCGGCACGGCCAGGGAGAAAGTCCCTAGCAGGAGAAGAACGAGCTGCATCCCCCCCAGGCAGATTTTGTCTAAAACTTTGGTTGTAATTTGCCGTCTCGCGCTCGGCATCCCGCCGACACTTGAACGCTCCAGCTAGCTCTCTGCCATCTACAGCAGTCAACGCGTTGTCCATCACCATCCGATGGAGGGACACTATCAACCCCTCGTAGAGGGAAGGTACGAGGAACTTTCAATCTGCTCGCTCTCCGGCGCGCGTGTTATTTCTTGCAATACGTTCGCCGCATGTCCGAGTATATTCATACCCGCACTCCTTCGTATATAGGCCATCCATTAGCAGCGGGTTCCGTCCACGAGATTTAGGCGGCCGAGGTTTGACTCGGTCTGGAACCGTCAAGCAGATAGCTCTTACGCGTGCTGGCAACTTTGTCGTCGATCAGTAAGTCGCGTGTGTTTGGCATGTCTTTATGCGGGAACCTGCATATGCTCATAGATTCTCTACAGGCCAGTCTCAAAGCAACTTTTGAAAAATGCCACTCATACAACAGGAGATGAATTCACACACATGCGCTACACAGCGGCTACCTGCGAACCCAACGACTTTGCCCAATCGTATACTTTGCGACAGCGTCAATTCAAACGGCTCACCAAAGTTGCTCTCGTCGTTACCATGTAGGTCCACGCGTTTTCTGATCTCATCTTGTACAAAATTCATCGCTTTTTTTTACAGGTATAATGAGCCTGATGTACTTTTCGCAAAATCCATGTTTGCGGTGATGAGGAATATTGCCTACCTGTGCAGCGACGAGTGCAAATACGGATGGGGCCCAGATGGCTGGAAGAATTTCGTCGTCGTGATAGTGTCGGATGGACGTTCTAAGGTTAACCCAAAGGTTTTGACACGTATGTAGCGTTTTCCCTTGCTGCGCGATATGGCTCGATTCGTTAAGCTGAATCATCTTTTTATCAGTTCTGGGAGTCATGGGCGCCTATGCTGATGGCCTTGCAAAGAGTACCGTCAACGGCAAAGATGTCAAGGCCCATATTTTTGAGTATACCACACAAATCGCCATTGATAAAGAGCTGTATCCCCGTTCAGAAACAAAGGAGCACTTGGTTCCTACACAGTTGATCTTCCTGCTCAAGGAAAAGAATGCCAAAAAGGTACTTGCTTCAGTGTTCAAAGAACATACCCGGTGTTAAGCGCATTATTCCATTCGTCCACAGATCAATTCGCACCGATGGTTTTTCAATGCGATTTGTACGGTTCTTGACCCGGAAGTCACATTCCTATTGGATGTTGGAACCGTGCCTTCTAAAGAATCTTTCTACCACCTCTACAGAGGTAATTATATCACCAGTCAAAGCAGTTTACACCTGTATGTTTATTGCTAAGATCAACGGATCCTATAGCGTTTGAGCGCGATCCTAACGTGGGCGGAGCTTGTGGTGAAATCAAAGCTGAGCTAGGTTCTGGCTGGAGGAACTTATTGAACCCTTTGGTCGCCACGCAAAATTTTGAGGTACGCTTGATCTCGACGGCTGATATTGCTGGACGGAATTTATTAATGTGACGCGCTTGAAAAGTACAAAATGAGCAACATCCTCGATAAGCCCCTGGAAAGCGTGTTCGGATACATATCTGTGCTTCCTGGAGCTTTCAGTGCCTACCGATATAAAGCGTTGCAAGGTGCTCCCCTGGAGCAGTACTTTAGAGGAGAACAGATGCACGGCGGTGCGGATATATTCGCGGTAAGTCATTTGGTAAAGCTTTTAAGCGTGACGATGCTGAAGGAGACGATTATGCTTCACAGGCTAACATGTACTTAGCGGAAGATCGTATTCTTTGCTTCGAACTCGTAACAAAAGCAAGAGATAGCTGGTTGCTCAAGTACTGTAAGGTAAGTCCCGGAAATCATGAGGTCAACCAACATTTTAATCCGTGACTAACGATAGTCACGTGTTGAAGGATGCTCGCGCCGAGACCGATGTACCGGACCAGCTTCCGGAGCTCATCTCACAACGCCGACGTTGGTTAAACGGGTCATTTTTCGCTGGTCTCCACGCCACTTGGAACTGGAGCAAAATATTTGTAAGTATTGTGAACGGTCTTCCTACGTGTCGCTGTATAGTTTATCTCTCGTTCATAGCGGTCTGGACATTCTACCGGACGGAAGGCTGCTCTCCTTGTGGAGTTCTTTTACAACGCCATCAATCTTCTTTTCAATTGGTTCGCCCTTGCTAACTTTTACCTCGCGTTCTACTGTAAGTGAGATTGTACAAAAACATGTCAAACGTGTTAAACTTACCGAGCTGTCCTCGCTACAGTTCTTTTCGATGTCGCGGACGATAGCAGTGACACAGATCCTTTCTACCCACATTCCGAAATCGTCTTCCAGATTGTCCGCGAGCTTTACATTTTTGCTATTGTCTGCATATTTGTCAGTTCTCTTGGTGAGTAAATGGGTGATGGAGAGAATTGAAGAGGCGTGTTAACACTTCATTTGTGAATGATCCTAGGCAATCGACCTCAAGGTTCTAAATGGCTGTATACTTCAATCGTGATCGGATTTACACTCATTATGGGCTTGATGCTCTTCCTGGGCGGGTGGACGGTTTATGTATCTATCAAATTCGCCATCCAAACCATCGACGAGCAGCGAGTTAGCTTCTTCCGGTACTTTCGTGATACGCCTGCATTCCGCGATATTGTGATCTCGCTTGGATCAACATATGGACTTTACATATTTGCGAGTCTTGCCCATTTTGACCCATGGCATGTTGTCACGTGCATGTTCCAATACCTCCTCCTTCTGCCTACCTACATCAATATTTTCATGATTTACGCATGTAAGCGCTTTATTCTCCTTTAACGGATAAGGCGACACACTGACTTTTGAATGGACTCTAGTCTGCAACCTGCATGATGTTTCATGGGGCACGAAGGGAGATAACGCGCCTGATCTCGGCAGCGTCACGGTGAAGACAACCGCTGACGGCAAGCAGATTGTGGAAGTTGAGATGCCGCTCACAGATGACGACCTCGACGAAGCATACGGGGCATTCGCGCGCCAGCTAACTAAGCAACGCGAGGAGTTGCACGCTCCCGCTACGGACAAACCAGCAACCAATCCGCAAACGCAACAAGAGGACGATTTTAAAATCTTCCGGACGCGGGTTGTTTTGTGTTGGATGATGACCAATGCGTTACTCATTATTTTGTTCACGAACAAAACAATTGTGAACAAACTCTTCCCCCACAAATCGGGCACCTCCGTGAACCCATACCTGACATTCCTCTTTTGTAAGTCGCTTGGTTTGTTATCCTTCTTTAAGGATCCGTTATGCTGATTAGACTATCGATTAGGGAGTGTCGCCGTTCTCAGTGCCATCCGGTTTATTTCCAGCATGATTTATCTGATAGGATATTGGAAAACGAGGATTGGGGAGAAGGCAGGTGGGCGCGGTAATGGCATTGCCCCCACGTATTCTGGACCCGACGCAGTATAGACAGCATAGCAATCCGATAGAGAGCAGTTAGCTGTACGCCGTGAAATTGTTGTTATGTGTGTAGCTTTTTTGTAGACGTTTTTGTATTATTGTCCGTCTTGTATTATGCGTATTGTTTACAGATGTATTTTGGGGTATCGTGCAAAGACATGCTCCTAAAGTCTATATGACTTTGCATAAATTAGGGGGAAAAGTAAGGGTGACTCGCTCATCACACTGGTTTGCCCTGAAAGGCATTCACCAGTGCTTGCCGTCGTTTAAATGCCAACACCACCTCCACCGCTGCGTAGACAGGCTGCACCGCCATAGGTGTCGGCCGGTGCAGTCGTATAGCGTTGAAGACAAGGTCTGCCTCCTCGTCCTTTGTCAAAGGTTTGTCCAAAACAGGATCCCCGGCACCAAACCCTGACGGGCTCCCCGTCCCTATTCTTGCCACGCCATTCAACTTCCCCACCGGCGTGCCAGCTCGAGAATCACCCGCTGCACACAAAAAGGTCTCCGCATTGGAAGGGATTTCATATACTCAATAATATCAGAAGTTGAGCACTTACGCTTGAAACCTCTCCCCATGTTCTTTGCTTGATGCTCCTGAAACAGAATATCATACTGTTGTGATCGGCCCTGAACTGCTCGTTTGGCACCAACAGAGTGAATCTTGCATGTTATGGATCGGGTACAGAGTGCACCGGAATCCAGACGAACTCCGCACTGTTTATCCAGGTCAATAGGCCCTGGAAGGTAGAGATCTGGTCAATTCCTTGTCCATCATAGGTAACGTCAATTGCCCGACCTTTGACAGCTCTTGTGGCTTTCGATAACTTTATGGGTTTGTCAATTTTCTCGGATTTGTCGGCTTTGTCAGTTTTCTCAGCTGTCAAAGAGGCAAATACTGAGATGCGCCATCAACGAAAGAGTTATCTAGTGGCGCGGTTCATACCATCGCTCGCACTTGCTGAATTCGTCTCAAGCTTTTTTCGCTTTTTCTGTATTAAGCTGATGGGTTTTGGAGGCTCCATGGATAGTTGGTGCGGTTCAGTTACTGGGGTGCTCGTGCAGATTTCTATCAAATGATGATGGTCTCCGTTATGAAGGATTGTCTATATTCTTTTCTTTTGACAACTTACTCAAATGATCAGCAAAAGCAGTTTGTAGAATGGATTTATTGCAGTTGTTACAGCAGACTACTACTGGGGGCTCGGCTATCGATAAGCCGAATGTATATAGGTCCTGCTCGAGAGCCGGACTTGTCGGACTTGATATGTTTTCGTCAGAATCTGATGAATTGTAATTCAATTAGATGCCTTCAAAACAGAAATCAGACACAACGGCAGTATGTCCGAGTTCCGCTAGACAGAGTCGTTGGCGTGGGTGAAATGTGCTCACCTTCCGGAAGACCAAGGCTATCTCGTAGGGTTGACCAGGTGAGATGTTCCTTCCCTTTGAGAACCGACATATCCACCATACAGATCCAACAACCGGTACACCGTATCAACCCTTTGCAGTCAGACCTCTAGATGGACCATGTTAGCTACGTTCTGCGGCAGGTGGAAATTCTCCATCATTCTTTTCCGCTGTTATTCGTTCATAATGACATGCACACATATCAAAATCTCACAATGCTTCTGCATATACACCTCTTCCTCCTCGTTACTCTGGGACTCTTGACCGCATGGAGCTCAGCTGAGCAGGGAGCGAGCCCGAGCCTCGTTGTGCTTCCGGTACGCATTATACCCCCCTTTTCAAACATGGATCTCCTCCAGCAAAGAGCTTAGACAACAGTACACACACACTTACAAAAGACTCCTTAATATCCTGTCGCTCGACAGCACCGGCGATTTCGTATGGTGAGTTCTGCTCAAAATCTTCAAAGTTTACAGTAGGAATTTGGCGAAGCTTGTTCAACCGGATATACGCAATCCAGACGAATTCCAAAAGGCGAGCTAGAAGAATCTATATTAATGCTGATTGGGCTTGCGTGTGCTAATAGACAATCGCAGGAGAGATCTTGGAATGGAGAGTGTCGTTGGAACACCTTCAGGCTCTTTAGTCATACCCTCTCACGTGCCAAACCCTGAATTACGTAAGTTATTCATGTTTCTACCCGACTTGGAGGTTTTATTTTCTAATAGTAAGTCATTGATATGAACTCCCTGCTCGAAGAGGCCGTCTTGGCCACACGACATGTAAATCATGCCGCAATAGTGAGGATAAAGGATGGAGTGGTCAAGGCACGGTCGCCGCAGTTCGTGGTGGGTAAAATCAAACGCTTGGGACGTTCAAAAACTTTTGATGATATTTACAAGAAATGCAGATGGCCCCGTCAGATTGGACACGAATACAACAAGGTTTTGAAAATCCCCGCGAAGTACGAACTCACGATGCTGGCATCACTCTCATGGATGTGGGATATAGAGCAATCAGGGCAGACAGATTGGCAGTGTATGGGAAAAATGTTAGGCACCAAATGTGCATGGCTTCAAACTACCTCAAAGCTGTCTCCTGACTCTTGATTTCGGAATCATCCAGGGAAAAGCCGGGATTATAATAGCTAAGACGCAGCAATATTATATAATAGGTACATACGATAGCGGGATGTTTGCAAGTATAGCTGCGGAAGCAGTGGAGAAACTCGGTAGGTTTAGCCAGTCTTTAAGTGGAGCGCAGCGACTGCATGAACCAATTATGTGCGTTCTGGCCCTGCTCTATGTTTTGCGGCGCGGTTTACTCCTCCACAACAAAACAGCAGACTATCTGCGCAAGAAGAACAAGTAATGCGATCGTGTCACCTTGGTAGGACGATAGCCACCAAATATATTGTATCAGCCGTTGCGGTATATGTAGCAAAATGCTCGCATGTATGGCTCCAACTCAGTGAGCCTGTGCATTCAAAAATAACACTCAGATCGGGTACTTCCGCGCCTCCTTGTAGTAATTGATGAGGCCGTTGGTACTGGGGTCGTGATTCTGTATTTTAACGTCGCTATCAAGCTCCGGCAGAATAGCGTTAGCGAGCTGCTTTCCAAGCTCGACACCCCACTAAGTGACAACGACAAGAAAAGTATGAGTGGCTGCTGTGGAAGCGAATTGTCCATTCACACTTGCCTGATCAAAGCTGTTGATGTTCCAAACAATTCCTTGAACAAAGATCTTGTGCTCATACATGGCAATCAGCACCCCAAGATTGAATGGGGTAAGCTTGTGGTAAATCATTGAGTTCGTGGGGCGATTGCCACGGAATTGCTTGTGAGCCAGCAGCGTTTTGAATGTTGGAGAATTCTCAGCTGCACCAGCCTTCACAAGCTCCGCCTTCACCTCCTCCTCTGTCTTCCCTTTCGCAAGAGCTTCTGTCTGCGCGAGGAAGTTGGCGAGAAGAATCTTGTGGTGTATGCCGTTGGAGACGGGATTCTGCGGAATGACCGGAGCCAAGAAATCACATGGCACGAGTTTGGTTCCTTGATGTATTAACTGGTAGAATGCATGCTGTCCATTTGTGCCTGGCTCTCCCCAAATGATAGGCCCGGTTTGATAATCGGTAATCGGCTGATTGTCGCGAGTAACTGACTTGCCGTTAGACTCCATGTCACCCTGAATTAAACATGATCAATATGACCTCATGCTTCATTTGGCGCCAGCGTCGTACCTGTTGCATGTACGCCGGGAATCGGTGCATATATTGGTCGTATGGCAAAATAGCATGTGTCTGCGCCCCGAAAAAGTTGTTGTACCAGATACCAATGGCACCCAATATCACCGGGATATTCTGTTCCAATGGGGTATTGCGGAAGTGATTGTCCATGGCATGTCCACCAGAAAGGAGCTCGACAAAGTTGTTAAAGCCAATGTAGATGGCAATAGATAGCCCGATAGCTGACCATAAAGAGTAACGTCCTCCCACCCAGTCCCAGAATTCAAACATGTTCTGAGGATCGATCCCAAAGGCAGTGACTGCCTTCGTGTTGGTAGACAAGGCAACAAAGTGTTTTGCCACGTGAGCAGGCTGGATCGGCGACGATTGTGATTAGTGTCAGGTCATCAACACCCGCGTTGGACAATATTTCAATACCATGTAATACTTACGTCCTTGGCCCTCTCTAAAAACCAGTTTTTCGCCGTTGTTGCATTGGTAATGGTCTCAATGGTGGTAAACGTTTTGGACGCGACAATGAAGAGCGTCGATTCCGGTTTACACCGCTTAAGAGTTTCCGCAATGTGAGTTCCATCGACATTGGACACAAAATGCATGGTCAAAGCTGGGTGTCCGTATGGCTTGAGAGCCTCAGTAACCATATATGGGCCCAGATCCGATCCACCAATTCCAATGTTGACAACATCAGTGATGCGCTCTCCTGTATATCCCTTCCACTCGCCAGACTGGATGGCTTCAGATGTACGTTTCATTTGCTCTAGAACGCGATTCACGTCTGGCATCACGTCCTTGCCGTCAACATAGATTGGCGTGTTAGACCGGTTACGGAGCGCAACATGCAAAACCGCGCGGTCTTCTGTGGTGTTTATCTTTTCTCCGGCAAACATCTTGTCGCGCCATTCCTCAACTTTGGACTCACGAACAAGGTTTATAAGGAGCTTGAGACTTTCTTCTGTGATGATGTTTTTGGAAAAGTCCACAAGCAGTGCCGGGTGGCTGGCATTCGCAGGTGTGAAAGTGGTATGAAACTTGTCGAACCGAGACGGGTCTTGGGCGAACAGTTCACGCAACTTCAATGCGCGACCGTGTGTGTCATAATGCTTTTGCACAGCCTGCCAGGCAGGGGACGACGTGACACTCGAGGGCATGCTTGATATTTGTCTTTATCAACGAAAACGGTCAGTGGGATGGGCAGACGATGGGACAATACACAGCAGATATACAGCACGGCTGGGTCGGCTGAAATCTGAATCACAGTGATCGTGAGTCATCTAATTAGTTTTACGCAATCAAAATGAAACGTGTTGAATGAGTATTCTAAATTACAGTTATTGTATTATCTACATTGGCCAGGATGGATCGTATATTGATCATGAGAAATTCCGACAGTGGTGACACGATGGATGCTTCCTCTGTCCCATCAATTATTGCTTTCAATCGAGGAACAAGATCCGGGCGTTCGCGCAGCGAAGTACGATTTTCCCTGGAAAGCGACAGTTAGCTGACAATGCCAGGTCTTTAACGAAAGCGCTTGCACACATACGAAAGCTTTGAAATTTTCTGAAGGACAACTGAAATGTTCTCTAGCGTTCCAAGATTACTAGAGTCCAACGCCACAATAATAGAGTCGAGGACATCCACTGTGCTACATTGCCCGATGAAGTCTACGAGCCAATCTTTGGATGGGAATGAATACCCGCCCGAAAATACCATCAGTGGAAATTTGGCTCTACTTACCTCCCTCAGCACAGAGCGTAAGAAAGATCGAACTTGCCAAATGTTGGACATTATCATGGCCAACATCGCGGAGGCACATGTGAACGACGTCAACGCCGTTTGCCTTGAGAAAGATGCCTTTCCCCTTTAAAAAATCGTCAGTTATGAGACGTGCATATATGCGTCAAGTTTGAATCAACTTACTTCGTCCGTCGATAACTCCGCCGCGATGTTGTCCAGTATGGCTGTTATCACATCAATTTGTGTGACACCCGACAAAATAATCAAACACAAGACCAGGCGCGTCGTTTGCTCCTGGACCAGTAATGGGGGAGATCTTTTGTGACTTCCATCTGATGGCTGTACATTGATGGAAGTCCCTCTAATATAACCAGTAAATGCCTCATACGCCATAACAGATATTATGTACTTCTAGAAGGTCCAAGCAGAATGTGCAAACTGATTAGCGCCACCATGAACGAAGGCCACTAGCGAAGTATATTACCTGCGCTGCACTGAACCCAACTCGTAACATGCATTCAAGTACGAACTGCAAATAGTACTCTATCCAGCTGGCACGTTCACAGTCCACCACGTTCTTTGGTGAGTCTCGATCCTCCGTTTGAGTCACATGGCAGAATGTAGAGGCTATCGCCTCATGTAATGCACCAATGTTTTCAGAATTCGCATTCGTTCCTTCAGCGGCTTGACGATGATTGCGCGTCCTTGCGCATCGCGTTTGTAACAGGTACGCAAGCATCTTCTGAAGGCCGGAGAGCTGATGGTCAAAAAAAGATATAGATGAACAACAAAAATTTCAGACTTTTAGATAACTGGAGAATCTGACCTTTGACCTGAGATCGTCCCCAGACCTTATAGATTCTTCCACATTGAGGGTTTGTGTCTCCACTGTGCGGGCTATTCAACGACATTAAGGCCTACGCTAGCGGTGGCGAACGGATATAATCTTGCTAAGTCACCCACCATTTCGAGTAGTTTTCCGTCCTTGAGTTAAAATAATCTTCTTCGCTTCCTCTAATTTGCTTGCTTGCTCCTTCTTCACCGAAACGATTGCCGTGGAACTGTTAGCCCTTCCGATGGCTAATGCAGCTTTCAAGCGGAGATTCCTGTCACGAGACTTCAGGTCTCTCAATGGAGCAATTCGGTAACGGAAAGTAATACACTACTGGCTTACATGTTTTAATTGGTTTCGTTGCTCCTCCAACTCCCGCTCCCTTTCCCATGCATCTTCCTGTAACTTGCTGACCTTCGGGAAACGGCTTGCTCAGTAAAACCATAACCACCAGCAAGACCCCACGGGATATTCATCCTAACCTGCTCGCGCATTTGTCTGTTGACAGCAATGAGATCACGAAGTGAGGCTTGTAATCGTTTATTCTCTTTCACCGTCGTAGTAAGTGCGTCATCATACTGTTCCACAATCACCTCCGCATCCTGATGTTGAAATGAGCGTGGGTCACTCGACAAGCACCGGTGTTGAGCATCGCCAGACGGACCTTTTTTAGAACCTCTTCCTTCTTTGCCAGGCGTAGAGTGACGAGTTTTTCCACCTCTTTCAAAATATGTGTTTCTCGGGTCTGAAGATGCCTCTCCTTAGCTGCAAGCTGTTGCTCTTTTAAGTCTGCTGCGCGACGTTTCTTTTTCAATCGGTGAGCGAGCTCGCTCAGTTCGCTATGTATTTTCAAGAGCATTCGCTGATGTGTCTCACGAGTCAGTCCGTCACGTTGCGAGGATCTGACAGGCTATCTTTCATCCAACTTGTCAAGATCCTTCCGTAGCAGTCATCCAAAACTCGGGACTTACACGTCCTCTACCACGACTGTCCTCCAGGCTCATTGAACGTCCAGGTATTGGGTTTTGATGTGGTTCGAACGGTGCAGGCTGGGTGATAACAGACAGTTCAGCACCAAGTATTTAGACCCTGTTAACATGTTCCCGTTGACCTGCCTCAGGTGGTCGTTCAGTTCTGGGTTTCTCCGAAGCCGCAAGATCGGTCAGAGACAGCTCAGGTTCGTCAGCTGAATGCGTCAAAGAATACTGTTGGTTCGTTGAGTTACAAGCGCATGACTCTGAGATATTCTGCACTTCTCTCACCTTATATTTGCGGCCCTTTGCCTCGTGCAAAAGTGAGTGTCCTCTCCTCTCATGCTCGTGAACGGATTTTCGATTATGCGCTATTTTTTCCGCACCAGATTTTATTAGGTGGAGTTGTTCAAAGAGTCTGCCTAACTCGTCATTTCCCAGATCTGGCAAAAGATCATAATGTGAGCCAATTGTGAGGTGAAAGAATACAAACACAATACCTACCTAGGATGTCACCGTTGGGTTCGCCCTCCGGGATTATTTTCGATGCAGACACATCTCGATTGCGTGTATGATGCTGAGCACCCAGCTCTCCCGTATTGAGTAGCCGTTCGGTGGAATCTCTACTGTCCACGACAATTGAGTGGCTCGCAACGGGCTTCTCCTCCACGGCGACAGACTCGTCCGCCTGACGGAACGCATCATTTTTGCCATTTCCAGCATAAGAAAATTGGCAGTTATTGAAAGTATAGACTTTTTCTGGATCCTTTGACTGGACATCTGCCAACGGAAAAGGCCGTTGGGTGTGCTCCGGCTCTATTGCTTTGGCTTCCAGGATAAAAGGGTTTTCTGTCGCTTCCTGACGTGATGCTTGGATATCTTCTCACAAACGTGTGAGGCCTTGCAGATGGCGAACAAACTACGTTGATGAAAATACCTTCATTCTTCTGTGATCTGCTAGCCCATTCTGCAACTTTGTCAGAGATGTAAGTCTGGTTTCTCGAAAAGATATCATCAGTGCCATTTTTGACCCTTCGCTTCAAATATCGCTTTGCGGAGGGGGGTGGGTCAGGTAATGCAGCTACAATGTTCGGTGGAAGTCCACGCCAGTCAAAAGTTATATTGCCCTACATAGCGTGTGTAAGCGGGTATTTCCATGATCACTGGGCTGCATGGATGGATACCTTTACAAACTTTTCTGATCCGCTCAAGGCATCAAGCACAGAGAATTCCGAAGACGATACAGAATTAGCATCGTCGTTGGACATAATAAAATGCAGCCCTTGGGTGTGTGCAGCCGAAATGGAGACGAGATCCTGCAGTTCTGGAAAACGCGTGCCTAACGGATGTCACCATCATTGCAGTCACATTGGGAAGCCACTTGGCGTGACCTAATGCCCCCCCGCGGTTCTCCATTATCCATCTTACAACGAAGAAACAAGCCCGACCTCATCCGGCATTTCCGCACTGCTTTATCCTCACCACACTCAAGGCGCAGCTTGTCGCCCTTGAGGAACAATTATACCCACCCCCCAAGTTTCTACGTAGCTGCGCTGTCCGATAATGCCAACTGTCCCCCAATCGCTCTCACTCCCACAACATGCTGCCATCCTTTCAAGTCTGTCAAGACACGTTCTACGAGTTCTTTTCTGCTTACAACTGCTAGCAATGTTCGCAACCTCTCTGCCGTCTCCAGGATTATTCAATCCGAGGCTTCCAGTGGCGAATGGAATTTTTGCGGAGGGAAAGATTATTGTCTTGCGAAATAACGTCTCATGTCAAGTAAGTATCTTGGGTTCTTCCCCTGATTCAGATCAAATGGTGATAATTGACAATTGCTAACTCATGCATGACCTGCTGTGTAGGATCGATTGGCGGCATTTGGGCCACAGCTACCAGATCCGGGTTTGTTGGGATTTTTGGTGTCCGTTTCCAAGCTTGACACGCACGGAAAGAACACTGGATGCACCCCAGTTTCAGCGACTGGGCTCTCAAACTGGATAGCTCTCGTGCAGCGAGGGCAGTGTGGATTTGTGGATAAAGTTCGCGCCATGCAAGCGAGCGGCGCCAAGTCCGTTATTGTTGGAGATCACACACCTCACTCCGGCCTAATCACCATGTTCGCTACCGGTAACACATCAGATATAACAGTTCCCTCGGTCTTTGTCTCATTGCTTGATTACGAGCAATTGCAACGCGAAGCAAACGCCCAATACGGGTATGGGCCGGGCGTTGAAGTTTTGTTGATACCAAATGATCTTGATGTTCCTTTGCTGGAGATCATTATCGTCACGGTCGTGTCGCCTGCGGCTGTAATGATCTGTATGTACATTATGTGGAGTTATCGACAATATCTGCGACGGCAACAGGAATTGGCACCAATGCGATTGGTTCTGAATCTGCCGACACGGGTGTTCAGCATGGAAGGGGGGAAAGAAAATGAGCCAATACGATGTGCGATATGCCTGGAAGACTTTCAGGAAGGGGAACAAATACGAATACTTATGTGTAAGCACGAATTTCACGTCGACTGTGTTGATAAGTAAGTATCGAAATTTCTAGTTGCCTTCCGGAGCTGTATCATTGATTGCATTGCTGTCAACTTTACAGGTGGCTTACGCAGCGGAAACGAACCTGCCCTATTTGTAAGCAAGATACATGTCCAACGGAAGCGACAGAGTCAACACCCCTCCTTGGCGATAGTGTCGCTGGCTCAAGTGATAACGTGTGACATGTATCAACTAGCTATATATACCAGTCCAATAGGTATGAAAAGCCTCAGTCCTCCATCTTTTGGACATTCAAAGTCGACGAACCGGAGAAGGACTCGGTGACCCCACCGTTTTTTTGTCGTAATTTTCGCTGGAGCATTTGTTGTATATTCACCTCTCCTTTTGCATTACTTGAGTAGCCTCTTTGTATATAATTCTGCTATCCCCTCCCTTTTTCTATATCGTGTATGCTCCTATCTTATTAGAAGTTAATTGAAAATGGCACTAAGACCCATTATTTTCCGGATAATCCGGTTAATCATATCGCATAATCAGAACCCCCCATCGCTGAAAGCAGCCTACTAATGTTCTCCAAACTGCGGTGTGGCATGCTAATGTTTTTTTTAAACTGCGGTGAGGCGCATGCCAAAGGTCTATAAAAGGGGGACCTTCTGTCTCTTTCCCCTTTCCTCTTTACCCATCCTCGACTCGCAAGCATCTGTGCAACTCTTCTCATCACGACTGTCGGTTGAATCATGAGAATACAGATGTGGTGGTGCCGAGGACCTCGCCCTCCCGACAAAAACAACATAACCCCTTGCAAACGCTGCTACTACTATACTGCTACGATCGCAGGTATGCATTATCTTTGTATTTTCCCACGCGGATTATCCAGTCTAATTATTCTGATTTTACTAGTATCAGAACATCCTCCAACTAAAGAATTTCGGAATCAAGGGCTTAGTAGGATTTCTCTCGTCGTGGTGGGCTTAGTTACCCGGTTAGAAAAACCGTAATGTGTAATTGGGCCTAGTGGTAGTTAGTTAGTGGAATCGTGCTGCTTTGCACGTACCCCAGTTCAACCCAGGCCGGAATCTGTAGCGAGTTAGGATAGGGGTGGGACTCGTTTGCAGAATAGGTTATGAAGGGTTGGACAGGCTGGCTAATTGTAAATTAGAACCGGCTGTAGTGGGTTGGAGGGAGAATTTGTCCCTAGTGACATTTTCTACCACCTGCACACTATTAGAAGTTTTGGTGACGCGCGGTGCCATTCTATGCCGCTTATGTAAACATCGATCTGGGACTTTGTGGCTTGGAGCGCTCATAGCGAGTTCGCAACTAACTTCCCCACGGCGATTGCTGGCCAACATGGCGAGAAAAACAATATCACCAAAGCCCTCAACGCCTTCAGCATCCCGCACCGATGGTGACCTAACACGTGAAGCTTCTACTCCCACTTCAACAAGACTGTGTACTCGACGGTCGTACGCCGCTCAAGGTACAGACGTCAACGTCAATTTGGCGTGTGAGGAAGCTCATTTTTGTGATCCTCGTATCAGGCATTACACCGGTCGTGCAAAAGAGATGGGGCGGCCCAACAATTATCTCTTATAAATCTCTCCCGACGACCCCGTCAACGACCCTGGAGGAGAGATCACCCGCCCAAAAGTCGTCCACGACGCGCTCGCAACCATCTCCCAACCTCACAGCGAAAGGCAAGTCAACCACCAAGCGTGAACAGTCCAAGAGACAATTGAAGCGGAAAAGTGAAGTTCGCCCTCAGGATGCGGGTGACAAAGAGGAGACCGGTGGCAAAAAGCCACGAACAACAAAGTCAAAAACACTAGACTCACGCACGAAAGAAAAGCAATCAACATTACAAAAGACCGCCTCAAAGGAGCCTTTGGAGGACCGATTTACCACAACCTGGAGAACACAAGAAGAAACAATGAGAAAGCAGATTGAGCAGGTGGTAAATGGAGGAAGCCAGGATATCGCAACCGAAGACACGAAGCCTGATCCCGGAAACCCATTCGATGAGGAAGAAAATGGAGCAGATGCCGGTGACGCAGCTACGACCGGATTGAATGATGAATCAGAACCAGAAGAGGTGACAATCGGTGGACGCGTTAATCTGTATCTGCACCGTCGTTTTTAATATCCATGTCCGTGTAGACACGCAAAATACCTCTGGGCGAAGCACTACAACTACTGCATCGTGACTCTCTTGAACGCCTGCTCCGATATGCCATTGTTGAAGAGGTTGTACTGAAACCAACGGATATCGCCGAGGAGCTTGAAGCGACGGGAGTTCTTCAGTAGCCGTCCATATGCCGTCGCACTTGAACAATTAGCATTTCTACAACGTAATAGTCGGACTGAATTCACAGCTGGTCCAACGCAATACACCTGCAGTACATTTATTGGGTACTTTTTGCCTCGACGTGTAAATTTGTGTACATAAGTTGAATACAAGCAAGCTGATTCAAAACTTCTCGTATCCTCCTTGAGTGTAGAAAGCGTTCAAAATAGCCACAATCTTCTCCAGTGCCGCCAGCCATTTTTCCATCTCGACGTACAGCTTTGCCTCATCTGAGCCTAACTTTGCGTAGAAGTCCTTTCGGTACGGGCAGGCCTTCATAGCGAGCTACATGACGCATGATGCCGCTCAGCAACGCGGTTTACACACCTCGGATATCGACTGAACTTACCGTAAATACTGGGCGCACCATGAAGCTATGGAATTTGGACAGTGTAGCTTCATACGCTTTAGAGAATGAGACATTCAGCTCCTCCTTCTTGTCGTCCAGATTCCGTCGCAGCCCCTTGGCGGTGAATTCCAAGCCACGTTTCAACCATAGTAGTCCTTCAGTAGCTGTCTTCTTGCCTTCCGCTCTCTCAGTAATGACTAGTTCTTGCAAGGTCTTGTTCTTTTCAGGGTTCTCGCTGTACCTTGCGCGGAGTTTCTATACTCAAGGCAACGTCAAAGGGGCAATACAACATTTAGCGAACGAGAAATAATTGACGTACCGCGACGTTGCCTTGCAAGTCGGATTTTACAGGGGTGAATGCAGTTCCCATGGAGTCTATATGAGTGAAACCAAGCTGCAATTTAGCATTATTGGAAAAAGTGGCCATCTACATCCTTGACGTTCGCCATCTGCTCTATCTAAAAGGAGCAGGACGACAACGCATTCGTAGAACACAAGTTCATTCTCGTTACTCACCGAAAAGTTTCGTCAACGACTCCGTCGCCTCCAAAAATGCCTGTACTTCGACATAGTCGTTCGCACCTATCGGTACGTCGACGTACGAACGCTGCATAGTCTCGAAAAAGTCTGGCATGGCTACACGGTTTGGACGATTTTACTTGGGCGGATGGAAAACAAAACGCGCAAGATGGTATAGTGTGGGTGACGTTGGCGTCTGATGGGCGGCGTGCAGTCGCGTCTGAACTCCACACTTAACCCGCCTGGCGTCAAGCTGTACGCCACAAGTCGACGTTGGCAGACATGTCTTCAGCTCCACAATCACCGCATTCTCCCACAGGAAAACATCACGGCGTGCATTCAAGAGTCGCCTCTTCACCTCCCATCCCATCTTTGAAGCTCCGCAACATTCCGTCTTCACAGACCTCCCATCGCCAACAACCAACCCTCCGCTCACCGCCTTCTCCGCGTTCCAAACTTTCGCTCTCCTTCCCATCGTCTCCCCTTACAGACCGAACCCCATTGTATGGTTGGATGCTCCTTATTGCGACTGGAATCTACTTTGTGGTGGGAATGTATATGCTGGTTCCGTTGGGGAGACCAAGGAAGGAGAGCATAACAATATCGACAAAAGTAGGTTTGCAAACGGAGATGCTTGTCTGCTTCCAGACCTTGACCTAGTAGCTTTCCATCCTTTTCGACAGACCTCCAGTCGAGTAGCACCAGATACCTATTACACATTCTTGATCCCATTGCTTGGACCCGTCACTGTCTTTTTCATATTCTTTAACTGGCTTGGACTCAAATTTTTTCGACATAATGCATAGCATTTTTGATATTCATTGCGAAATTGCGAGAATTACTGAGCTTAGATTTCCACTTATTATTGAGATGGGGATGGATATTCTGGATCAAGGCAGTCTTGCTCCAAACTCTTTATTCTGTCAGCAGCTGTTCCAAAGATGCAAAAGTTCTTATGAGCAAAGTCTATGCAACTTGCTAAAGGTCTGAGACGCACCACTTCAACGGAAGTGGGCACTGACTTACACCAAAGCGAGTGGGACCAGCTGTTGCCATGACAATTGCATCACGTGCGCAAGATCGAGTCTCAACCAGAACTCGTTGGCTCTTGTCCTGCGATCTACTCTCCCACTGCATTTTGTAAAATGATTTCAGTCAGCGAACGGTGCGTATCTGAAAGTCCTACTAGGCTCAGGGTATCTTTAATCTGCATCATATCACTCACTCTTTGTATGCCTTAGTGACTATATAACCAAAGGCGTCGATGTTTCTATTCGAGCGGATGGCCGTTCTCGGCTGGATTTTCGCGAGCTTGTCCTAGAGACAGGCATGATAACACAAGCATCTGGATCTTGCCGAGTTACACTTGATGGCGGGACGGATATATTGGTTGGCGTAAAAGTTGAAGTTGGCAGTATTGAACCCGAGGTCGAGGCAGAGGAGGCGGATATTTTGGAAGACATGGAACAAATGGACCAAGATGATGGGATTACGATGGTGAAGGACAAGGACAGAGGAAGAATAATTTGTAATGTTGAATGCTCACCGTCGGCAACGCGCATTTTCGAACCGCGCGACATTGAAGATATGTGCAATGAGTACAGTCAATTCATGAATCGAGTGTTGAATGGGTCCCATGGGGGTGTGGATTTGAAGGCGCTATGTATTATTCCGGGGTCAACATGTTGGATATTGAATATTGACGTCTTGGTTTTGGATTATGGAGGAAACCTGTTGGATGCTATATTCATGGCTACCAGAGGAGCGCTGCACAATACCCGAATTCCTCGTGCCACGGTAGAGCAGTCGGACGGACGAGTGGAGTTTGACATTGCAGATGAGGAAACAGAGATAATCAGAGGCTGGGAAGATGTACCCCTTTGTGTATCGCTAAATAAGGTAGGATCGAGCCGAATCTATACCGTTGAAAGAGGTGTCTCATCACCTGGTGCCTTTTTGATAGATTGGCTACCGTCACATTGTCGATGCAGCACCCTTGGAAGAGTTATGTTCGTCTGCAAGATTAACCGTGGCTGTAAATCGACGTGGTAATCTGTGCGCGCTCCAAAAGGGAGGACATGGTGGTATCGAGCCAAGTCTATTGGCTGAAATGGTTCAGGTAAGAACTGGTCCAGAATGCGTATTCAATGGCACCGCCTTTACTTGCCTACATATTTCTTACTCTCACGTTTCGCATTGGTACACTTGCAGACTGCCAAGCAAATCGGTCAGACCTTACTAAAGAGACAAGATGCAGCTTTGAGAGAAGAGGAAGAACGAATAGCAGCAGGGAAAGATCCAATTGGGTTTGGAGCTGCGTCTCGTCATTGACCATGTATATATGAAGCCATTATCGCAAATTGATAAATCCTAATTCTTACCACTGCGTCCCTTGCTCAACGTAATTGGTACTTTATCTCACAAGGTGCACCTCACCAGTCAGTTCAATGCATAACATTTGTCTCCGAGCGACTCGGTCACTTCATTTCCCTGTGTAACCATTTTTTAAGCTTCGCGTCAAGAGATCTAGAGATCCATTTCAGCAGCATCCGTCTTTGCGACCCATTTTATTTCTGCATGGCGTAACATAGTTCGTTGACCTGGCCCTACAAACCCGCGTGCGAGGATATGGAAGAGGAACTTGACGATTCCATCTCGTCCGGCCACAGTACTCCCCACCCGGAAAGCCAGCAACAGACCAATGCGGTGTTGCAGGCACAATTGGAAAATGAACAATTGTTGCGAACACTATCTGCTGTTGAAAAGGTATGAGCCTAACACTCCTCAGTGGGGCAACGAATTGTACACTGCTCAATGGCCTTTTGATCCTCGCTTCGTTGTACCCCTCACGCGTTTTCGGTTTTTGTTGCAGAGGGTTGTTCTACTGTTGACATCTGCAAGTGAGGCCGTAGCACAACTAGCGAATGAAGCGGACGGTGAAGAGGCGGAGGAAAAGTTTGCGGAAAGCTTTCAGGTTTATGTACAAACCTTAAACGTACGTAGCGACGTTTTCCAGGGAATTAGAGGTCGGGTTATCTGACTGGAGTACCATGACTTCTTTAGGAAATCCAATCCTATCTTCGGCGCATCTTTCGACATCTTTCAAAGTCTGGCATTTTGGCTGCAGCGGGTCGATCCATTCCCTATCGTGCCAGTCTCGCAGGAGAAGAAAAGGATTTGGAACTAGCAGCGAAAAGAGTGTCGTTGTTGTTGACCGAAGTGGAAAACTCATTGGGGCAAATAAAGCGGGATAACTCTGATAATTCTCAAGAAAGTATTGTGTACGAAATGAAAGAGGAGGACTAGTGAAAATGTGTTTTCTGCCAAGCTATCTACTCTTCGTTCAGACCTTCTCTAACCAACACAGCGATGGGGAACTCTTCAATCAGACTCTCAACCTCTAGCTCGCCGCCCTTTCTTACTTTCCCACTAAATACATCCCTCCACTGCCCCTCTGGCAACCGTACTGTCGTTCCTTGCCATCCACCGCCTTCCTTGATGCTGACCCATAATCTAGGAGCAACGGTAATTACCCTCCCTGACCGTCCAAAGGCAATTACGTTGTCCACTTTGGGCCCATTAACCTGTAAAGGCTCGTACGTCGCTTCTTCACCTACGAACCAACTAGGGTGCTCTCTTCTCAGCCGGAGGAGTCTGGAGACAAGGTACAATTTTGCTGATCCAACCGAATCAACTTTTGGGGGAGTATTTTGGTGGTCAAGCTTGGTAAGAAGGTTGCGCCGGTTGGCAAAGTCAACGGGTCGGCGGTTATCTGGGTCAACAAGGCTGTAATCTTCAATTTCGCAGCCTTGGTATACATCCGGAATGCCGGGCATGGTGAGCTGGATAGCTTTTTGGGTCAGTCCATTGAGGCGTCCGTAATCTTGTATTCTCGTGACGAATTTCTCCACGTCCGCCAACAAGTCTTTGTTGTCCAATACACCCTCTACAAAATTCTTTACAGCATCATCAAATTCCTTTACAGCATCCGTATGCGATGTGTAAACTTTCCCTTCTCGGATGGCTTTGTCCATGTAGGCTACCAACCGGTCCTTGCTGATTGGGAATGTTCCAACTAGTGATTGCCAAAAGAGGTATTCCGTGTTTTTGTCGGGGAGTGTAGGGCCTTTGCGAAGACCTAATGCCTCTGCACGAGAGGACCACTGCTGAACGCGTTCAGACCATTCTTGTGGGATTTCCGACAGGACGGCTAAACGCGCACGAACGTCTTCCGAACGCTTCGTGTCGTGAGTAGAGAGCGTCGTCATTGAAAGGGGCCAGTTGGACTGCATGGAGAGGCAGGCTTCGTGAAATTCTTTGGGAGATTTACCAAAATTGCCAGGATCGCCTCCTACTTCGTTCAAAGCCGTCAGCCGAAAGTAGCGGTAAAACGCCGTGTCTTCAATTCCCTTGGCCATAACCGGTCCACAAGTCTGTTGCAGTCGGCTCACAAATTCTTTCGCTGCAGGGGAGGTACCGGACTTGTACGCAGCCGCCCGTACAATAAACTCTACCTCGGCATCCCGCAGCCCTTTGAAAGCCTTTTTAGCAGTCTCGTCAGCGTACGCGAGATGTACAAGAGATTCTTTTGGGATTGGTTTTCCGGGTTGAATGTATGCTCTGTACACGTCAAACGCTGCCAAGAATTCTACCAATGCCGCACGGATAGAGTCTCGCTTCAAATCATGTGCCTGCTGGTCCTCTTTCTGAATTATCATCAAGAGCGATACCAACCGCTCTACTTCGGCTACTAGCGACTTTTCCAAAATGAAATGCTTGGACTCGTTCACAACTGTTTTGAAATCCTTGGTCAACCCGGTAAACTTGTGGTATGCATCTGTCAAGGGTGATTCTCCCTTCTTATCCACTAGCAGCCCGGTAATTCGAATCAACGAGTCATATCCGCTCGTTCCAGCACAAGGCCACGAAGCTGGCAATTCCTCCCCTTCTTCCAGAATCTTTTCAATGACAATCCATGAGCCTCCTGTGCTCTCCGCTAATCTCTCAACGTATTCCTGAGGATCTGCTAGTCCATCTGGATGATCCACTCTCAATCCGTCCAAAGCACCATCCCGGATTTGTTTAACGAATATGGCATGTGTTTCATCAAATACAGTTTTGTCTTCCACTCGAATTCCTGCCAAAGTCGTGACATCGAAAAACCGTCGGTAGTTTAATGTTCCGTCTAATGTGACCCGCCAAAACGCCAGTTTGTAATTCTGTGCCTCAACCAGTTTGGCAATGTCATCCTTTAGCGCCTCTGTTCCAGGTTTTATCGGAAACACATGGGACCAGTAACTGAGGACCGGTTCACCATCTTCATGTTCCACCTTGAGCTCGCCCCGGCTAATAATCTCTTCAACAGGTCCACCCAGGACCGGTAGCAAGACCTTTCCCTTCAACTGGGGATGATCCCACTCAATGTCGAACCAGCTGGCATAACGTGAATCCCTTCCGTGCTTTAGAGTATCCCACCAGTATGGATTGAGATTCTCTGGATCGGCGACAGAGACATGGTTGGGCACGATATCTGCGATCGCCCGGAGGTTGTTAGCGTGTAGCTTCTTGATGAGATTATCAAAGCCCTAAGTACGTGGGTTAAAATTATGTTGAATTTTTTTGTATGGATTAACACAGGGATACCTTTTCGCCGCCGAGTTCCTTGTTGATCACACTGTGGTTCACGACATCATATCCATGGGCAGATCCAGGGGTGGCCTACATGTCAAAAGTGAGAGAGCGCTCAAAGTTCTACTAAACAACAAAACTTACCTGCAAGTAAGGCGAACAATATAAATGCGTAACACCCAGATCCTTCAAATACTGTACAATACCCTCCGCATCCGCAAACCCAAACTCTTTTCTGAGCTGTACACGGTACGTCGAGACGGGGTACGGCCGGCCTTGTTCAGGTCGATGTGTTGCTGCAGACGATGAATTGATGGTCATTTTCCTATGAGAGGGAGAAAATTGAAATCTTTTGAATGTACGATGCGTGCGTACGTTTTGGATGGGGGGGAATGAGGTTAAAAGGTTCAGTTTAAAAAACAAAGAAACTGAAAGGCAAAAAGAGAGCTGTGACGGGACGAAATGCATTGCGTCATCCTTCATGTCCGCACGCGGCTGCTGCGCAAGCCACACTGTCATCACAACGCGATCGGCCGATTTGCTTTATCAATTATCATCTTCATGCAATACAAAATATATATCAGACAGAACTAAATAAAAGGACAGCAACAGATAAATACATAGATGAAGCCTATTCATCACCCATCAGGATACCCTCGTACAATCTCTTCTAAATTCTTGACTCTCAAAGGCGTATCGGCAAACAACGCTTTGACCAATCCAGTCAGCTCCTCTTTTTCAAGTACCTTCAATCGTCCATCCCTAAATCTATCCATGATATCCGCAAACGAGAGGTCGAGAATATCCGTCACCTGAATAAACTTTTCGTATTGAGAAATACAATGACCGGCCAGCGTTGGTATTTTGTCAGATGGGATGGAATCATGCGAGAGAAGGGGGAGGATCGAAGTGTGGAATTTTGTCAAGAGCTGGTTGAGTTTATGCGACTCTTCTTCGGCAATATCGATTAGATACTTGATTTCGGTGATGATGCGGTCCATTGTAAAGTCTATGAGACTTCCCATGGCCAGCAGGTAAATGGACGGTGATAGCACAGGCTATGGTCACATGTCAGTCATGGACAACTACACTGCGTGCTGTGAAAGATTTCCATACCTTCCAAACCTTGGACAGATGGGTTAACTGGTACAATACTTGTTTAATTGCCCGCTCAACAATCTCGTGCCGTCTCTCAGCCAACACATCAAAACCGCCTGCACTTTCAATACAGTCAAGCAAGTTTTTTCGTTGTATTTCCTAAATGGCAAAGAATATTCAGTCATCGGACAAACAAGGATACTCTTAAGGCCATTTTCTACGATACTCACCATCTGCACATTGTAATACTTGTCCCCCAAGCTCCGGAATGGTGCCACCATATCAATAAACGTTATTTCACTTCCTCCTCCCAACATTTCGCGGTACCGCCATCCCAGCGTCATACACTCATGGGCCAGATACATGCAGTCATTGTAAAATACCATGGAGAGCTGCGGGATGGAATCCAATTTCGACCCATCATAAACAGGAACCATCGCGCGAAAAAGGTCAAACATGTCCCGCGTTGACAAAACCATCCGTTTCGCGCTATACCGATCGGGTTAAGGCTTTGGGATAGAGTGTACTATACCAACCAAATATGGCTCATACCAGTAAGGAGTCAGCTTTGCAGCGTCGGAAAGCGTAGTAATCACCAGTTGCAGCAACTGCTGTGCTTTAGTGCTGATAGCACACGAGGGAAACGAAAATAAATCCTCAATTTCATCGCCAATCTCAATCGATTCCATATTCGCTTCACCCTCCGGTAATGATATCAACGTAGGAAGAGGTAGTGGCTTGGATTCTGCAAGCATGACCGTAGAATAGTCCGTTTTCATAATGATCTCACGAGCCGCTTGTATTAATTTCAAATGCTTCTTGTTCGCAAAGTGTACATCAGAGTTTTTGCAGTACTCGGTCAGAACCTTGTTGCCGTCAGATATCAATTCTAGGTATGATCTTTTGCATGAGCACAGCCTCATAGAGTGGCCAAGCCAATCACACAACCCCCTCACCGTTCGCAACGAGCCAATCTTCAAAGGCTTCGGATTCCCGTGTAACGTCTGCAAAGGCTGCAAGTCCATCCGCTTCATCCGGAACGGCACGTTCAAGGTATTCTGCAATTATGGTTGTCGACAACTGGGTCCAAAACAGTTCCCCCAATAATCGAAACATTGGGCGAGAGTTCTCGCTATTTGATTGGTTGAGGGCATGCTCAAGAAAGGTAAGGACTTGCTTTAGCCCTTTGTAAATTGATCCTGTAGGCCAATTTGATGTGAGCATCATCACTACCTCTTATGCTCTCTGAAAGATTCGTACCTGGAGGCAAGTCAGTCCATTTTAAAAAAGGGCTTGCCTGAGCCATCTGGACCTGCAACGTCAACGTGCCATCTCGGTCCTGCGAGGATGGCTCTACCAATGACCATCGCGGATCTCGCGCAAGTGGATCAATGACATGCTTGTACAACATTCTCAGAAAGGGTCTCAGATAGTGTGACTCCAAGTTCTCCGCGTAGATAGCAGACAGTGCCGTGCTTAACGCGACGGGTTGCGGACCGAGACCAGGTGCTATGACGATAACACTATACTAAGCGGACCACATTCGCTCATGAAACCACAATACCTGTATGCTCACCGGAAACAGACAGCTGGATTTTGATTTGCACTGAACTCGAATCCATAATTTCAACAGACATGCCCTGTGATACGATGTATTCCAACCGGCCCTGCACGTCTTCTTGAATACTGGAACTGCGCTCCTTTCACACCAAGAAAGCGGTAAAGCATTAGAGCAGCTGTCCCGGTACCCATATTGAACACCCCATGACCTACAGAAAGGTGCGAGAATATAGCCACATTCTCCCAGGGCGGTAGTTGGCTGACAAGTCTACCCTAGATCGCTGGAATCAGCCGCTTTGCCAAAAAAAAGGCATTCAGAAATAGTAGAGTACCATTTCCGAGGCGGCTCTCAATGCCGCCGGGTAGTCGGCTGCTGCGAGAGATTCTTCGCACTCTGTCATGCGAGCCGAGATCTGTGATTCGTTCAAAATGAGTATGAAATGTCACGAGTAGGACAACGGAAACAGCGTTCACACCTCCATGATAGTTTTTAAAACCCTGATTTGCAAATCGATTGTATCAAGCTCAACGGTCGCATTTTCCCGCTCCTTCAACGTTTCCTCCAGCTGAGCACACAATCCATCCTACAAACAACGTGAGTAGTTGAAACAACAATAGTTAGGATCTGAGTAATAACCCACTCGCTCACATTTGGATCCTCAATGCGGTGTGTAAGGGTGCTCAGAATGTCGGAAATGTCACGAGCTTCGCGTTCAACCGCCGCGGCTTCCTCTACACGTTGTCGCAGCGTGTCAAAGTTTGAGACAAGATGGGTTTCTATTTGGTACTAAATGGCATCGTGAGTGACATAAAGGAAATCTATATCCTTCTTACACGCATTTCCTCTCACCTTTGCGTCCGCGATGCTCCTTTCCAGAGTATGAGACACATGTTGGAGTGTACCCCGAGAGATGGAGGTCGCCTTTCCGTTCGAGATATTTATCCCAGTCTCATTACGTATCTCCCCCGATGTGATTGCATGCAAGACCCTTGACGCAAAGTCTGCCGCCAAAGACATGTCTTTCAATCTACAACCAGTCAACCTGGCCGGAGGGAGGCGAGTGAGCGAATGCTGCATGAGTCATCTCACATGACACCTCGTGTTGCTGTGATAAGCCAGACGGAAACGCCTCGGAAAAGCGCAAGGCGCAGTTTGGGGGGGCGAATGACACAATCTGCCAAGGGAAGTGTGTTTTCCTCAAGTGAAACAGCAACTTTCTTGATTTTACATTTTGTGTTTTTTTGGGATTCCTTTCAACGAACAAACATTTCATCAGGTTAACGTGGTGATAACTGTACTGTGTCAGCTCCATCCTTTGGCACGATATACATTGCATACCGTTTCTCTCTCGACCAAGCGTGGTACGTGCAGAACCCTCATTCCGTCCAGTACAGTCACAGAAGTTTAAACGGTTCCTGACGACTTGAGTTACTTTATTGACAGTCGCCTTTCTATTGCCGCGCCGTTGACACTAGCCGTCTCTGCAACGTTATTCACATTTCGGGTTTTCTAAACCTCCGCACAAGTCTCTCGAGTCTCCTCACTCTTTCCTACAAAAACGATGGCAGCTAGACCAAGCGCACGAGACGCCGCCGCCTCCCTTAACAACTCTGCCACCTCGGCGGGAGGGGACGCACAAAATGCTGCAAACCTAAAGCCCATTCAAGTTAAACTCGTTCTCCTCGGTGAAGCCGCCGTTGGAAAGTCTTCCCTCGTCCTTCGATTTGTCAACAATGAATTTCAAGAGAACAAGGAGCCGACGATTGGTGCGGCGTTTTTGACTCAAAAGTGCAAGTTGGACGATAAGATTATAAAGTACGAAATTTGGGATACGGCCGGACAGGAGAGGTTCCATTCCTTGGCTCCCATGTACTACAGGAATGCGCAGGCTGCGGTGGTTGTTTACGATATTACAAAGCCGGTAAGCAAGCGTTTATTGATTCGTTGGATATTTGAGCTGGAATGTGGGCCCGGAGGCACGGCAAGTGCTGCGGATGGGCTTTTTCCATCATGTTTTTATCTGTACATGGTGTAACGCGTATTCTTAATTGCAGGCCTCCCTCGACAAGGCAAAATCCTGGGTAAAGGAGCTTCAACGCCAAGCCAACCCAAACATTGTCATTGCGCTTGTTGGCAACAAGTTGGACCTGGAGGCCACGGCCCGAGGCGTTCCAAGGGAAGAGGCGCAAGCATACGCTACGGAAGCTGGTTTGCTCTTTTCTGAGGCCTCTGCAAAGACTGGAGACAATGTTATGGATGTATTCACAGAAATTGGTAAGGACTGTAGCTTTGCCTTTACATGAAATCTGAAAAACTAATCGTACATTTGGTTTTTTGTCAAAAACAGCCAAGAAGATTCCATTGGACCAACTTTTGGCGTCTCGAGGTCGTGCTGGTGGAGCAGCAAGTGGAAGTGGAGCAGCCGCCGGAGGTCGAGTGGACTTGAACGCTGGACCTGGCGGTCGGAATGCGCAGCCCGGTGGTTGTGCGTGTTAGTAAAGATTTTCTGGGAAGGGGTTTTTTTTAAAAAAGTGCCACGTTTATTTGTCGCGAAAAAGTAGTTTGTCTCTGATTTGCTCCCCGCCGAAGATGTTTGCCGATATTGTTGAAGGGGGTTTTTAGAAAAGACGGGGATGTCACGTATGCAGAGCTGCTACTGTTTTGTCTATGTTTCTTGAAGAGGGGGTTTTTTGTTTGTTTGTCTCTTATGAATTACATGGTATAGTGTACTTTTGTGTGTGTAGCACATTCAGTTTGTCCAAAGCCGGGTTTTTCGTACAGTGACATACCGTAACGATCAACAAATTGTATTTTTATATTTTTTTTTTGGCAAAAAAAAAGAATTAGAGAAAAACGCACACACACACACACATATCACACTCTCGACAAGACGCTTTCATACGTCGGCACCATGTACTTGATATTAATGAACGCATCCTCTCCACCGGTCAATTCAAACTTTTCGAGCGTCTCTTGAATGAGGTCTCCAATGTTTTCCCGTTTTTGTTGGGAATAGTAAATGCCATCGCCGAGGTTGACTTAACAAATTGTAAGTTAAAAAACGAATTTGTATAAAACATAAAGTTTCATTTACCATTCCTGTTTTTGAATAGATTAAAGACGGGGAGGATTTGTCGATAGTATGGGACGAGGGCTTCTCCGACCATATCCGCCGATTCAACCAAATGTTGAAGGACTTTGAGTGTCGTTGTGATAACGTGGATATTACGAGTATTCAACGCCTCTACAAAAGAAAAAAAAAAAACCAAAACATTTAGTTTACAAAACAACAAATCAACATACTCGTAAAATAACATACTCTTGATTGGAATAATCAATTGCGGAACAACAGGTAAAATCTTGATTCCCCCTTTATCAAGCAAATCATGAATCCCCTGTCTAGCCAAAAACGCATAGGGTTCCTCCGTTTCGCATAACCCAGAAAAAAACAGAGGGAGGTAGTGATGGTAATCTAGTTTTTCGATATCGACTTTCCAGTTGATTTTGTTGCCTTTGGCGTCGTGGTTGACTGCGATTGGAAAATCTCCTCGGTCATAGAGTTTTCGAAAACCTTTTAAAAGTTCATTATAACAAATTCTTTGCAAAAAAAAAAAAAAAACACTTTATGTTTTTTCAACGTACTTGTAACTTCCTTGTCCACCCGCCCAGAAGCAAACGGATCCCCCTTGCGTACACCCACAGCATGCATCTCCGTAATCCGGTCCTTGAATGCTCCTGCTTTGGGAGGAGAGGAACCTCGAGGAGCAAAGTATCCTCCGCTGCGAGTGGGAATTGGGATGGGAACTTGAGTGGGTGAGCGCATATGGGGTATTTTCGTTTATTTTGTATGTGTTTGTGGGTTTTGGTGTGGGTGGGGGGAGATGGTGAGTGGAACAAGTATATCGTTGTTTTTTTTCCAAAAGGTATCTTTTTTGGTTTTGTTAAGTGATGTGGGTATGGTGCAAGTGTAGTTGGGTGAGTGGCTTGCGGGTTGTTACGTAACTCCGCTTTTCGTTCGGGGATTTTTTTTGTTTGTGGAATTTATGATACAAGATTGATATCGAAAATTCAATTCTTTTTTTGTGTGTGGGCATGAAATGGGATGGAGGGTGTACCTTGGATTTCCACCATTTTTGCTCTTTACAGTATTTTCATTATGATGCAGATTGCTTTTCCTACAATTTGGTTGTCTTTTAAATCTATACATGTCCCCTAGTTCCAATACGCCAGCGATCAAATATTGGCCGTCATCATACCCGCATAAAAGATGCAGAAGTTGATCGTTCATTTTGTATACCCTCTTGTCTGGCATGTCGAAATTCCAATGTTTGAAACCAATGTGAGCTATATGATACATACTTTTTTCAAAGCCATACTGCCATACTCTACAAAAATAACACATAAACGTAACAACTACAGTACCTCAAATACAAAAGAGATGATAGTTGTTCAAGTTGAATCGAATCAAATCGTGATGACAAATCTACTAGTGTTGTGGGTATGCACCGAGTATAACCTATAATGCACTCTCTTACGATGTAAAACCAGAAACTAAATTATCGTTTGCGGTTTGTGTAGTTGGATTTCATGTCTAGTGGACATCAGGCAAGATGCCCGGCACCAAAGGACACCAAAACAGACCAAGCCTCTAATCTCCCCCCCAAATAAAGATCATTTGACGGCGGAAAGGCGGACGGCGGACGGCGGCGAAAGTAAAAGGAATAATTCACCCACATCACCGATCATCATCAATCACGCAATCCCTTCGCGTTACCACCTTGCTAATATCTCCCCATTTTTTTGGAAATCCCACAAATACCCAAAATCGATAAGCAAAATCCAAAATGACGTAAAAAGCCCATCACATCTCACCACTATAAAAAACCGTCCCCCAATCACACACCCTCTCCTCATCATACCATTTAACTTTTAGTTTAAAACATGACGGTATTTACGTTGAACACGGGTGCAAAGATTCCTGCCATTGGACTCGGAACCTGTATGTCCTAATAGAAAGTAATGTCTATGAACATGCATGAAATTGATTTTGTTGTTTTTTTTTTTAGGGAAATCGGAACCGGGTCAAGTGGGTGAAGCAGTTAAAGCGGCTATTGAAGCTGGGTATAGACATATTGATGGAGCGTATGCATGTAAGTTTATTATTCAATAAAACATCACATACGCAAAATAAAAGAGGGAGCATTAACAAAAAAATAAACCTACGAAAAATAGACGAAAACGAAAAGGAAATTGGAGAAACCCTCTCAAAACTCTTTTCCTCCAAAACCATTAAAAGATCCGACCTTTTCTACACTTCCAAACTCTGGAACACCTTCCACGATCCAAAGGATGTTGAAAAAGGATTAAATGAGACGTTGAATAATTTGGGACTCGAGTATTTGGATTTGTATTTGATGCATTGGCCTGTGGCTTTTAAACCTGGGACGAGTGAGGTTGTTGATGTGGATTATGTTGAGACGTGGAAGGCCATGGAGGTAATCGTTTTTTTAAAGTTCATAAGGGAAATGATGCGGGTGCTAAAGAGTATATTTTCATTTTTTGTAGAAATTGGTCCAAACGGGCAAAGTCAAAGCCATCGGCGTCTCCAATTTCGATATCCCCCACTTGGAACGTCTTTTATCCTCAACAAGCATCATCCCAGCCGTCAACCAAGTAGAACTCCACCCATACCTCCCCCAACCCTCTTTGCTCGCTTTTACCAAAAAGCATAACATCCTCTTAACAGCCTATTCACCCCTCGGAAGCGGTGGATCCCCTTCGTTATTATCGGATTCAACTATAACGGAAATTGCTAAAAAACATGCAAAAGATCCAGGGCAGGTTCTGGTTGGATGGGCAGTTCAACGTGGGACGGCGGTTATTCCGAAATCTGTTAACCCTAAACGTATAAAATCGAATTTGGATATTGCGGTTTTGGATAATGAGGATTTGAAAAGGATTGAGAGTGTTACGACTAGGAAGAGGTTTGTGGATCCTAAAAGTTTTTGGGGTGTGGATGTTTTTGATGGGTTTGGGGAGGAGACAAAGTAGACTTTTGCACGTTTGTTTAATATGGACTTTTGGAATATCGTTATTTTTGATGAGCCTTGTCTTGAAAAGGAAACTTTCCACTCTTTTACGATGCGTACTCTACTTAACTTACACTCACCACCACCGGCCATACCCAAAATACCAAACCCAATGCACACCAATTCACAACTCGAATAAGTGTCCCGTCAGATAAATACATCATACTTGCATGCCGCTGATCATCTACCCCAAACGCACCCACAAAGACTTGAACACACCTGCTCAAAACGTATTCAAGTGTTTAAAATGGGTCATTCATGAATAATGCGTATTTCCATTCCATTCTCATTTGTAAAAAGTGTTGGAGTGACTACCCCAATGGAGACATCTAAACATTTACATATAATACAAAAAAAAACCAGTCTCGCAACGGACACCATACATACCCCTCCCCTTCCTACACCCACAAAACACACATTTCCATCACACTAACATCACCCATCAACAACAACACAAAAATTATTCCTCCCCTTCCCAGGAGCACACTCTATTTTCCCAATCCCCTTGACACCCCCACCACACCTCCTAAACAAATAAAACGCAACCCGTTTCGCAAACTTGAACTCAACAATCCCAAATCCAACACACCTCAACACCTCAATAAACCGCTCATGCGTCATATACCGTGAATTCAAAACACACGGACTCGGTAAAACAATATAGAGTAACCCATTCTCAGTTGTATGCTCTCGAGTACGAACAAGGAGTGCACCACGGTCTCGCGGGGAGGGAACAAAATTCAATACAAGGGATAAACACAGGATATCGAACCGGGATTCAGGGGGTGGGATAGGTCGTGCCATGAAATCTTGTTGAAGGATGTTGGGGTGTTGGGGGTGGAGGTCAATATACGTTGGAGTAATAAACGAGTATTTCGCATACGTTGTGCCAGATACGGCACCAATATCCAATAACGTCATGGGTGTGCGAGGTAAATGAGAAACGAGCCACGTTCCACTGGCGCCTAGGCCTTGTCGTTCTGAACCGCCCTTTAAGGAGGCTCGTTGGTAGGCATTCAATCCCCCCAATGCAGACATTTCTGTACGGATTAATGTCGCGAGTGCCATGTTGTTGGTTGTGAGGGCGTGTGAGAGGCGTTTGTTGAGCGTGTGGTAGGTGGAAATGAGTTTTTGGGTCGAGAGTTTTGGGCGTTTTGGGGGTGGATGTGGGGTCGTTGGGGTGGTTGTGGTGGTTGCGAGACTTGCATTGCTTGTAGGAACTGCGGAAGGGCGGAGAGGGATAGGGAGAGGCGGTTTCTTGGATTTGCGACGGGCCATGAGATTCCAATCTCACAAAGTAGTGTGGAGTTGTTGTTAAACACATCTGGTCTGGCAAAAATCTGGGTAGCTCCGATAATCCCATTCCAACCACATTAAAATGATGAGTGTCCGATCCGTGAGCATCCCAGAAATGCACCCCGTCCTCCTACAGGGTCAGATCCATTATTACAGTACAAATCATGATCTACATGATTCTTTAGCAAAAACCAGCTAATAAACAAACATCCCAAACTCTTCTCAATCATTCAATTCATTCCATCATCATCATCATCATCATCACCGTCTCATACACGTTCTCGTTCAAAAGTCTGTTTATAATAAAGATCTAAAGTATTCTTCTCTAATAATAAAAAAAAAAAAAAACTTTCACGACTCTTTTTCCCCTTCGGTTTCCGTCTCCTCTGCCCCCTCTTCTTCCGCTCGCTCCCCATCCTCTTCCCCACTTGGCACAAACGCTTTGGGTGCCCGCATACCCCGTCGCTTCTTGCCACGGACTGGAAGGCGGATACCTTGATTTGCAAAGGATCTCGTCAGGGCCGTCGATTCTAGATTTCTTTTTAGTATTTTTGTGTTGCAAAATGTTGACGAGCCAATAAATGGGTTTTTACCTATCATGCCGGGAAATTCTTTGGCCGTGTAGACGGTAAAAGGCTCGGAAAGGATTTCGGCAGCCACGGTTGTTGTGTCGGTTGAAATGACAGGTTGTGTCATTGTCGTTGTACTAGAGGCACGATGCATGCATGAGTTGTCACAGGCTCACAGCACAGACAAAAAAGGAGAGGCACACGCGCCAACAATAAACATTTACCTCGCAACACTACAGAGCTTAAACCCCAACCGATAGTGTCCCTCAACCCTCACACTCAAATCCCCAAACACGAAAAAAACCCCCTGCGTTCCATCCAGGCCCATTAACGAAAACGCAGAAGACACCAGACTCCCTGTCAACGTGTTGAGATACGTGTGGTTGGGCGTGCCATGGGGAAAGGCGGGGTTTTTGGGGAGGACCATGGCGGGTTGGCCGGTAGCTGTGTAGAGCGTGGCATGGCAAATGAGAAGGGGGTGCTCGGTTGTGCTTGGAAGCGGGGTTTGGGACTCTGGATTGCGGGCAATGAGCTGGACAACTAAAGTACGAGTTATGCATTTGTGTACATGCGGGTGTGCGTGCGTTAAAGAACGTACTTGGTGGAGGGTCAACTAACAAATGGTGGAGAAATATACATGATCAACATTCGCTGTTGCATTCCATGTTTTTCTTGAAAGGAAAACAATTTTACGTACCTACTCGTCGATCGCGTCCTCCAAAACCGCACATCTAAAAGTGTTGGAATTTGGTATTGTATTAATAAGAGAAATTAAAAAAAAAGGAGACCAGGAGTTTGTTGCTATATTTTTCTTTACCCTAGCGCGTTCCGGTTGCTGAATGACGACGAGTTGATATCTAAAACAAAAAAAACATAGAGATAAGAAACATTGCGTATATATAAAGCACACACACATGAGCCCTAGAGATCCTCCTCCTAGTGCTGCACGTTATGGCTAAATGTCAACCCACCGAATACCATTCCCACTCGCTTGTACCGTACTCGGCAACCTCGGCACCATTCCCGCATCCGTCCTCTCGTCATCCATCCGTGTCAGAACCGGTCTCGTATGCACCATCTTGTCCTCGTCGTCCGTTGCTACCATCTGTGATCGGGATGATGATGACGAGGATCCCGACGACGTGGATGATGGTGTTCCGGCGCGTGCCGCGTCCGAGTCGTCGCTCCGAGGGAATGCCCGTACGGATGCAGGATCCACATTGATGGGAGGGATTTGTTCACCTCGGATCATGCCGCTTGGGGATGGAAAAAGTGGATGGCGGCGGGGATGTGACAAGGGTTGCTTATAGACGTGAGGCTAAAAGAAAAGAGTCAAAATGGGCTGTATACCATGGTCGAAAACATAAGTACCTGTCTTGCATGTGGCTGTTGCTGTTGCACGTGGGGAGCAAAGGAATGAGATGCAGAGGAGCCTGACCATGCCGACGAAGCGGGCGATGACGACGAGGAGGGAGACGAAGACGAGGAAGCATACGAGAGACGTCGAAAGGCATGGGGGCCCTTGTCCCGCCGGAACAGGGACAAATTTTTGGTATCACCACCTAGTGAGGACGGATGCGATAGAGTGGAGGGTGCTGCTGGTGCTGCTGCTGGTGCTTTTGCTGATGATGGTGATGGTGATAATGATGATGATGATGCATGCGCGACAAACGATCGCGCTGCTACTGGTGTTGCTCCTGCTACTGGTGTTGCTCCTGCTGCTGGTATTGCTGCTGCTGCTGGTGCCTGTGTTGCAGGTGGGAGTGGTGCGGACGGGTGTAATGGTGGTGGACGGGGAGAGGGAGAGCAAGAGACGGGAGTCATTGTCAGAGGATGGTCCGGTGGAGGAGCAGAAGGAACAAATGATGATGATAGAGGACAGAGTGGACGCTGCTGTTGCTGTTGCTGCTGCTGTTGCAGGGAGTCCTCCTGTGTCCTGCTGCTCTCCTTTTCTTTTGCATAGGCGTCCCTGCTCCCTCCTGCCTTTGACATGGAGGGAAGACCTGCAGCAAATAAAAAAAAACGAAAACGAAAACGACGACGACGACGACGAGTAGAAAAAAAAGGCCCGTGGGGAACGGAGGGGAAAGCAAAAGACAGTTGACATGGACGCCATCCTGTACCATGGTACTGGATTTCATTGGATACACCCGATGACTAATCATTCATGTGTATCTCCGTGGAAAACAGGGAAAAGGGGTTGCTCCGAACGGTTCAAAACAAACAAAATTTGCGCGTCTCCCAGCGCCATGCCGTGGGCGAGATGGAAAATTGTTTTGGCGATGGTGGTGCAAGGTACTGTCATGACCGTATGCCATGGGCATGGTAACGGGATTCTGGTAACTTGAGAGTTGCTCTCAAACGATGCTGACTGTAAAGACCATGGCATTGCATATAGAGTGTTGTCAACATCACCGGTGAGCAAACAAGTGCAATGATGCCTAGTGTGAAATGCAATGCGCGCGCAACCGTTGCGAGAACATTTGCCAATGTGATGGAGTGAATCCGAGAGAATGGTAATCTCGGCAGTTGTGTTCACGTGTGTTAAATGTGTGACAAGAGAGTGTAAGAAGGTGGTAAGCGTGACACAATGCCTACCAATTTCTGACAAAACGTCCGATGAAAGTAGTAGTCGTTAGAAACGTCCGACTAATGTCCGATAATGATCCGATGTGTGTGGCCCAGGGGAGAGACAGAAGAGAGACACGAAATAAAGCCCATGCCGTTAATGAAATTGAGCCCATGCCGAGAGAGAGAGAGAGAGAGAGAGAAAGAAAAAGTAATTGAATATAGACACATATACCCATGAATGATCCATTCAATTCCCATTTTAGAAATTAGAGAGAGATTAGAGAGATGAATAGTGTGTGTGTGTGTGTGTGAGAGTGTGTGTGAGAGTGAGAGTGAGAGAGAGATGAATAGTGTATGTGTGTGTGTGTGTGAATCTCCCATTTCAAACAGCTATTCTCTCTCTCTCTCTCTCTCTTGTGTGTGTGTGTGTGTACACGTGTGAATGTGTTCATGTGACTATATTCTCTCTCTCTCTCTCTTTTTTAATTATGGGATTCACACACACGCATTTCATTTGTTTTCTCTCTCTCTCTCTTGACTCTATTCATTTACGGTTTGATTCTCTCTCTTTCTAGTTCACATACATTCACATACTCTCTACTCTCACTAATGACAGGCCTTGTTGTATTTACGCAATTGATAGTAATTGTATGGGAGGGCTGCTATATATCCACTCATCATACTCACAATCACGCTCGCTATACTCGTATTCCCTATATTCAGACTCACGACATTCTCTACACTCTCCATCACTAGCATACTCACAAGGGACATTCCCACTGCTGTCTTGTAGGCTTGTCTCGCATTCATTCCATCAGTCATTTGCAACAGTAGGGTTTCTAGTATTACAGATGTCAATATCCCACTCGCCATACTCGCTCCCATCGTCACATGCATGGGTAGTTGGGTATGCGTTTGGAGGTAGTACAGGGCGCTCAGGTCTCCCACAGAGCATCCAACGAGGCATCGAAACGTATTCACAGAGGCTCGCTTCCATGCATATCCATGTGTCCAGAATGCAAGGGTTTTGAACGGGTTTTCATCAGAGCTTGCATGCCGTTTGATGGTGTGGGTGCAGCTTTTGCCGTCGTTGGCATTCTTTTTGCATTCACTCGCAGAGCCTCTTACCCATGGTGTGAGCGCTATCGTTGCCTGCCAAGGACTAGGCGCTAGTCCATGGGGACGGCACAGGCGGATTCCAGTTTGCATTCGGTACATTTTTGCTAGCTGCTTTATGCGTAGTGTGTGTGTGTGGGTATTCGGGCTCTTTGGCGGTATTTATAGTCCAAAAAAACATCAGGTTGCGCTCGATTCGCCCCTCCATCTGCCATTTGCGCTGCTTATGCCTCGACCTAGGGCAAAATCCCCTCACGCCCGTCGAGTCACCAATGTTTACAAACTCTTTACATTGCTCTCGCCAATGCTGCCACAACCAAAACACATTTTGCTTTTTATCATGCATTGAACAGTCTGTGGTTGCAAACACACCCACACACAAGGTGGTTAACATGGGGATTGAAATCAGAATGTAGTGTTGGCGCCCCAATGTGTTCCACTGTGCCCACTGTTCAAAATGCGTTGATGCGGCTAGTTCACGCGCGGGATTGCGACCCTGATTTTCATTTCTTTACAAGAACCCAGTCATTCCCGTATGCGGAATGCGTTCCTGCCATCATGGCCGCATGCCAATGGGCGGGTTGCATGCATCGTTTAGGCACTCTGCATATCACATGACTTGAATCACATGAGCAATTCTGGGCACAGTCACCACAAAAGAGTCACGCCTCCATCCCGAATCCGTAGACCTTTAGCGCAGCGTTTTGGCAAGGAAAACCGCAAACTACAGCATAACCCATCGCTTTCATTTTCTTCTCGGTTTACTTACTGTCAGTCCCAACTGGACGTAGCAGAGAAGCATTGACGAATCGTTTGGTGTCTTCTAGTTTGTACGGGTTCAAAGTCTGAGACGGTAGTTTTTGGTGAGTTTTTCTTGATGCGGACCGTAGATAACCGGGTTTGGTCATCTTGGGCGTCTGTCGAATAATGGTGGTGAAATGCTTTGGGACAGACAACTACACTTGCAACTCATTGCGCTTGAGCGGTCTTGTGGATGTTTGTTTGCCGTAATGTTATTCGGATGGTGCAAAAACCAAAACTGCGGCAAACAGTTTTTGGGTGATGCTGACGCGTGCTTGCAGAGCATAAAATGGCATTCCTTGTTCTGCCTGCAAACGGGAACGAGTTTGGCAATACTCAATTTTGTGGAGGATATTAGTCAACGCTTGTTGGTTGGGTGCTTGTCTTGTAGTCACCTGTGGCTAACCGCAACATGCCCTTTTTTTTACTTGGCAGGTTTTGGACTAGCGCAAAGATTAGTAATTACCTCTCGCCATTAATTACCACCGGACTCGAGTAGATCCTGTTTTCTCCAAACTACAAAAGCATGTCCGCTATGGATGTCAATGACGACTACCAAGATGATATGCTAGATGACGATGACGACATTGTGGACGACGAGCCCGATTATGACTCGGATGGGATGGACGATGAAGACGAAGATGAGGAGGATGATTTTGATGCTGCGGATGGGTTTGCACCCGTTATTGCCGACAAGGACGTCAAGAAACCCTATGAAGTAGAGTTTCTCGTCCATTCCACAGACGAGATTATAGAGTTTCAAAACAAGGAAATAGCACATGTAGCGGGGATTCTCGGGTGCCTTCCAGAGCATGCTGCAACGATGCTGAGACAATTTAAATGGAACAAGGAGCGACTGATTGAGAGATACATGGAGGATCCAGAGGGGGAATCTGAAAAAGCGGGTGTCGTCGTTGATACCAAGAAACAACCGCGTTTCACGGTGGTCGACAAGTTTGAATGCCCGATTTGCTGTTCTGATGAAGACGGCTTGGAAACCCTGGCCCTCTCATGTGGGCATCGGTTCTGCCGGGATTGCTATGAAGCATATTTGAATGAAAAGATTGCTCAGCAGGGTGAGAGTCGAAGAATACAATGTATGGAGGCTGGTTGCCGACTGGTGGTGGATGAAAAGACGGTGGAAATGGTCGTTTCCCCAAAAGTCTATGAAAAGTACGTGGTAACCATTTATTGTTTCTGTTTCACTTTTTTTTTTTTTATTCTAACATGGGATAAATAGATACCGAAATCTACTCCTCCGCACATTTGTTGACGACTCTGCCACCTGAAATGTGCCCGCTCCCGACTGCATCTACGCCATCGAATGCACGTCCCCCAATCCGCCCTTGACGAAATCGTCCAACCGTCAAATGCAAATGCAGCAACCAATTCTGTTTCGGCTGCACTCTCCCCGACCACCAACCGTGTATATGCCGTCTCGTCCGTCTATGGCTCAAAAAATGTGCAGATGATTCAGAGACTGCCAATTGGATATCAGCCAACACCAAAGAGTGCACGAAATGTAATTCGACGATTGAAAAGAATGGGGGGTGTAACCACATGACGTGCAAAAAATGCAAGTACGAGTTTTGTTGGGTGTGTTTGGGACCTTGGTCAGAGCATGGGACGCAATGGTATAATTGTAATCGGTTCGACGAAAAGGCGAGTGTGGATGCGAGGGATGCACAAGCAAAGAGTCGAGCTGCTTTGGAGCGATATCTACATGTAAGTTTTTTGTTACCCCACCATGACAACAAAAAAAAATGTTTTTTACATGGTTCATATACTGACCCATCTCAAAGTACTATAACCGCTACGCAAACCACGAACAATCCGCCAAACTCTCCTCCGACCTCCTCCAAAAAACCGCGCAAAAAATGGAAGCCCTCCAATCCACCTCCACCCTCTCCTGGATCGAAGTCCAATTCCTCCGCAAAGCCGTCGACGTCCTCCTCGAATCCCGCATGACACTGAAATGGACTTACAGTTTTGCATACTACCTCAAACGAGACAACATGACTGCCTTATTTGAAGATAATCAGCGGGACCTCGAAGTGGCCGTTGAATCCCTCAATGAACTCTTGGAGCGGCCCATCCCTGGTGTTGCCGATGGTGTACAAGCTGTCAATGGTCATGTGGGCGTTGAAGAGAGTATTAGAGAGCTGAGGCAACAGGTTTTGGATAAGATGGGGTATGTCAAGAGTCGGAGAGAAGTGTTATTGACTGATACGGCGCAGGGATTGAAAGAGCATCGGTGGAAATTGAATGTGGACTTCAAGACGGGGGATATGTTGGATTGAAAATGTTGATTGCTAACACGAAAACAAGAGAATATTATATATATCTTTTGTGTGTGTGTGTGTATCTGTTGGGATATGGCTTTTTTTTTTTTTTTTTGAAAGTGACAAAACCTAGGAAGCATTGTCTCTTTTGTTTACGGATTTTTGGGGGGGATGATGGATCCCCCATTTTTATATGCGCATCCATCCAAAGCGCAGATCTTTTGATTTCGAGGGTGTTTTTCATACGTTAACAAGATATTCTTGTTCCACGCAACCACTCGTACATTATCCAAAAAAGAAAAATAAAAAACACCAATAACACACACACCATGCCCA